TTGTAAATTTCCAAATGCTTTTTTTACTAACCTTTTTCCTTTTTCCGGTACGTTTTTTAACAAACATGTAGGAAAGTTTAAAAATGCGGTTAATTATATATTTGTTTATATTAAAATCGAAGTATATATCATTTTTTAAATTGTTTTAAAAAGCACGAATTACTGTTTAAAAATAGGTATAGTGTGATGGTTCCACCATCGATAAGGTCTAGCCATGGTCCCCATGGTTCCCGGGTCACGTGACTGAGCACGTGACTGAAGCGGCCGATAGGTTGATCCATGCCCTTGTGGGTCTGGTGGGGGGACGACTGCGCACATCTAGCTGCCCACCAATTCGGGCGCATCTCCAAATCTTCCTTTTCCTTCAACCAGAATTCGTTATATGTCAATAGTTAATAAGGGTCTCTGTATCTTTGCAATACATTTACGGAATCGTGACGTATAGCTTAATAATAAAGCTTTATTTATAAATAAATAAACCCACTTTTTGAAGATAAAAAACCGGTTTTTAAAGTATTAAAAAGGTAACCTTTTCTTTAAGGTTTAAAGTCAAGTTATTAAATAAAAAAGATTGATTGTTTTCTTCTAAACGTAAAGGCAGTTTTTTAGGTAAGAAAATAACTTATTATGAGAATTTATTTATTTATAATAAAAGCCGTATATATATTTATTAAAAAGCTTTAATAAAAAAGTTTATAACGTTTTATTAAGCTTAAAAGTATAATAATGTAAGTCCTTTTTCAAGCTTTGTTAATTTAAAAAATGCGTATGATACTAATATTATTTAATAATATTGATAACGTAATATTTGTATTCGGATTTAATATTTTTAAAAGATAAAAAAGATTTAATAAAGTTTAATGCTGTGAGAATTCAGGGAGCAGTGGTTTTAGGTGTACATAGCTTTCTTGGTTGCTTGTTTTTTGTCTACCTTGTACGGACGTATTTATAGCCAAATACTGGTGCGGCGCGTCTATCACGTAGCAACAGAGCGGTGGGGCAACCACCCCTCATCCTAGTGTACAGACCACCTTAAGCCAACACTTAGAGCCACACATATATAAAAATTCTTTAAAAATAAAAGCGTTGGTTATAAGGTAAGTATAGTTTTTATTTTGCTTTTTCTATTATATTTCTTTTTATATTTATTGAAACTATTGGAACGGTTATTTTTATTACGTTATTCATTATATTTATAACGAAATTTTTTAAAATTAACTTTTAATTAAAACGATCCTTGTTACGTTTATAACTAAACCTTTTTATTATAACCAAAATTTATATAAGATTAAAAATCATTATAAGATTAAGCTTTATAAAAATTGCTTTTTATTTTATTATTATTCTTGTATTTTTATAGCTTACATTTGTTATTAACGGCTTGAAAGTATTAATTAATGATAACAGCTTTGAGAATAAGATTGTTTTAATCAACTTCTTCTATATATACTTTAAAAAGTATTAATAAAAATAAAATTATAAAATTATTACTTAATAATTTTTTTATAACAATAACTGCTTAGAAAGCAAAGCGTTTTTTAAGGTTATTAAAAACGTTATTAAAGTTAGTTTTGTACATAATAAAACGCTTTTGAAACGTAAATCTGTCATTTTATTATATAATAGCAAGTATTTTTTAATAATATTTATCTAAAAAGAAACCGTATTTATAAATGTTGTTTTTACATTTGTTTTATTTAATAAAACTTTTGATACGTTTAATAAACATGATAAAGTTAGTTAAATAATCATATTATTTAAAGTAATTATATTTATATTTTTAAAGGTTTTACGATTTAAATTAAATTAAACAATTAAAAAAATTGTCTTTAAACGCTTTTCTATATATGAATCGTTTATACTTACATAAGGTAACGTAGCTGACAAGCGAGTTGGCATTACAAGCGAATTGGCACTTGTCATGAACTTTCCAACCAACACGATTCAAACCATTATATCTCCACCAACAACAATGGCACCACGTTACAATGAATCAGACTTGCAGCTAGCTGTCCAAGGTAAATGACGTGACCCTCATATTTCTATATTTCAGCTTGTGAAACTCTTTAACATCCCTCGTTCCACTTTGAGCAATATAATCAAAGGAATGCTATCACAACACGACAGCATACCTAATACTTTAAAACTTATGGTTTCTAAAGAGAATGTCATTCTCTCCTTCATTCTTGACCTGGATGCCCAAGCATTTCCACACCGGCACAGTTATGTTGAAGATATGGCGAATTAATTATTGGCGGCACGTGGGGCTGGACAGATTGGAAAGAACTGGACGCGCAACTTCATTAAACACACACCAGGCCTCCGGACGCGTTTTTATCAGAGGATGGATTACCAGAGGTTCTTGAATGAAGATCCATACGCGTATCGCGCGTGGTTTTGCCAAGTTACAGCGGCAATCGCAAATATAGTATCCAAGACGCAGACATTTATAACTTTGATGAGACTGGGTTTATGATGGGCATTATTGGGTCTGGCATGGTCATCATAAGTACCGAAAGAAGTGGCAGGCTTAGACAAGCTCAGCAAGGCAACAGAGAATGGTCTACATCAATCTCTGCTATCAATACTGATGGTTGGGTGGTCCTGCCGTTCATCATTCTACAAGGTAAAACCTACCTCGCATCATGGTATTGCGATACGACATTACCACGCGATTGGAAGGTGGCCGTGTCTGACAACAGATGGACTACAAATGAGCTCGGTTTGAAATGGATTCAGTATTTCGACAAGTATACCAGACTGCGTATGACTGCCGGTAAACGCCTCCTCATCCTAGATGGTTACAAAAGCCATCATTTCTAGGTCTTTGAGAATTATTGTTAGAATAATAGCATCATCACTCTTTGTATGCCTGCCCACTCCTTATATAGGTTCCAGCCTTTAGATGTCAATTATTTCAGCCCACTTAAATGAGCCTATGGTTACTTAATTGAGGATCTCATCCGGCGTCATATAACCTATGTTTCAAAAGAGAACTTCCTTACAGCGTTTTGTGAAGCACATAATGCTGCAATGACACCAGGAAATATCTGAGCAGGTTTCAGTGCCACTAGCCTTATTCTTTTTGACCCAGAAAATGTCATTTAAAAGCTGGATGCTCTCGCTGTCGTACAAAGACCGTCACCAGACCCCAATCTGCCACCCACTACTTAGACTTCAAAGACGCCTACCACCAGTAATAAAGCAGTAAACCAATCAGTTTATATCTGAAATTAAGTCAGAAACCACCAGAAAAGCTCACTTACATTAATAATTGATACATTAAACTCGTTTTTAAAGGCTATATATGGTCTTATACACAAGGTCGCTTTGGTTGATTCCCGGGTCCGCGAGCTAGCAGAGGCCAATCACTTATTAAGTAAATGCCAGAGAACCAAAAAAAATTATTTAATAAAAAGAGGAATACTTTCTATTAAAAATATAATAGGTCTTTAAGCTATAAAGGATAGTACTGAGCTGGCAAGACAGGAAATGAGTGAAGGTAGTCGTCGTCCAAGGAGGATGGCAGCGCGTGAGCAACGGTGTGGCGTTTGCAGCAACACTGGTCATAACGCGCGGACTTATATAATAGAGATAGAAACCCCTGAAGAAGAGGAATCCAATTGATTGAATTGAATTGAATGCGTTGTGGTGAAGTTATTTCACATGGCAGTTAGAGTGTTCATGACGAGTGCTAACTTGCTTGTCAGCTACGTTATAGTTTTTTATATAATGAATTAGTCAAATACAAAGGTAAAAAGCTTTGAAACATAGTTTAAAGAATAAAAACTATTATACAATAATTATAAAGAATAAGTAATATATTTAAACAAGTATACAATTTAAAAGGTAATAGAGTATACGCGCAAAAAGAAATGTTTTAAAAGGCTGTTAAATAAACGAGTTTTTTGTTTCTTAAACGATTTATTGAAAAGTATAAACTATAATCGTTAAAATAAACGGTGTAAGAAACGTTTTTATGCGGTCAATAAAGTAAAGAGTTTTTTAGATTTTTCTTAACAATATATCATTTTTTAAATATTAAATTTTATTAAAAAGGTCGACTTATAAAGTGTTACAGTATAAAGTTAATTATATTTTATGGTGGAAATGCGAGAACGGATTTATTTTATTAAAAAGTAATCTCATAGTTAGCTTTATTAATGTGATGGATCTGACACCCATCAGGTGGTTTGGTGGGGGTGGACTACTACACAGATGGATAGATAATTGTGGGTCGGGATTTGGGATCTATCACCCACCAGATTTGGTGGTGCTGCAGATCTCTCTTCCCTTCTTCACCAAAGTATTTTTGTACAATTGGAGATATTGATCGGCACTTTTGTCCTGGTCTCCAAGCTGCCCCGTGACACCCGCCCTATTATTCGGGTCCCTAGTGGTCCCGGAGCAACCTGCCGTCCGGGTAGTCACGTGCTAGTCACGTGATACCAGGGTGCCAGGGCTACTACCACTGATGGTGCGTACAGCCATTATTACAATGCCGATTTCATGAATTCACACAATATCAAGAAGCAGGGTCGAAAATATCGGTGAGACGGCCTTTTTCGGCTCGTTATGATCATCATATTGAGTTCGCCTCATTGTGAAGACCTAGGCACTCAGGCCAGGTGAACTTCATACGTACAAGCGGACCAGAAAGCAAGAGAGTGCCAACTCTAAGCACATCCAGCCATAGCCATGCAAAAGCCCTTCCAACCTCCTTTTTTTGTGTATCCGGCAACGAGAATGCAATGGTATATAGTGCTCCAACGAGAATGCAGCCAATTGCGCCTCTCTAACCTCTTTTCAACTCCCTTCCATTCCCCTCCCTAAATTCTGTACGATGTATGGTATGCGAGGAGTCAAGGCAGCACACCTAGGAACTTTTGTAACCCAGAAATCGATCGTAAAGAGTGCAATTGTGGTGGCTGGTAATCTTGAATCGGGATTTGTAAGTCGTCTCGTCGCGGCAAGTCGGCAAGTCGTCAAGTAGGCGATCACTACAGCCTCACTCTGTCTTCATCGTCTGTGCTGTCCTGCGAGCCCCGTCGTTGCAAACCAGTAGGCACCATCAGCCCTCGGGCTTGGAAATCCTGTCTCGTGGCCGGCGCAGGTGCTGCTGACGATGACGACGAAGTTGACGGCCCTGTGCTGCGGTACGGGTTGGCCTGCATACGAGCAGTGGTGGACACTGATCCGACAGGGCGGTTGGCTAGATCATGCAGTGCGTTCCGTTGCTTCATCTCGAGCTGCTGGACTTCCTGTCGCATCTTCATCATATGCAAGCCTTCATCTTCGTTCTTTGCAGCTCTGGACTTTGCCGTGCGCGTTTTCACCACCTCTTTGTCGGCAGCACGAACCTTGGCCATTGCCTGGTTGATGCATGCCTGAACCTCGTTCATCATCTCCTGGGAAGACATCGGGCCGGGTATCGGGGGATTGGTAACGCACTTCGTCCACGCCAGCTCGTCTTTGTGCTCCTCTTGGTACCTGAGAATCCTGATCGAAGCCTCCAGGTTGAAGAGCATGTTGCACAGATAAACCCATCGGTCCCTGGGCGTGTTGCCAGTCAACCGAACCTGTCTCTGAGCATCGAGGACGGCGAACCATTCGGGGATCTTGATATCGTACGGTATGTCGTTGTTCAGATCCGACTTGTCTGCGATGCCTTCCATAGACCCTGCCATCGCCTCCTCCCAGCTCATCCTGGTATGCGTCAAAGGAGAACCGCGGAAGAAGGATAGTGTATGAGTCGGCAAGGAGGGGGTTTGCGGCACTGTTCCGTCCGAGCCTAGCAGCTTTTCGACTCGAGAAGTTACGAGGGGATTGGATGGCAGCCCCAGGATGTTGCGTATATTATGTCGTATAGCAGCTTCTTCCTCGTGAGCCTTGATGCTCACAAAAGTTGCCCATGCGCGTTCTGTCTCTTTGATGTGCTGTGATTCTTTTGTGAGGATTTTCTGTTTCTCCACTGACACTTCCTGTTGGAGGTGTCGTATCTTGTCTTGAGCTCTTGCCTTGACTCCGGGGTCACGGATCTCGGCGGCTTTGCGTTCATGGACCTTGAGGTTGTCGACTTTCTCGAGGTACTTTTTGTCAAGCCACAGCTTGGCTTTTCCCTCGGTTCTCTGCTGAGCCCACTTCTGGAGGGTAACCGATTGCTCCAGGTAGTGTTTGATTGACTTGCGTGATAAGATCATAATGGGTGCGTCGAAGGTGCGAGCAGGGAGAGGGCGAGTGTTACCTGGGGGATACTTGTCAAAGACTTGGGGTGCCCGGTGGGCTTGTAGTGCCGGGGAAGCTGCTGGGGGCGGGCGAACTGATTCCAACCTGGGAGGAGCCGAAGAAGTCTGTCGTGGTTGCCCGGAGGCATTGCGACCCGCCATGATTGCAACGGTCGGACGAAAACGGCACGGCGACAGAATAGGAACAAGTGCTGTTGTTCGAGTGGACTATCGTCGGTGGTTGCAGGTTCGTCGGCGGAATCGGAAAAATCACAGACGAACGAACAAGTGGGCAGTGGGCGTTTTGCAAGTGCATCGGCGTTAATCGTTGCGAAAGAAATGCTGCCTCAGGATCACGTTAAATATCGCGTCAGTGAAAACACCACGTGGTCCAGGCGCGAAGTGCACGCGAAGCAAACCGAAAGCCAAATACAGGAGGGGTTACCATTGTGCATGACTGGCCCCAACCTGAATTTCACTGACGGACCATAAGCTCCAGCTATGGATGGGAAAGGGGGTCGGGCGGGTGGTTTTCCACCTCAAGCCCGCCGTCAAGCCTGTAAAGGCCCAAGCGAGACCTGCTCTCGGAGCTTCATGGCTTTTTCCTGCTCTTGCATTGAAGCCTTTCGTTCCTTTCGTCGCTTGTCTGCTTCGAGTGTTGCAAACCGACCTCGAGCACCATGTCGCACCTTGGTAATCATGTCCGTTGCCTTCCCCTTGGTGATGTCGGTCGCTTCCAGTTGCTCATTTGCAGCCCGCAGCTTGTTCAAGAACTTGAGCTGACCATCGGTAGGGGGGCCACGACGCCAGCTCACATTTCTCGAAATCAGCACATGAGGATAATGTTCCGACGCGTAATTGTCAGCACCGTGGACAGCATCAGCGAAGGTCGTGGCCTTAAGCATACGGCGCGGCGCTGCAAATGGAGATTTTGAAACTCCTGTTGGCAGACCCCTGATTTCCCACGCTGAGAACTTGGATTCCACGTCTTCCTCCTCCGCATCACTTTTTTCCAACCTGATGTAGGTCCCGTTGGGGCCACCAGACAGTACATATCTGCTAGGCCCAACTTGGACCCAAGCATTCTTGCTGATTGAGCGAATGTGTTGCTCGCCAGAAGTATCCGCGATCAGATCGAAAACCGAGTCATACTCGACGAACGTGATGTTCCGACTCATCCCACCGGCGGGAGAAGGGTTTGAAGCAGGCGAGAACGTCTCTTTGGCTCTCTCCTTTTCTGCCTCTTTTCGATCTTTCAAACCCTGTATTGCATCCACAGAGGCTTCCTTGACCAGCTCAGATGGGTCGAGTCCGAACAACGTAGGAGTGTTGACGATACCGGTGGCCAAGCTCGACACCATGTCAATAATGTGGCAATTCTTCTTTCCGGGATGAAGCCGCATGCCTCTACCGATCATCTGTATAAGTAGGTTGCGGGAGCGAGTCGGCCTGGCAAGAATAATGCAATCGATGTTGGGAATGTCAGTGCCTTCAGTGAAGACACCACAGTTGACGAGAACAGGAAACTCGCCATGCTTGAAAGCTTCCAAGCGCTCGCTCCTCTCAACCTTGGGCGTATCGCCAGTGACGAATTGGGCATCCATGCCATGCTGGCGAAAAGTTCGAGTTAACCCAGAAACGTGTGCAAGGTCGACACAAAATACTAATGTCGATTTTCTGCCTGCGGCTTTCGCTAGCCAGCTACGAACTGTGATCTCGTTGATCTGCTCCGTGTTGACTACCCGGGACAGTTCGCCAGGTTGGAAGTCACCATTTGCGCCGCTCTTCACCCTCGATATATCGGCAGTCGATTCGACCGTGGTGAAGATGACATCCGACAGCCATTTCTCGCCGATCATATCGACGTAGTCTTTGTGATAGACGATCTCGTCGATCGCAGCTCCGAGCCGTAGCCCATCAAAGCGAGAGAAGGTAGCGGAGACTCCAACCAGGGTCGGAGAATCGTCTTTCTTCTGGTCAAGACCGAAGTGCTTCAGGGTCCTCAGATATCCAGGAGCCACAATGTGATGAGCCTCGTCGACTAGTACGAGCTTAAACAACCTGGGATCAAACTTGTCGATGCGGTCACCGGATGTGAAGCTCTGAATGCTGGCAATGGTGATTTCTGCGGTCCCTGACGCGTGCATGTTTCCCATCTCGATCTCAACCGATTTATTTGGATAGGCATTGCTGCATTGTCTTGCGGCCTGTTCCACGAGCTCCCGTCGATGGGCCAAGATGAGCGTCTGATTCGCAACCTTGGAGCTGGGACTGATCCGGTCAATCAGCTGAGTAAAGATGACCGTCTTGCCAGCTCCCGTCGCCAGCGATATTCCCAGTCGCTTTTGGCCATGTTTCAGTGAAGTCAGAACCGACTGGATGCATTCTTCCTGATAGTTACGAAGCTGGAACTTTTGCAAACGCGTCGACGCCTCGGTCGCGTACGCGGCAACTGGGTTGGAAGGGCCTTTCCAATTGGGACTGCTGCTCACTATGAACTGAGGTTTAAATGGTCTCGTCAAAGATATTATCCACGATGGATATAAACGTGGCATGGCACATTATATAAGGGGGCAGAGTGGAAGTAGATCAAGTCAATTTTGAATGAGGCCTTACGAAGAGACTTTAGCAGGTGTCGGAATGATGCAGGACATTCATCTAACCGTATTTCAGCACTAGCTCAGAAATACCGATTTAAAGCCTATTATGCGTATGTCGAGACCCGCCCTTGGGAATAAGTGGACCAAAAACTCAACGTTCAACTGCCATCCAAACTTCTGTCAGTCAACTAGTGATTGATGAAATGCAAGCGGGTTCAGTCGACGCGGAATTGGCAAGAAAACACGATTCCGACCTCGGAAATGTATCTGAAGGTGTGGTAGCGGAGGAATCGGGATTGGAAGGGTACGTTATCTCGGGATGTGGTAGAGATGCGACGGAAGAAACACAAAAATAGGCGCCAAAATTTACCCATATGAATAACGGTTGGGTGAATGTACCACTCTGATTGGTTGCTTTGTTTTAAGTGGACCCACCCTAACTACAGTACTAATTGACTGCCACCACTTGCCTACAGCTGTCTACAGGCCTATTCATTCCGTTCCGGCTGAGTTAACCCCAACTCTCTGCGCAGTGCCAGCTTGTGAAACTCTACCTAGGTAGGTGTAGATACACGGCAAAAGGCCATGGACCAAGCACACCAGGGTCTTACAACTACCGGAAGATGCAAACTGAGCAGATTGAAGCCTTCTTCCAAAGATTTTCTTCTCCTAACCGACTTCGGCGCTGTGTTGGCCGCCAAGTTTTCACCTCAGTGAGGATATCCGGTTGATTACATAAACACGCTCTACATGCATATACTCAAGGGCGCCAGTCATGGACTCAGAAGACGACTACCGCCCGGGTAGCGACACCGACAAGCAAGAAGAAATCCCCAGCTCAACAGGCGAGGAGCAGACGACCGCAAGGGAAAAGAAGGCCTTCAAGCACAAGCGCACCCGCAGAAACGCACCTCCCACAGCGCCCTCCCTCAAGCGCCAGAAGGGACCCTTCAACGCGCACTACCTGGCCCTGCTCAACGAGGATATCCAAGATGCCGCCACGGGACTCATCCACCACGAGGCCGATGACCAACGGCTGCCGCCGCTCGAGCACACCCAGCTCGGCGCCGTGGCTTGGAACCCGCGCGAGAAGGAGGCCTTCTTCACCGCGCTGGGCCGGCTCGGCCGCGACGACCTGAAGGGCATCGCAGCGCGCGTCCGCACGAAGAGCGAGCTCGAGGTACACCAGTACATCGCGCTGCTCGACGCCTTCGACCGCCACCGCCGCGCCGACGACGGCAAGCGGCAGCGGTCCGTGCGTCCCGTCGACATCCCCGCCGCCGTCGAGGTGAGCCCGGAGTGCAGCAACGCGCTGGAGGAGGCCGCCGACAGCCTGGCGCTGCGACGGGAGGCGCACGAGGTGGCGCTCGAGCAGAAGCGGTGGCACGCGCGCTGGCTCGTGACGCCGCCGGTCGCGGAGGCGCTGGACGAGCAGTTCCGGACGGGTCAGTGGCAGGGACAGAGGCAGGGCGGGCAGAGTCAGGAGCTCAGCCTGCCGCCGTTCGCCGAGCTGTTCCCCGTGCGCAACTGGCTGCGCCTCGCCGACCGCGTGTTCCTGAACTCGACGGTGCCGGACGGCAACTGGCGGAGCGTGTCAGAGGAGGGGCCCGCCGTCCGCGCCACGGCGTTTGCCGACTTCCACGCGCTCGCCGTTAACATTACAAAACGTCTGTTCCTGGCCACGGTGTACGTCGCCAACTCACGGATCCGCGCCAAGAACGCGGGCGAGCCCCGCAGGAGTGCGAGACCGCTGGTCAAGGTCCAGGACGTCAGGGCCGCCGTGGCGTCCGTGGGCTTGAAGGACGACTCGCGCGAGTTCTGGGCGCGGTGTGCGCGACGCATACGGCTCGATGTGTATGACGGGTCGGCGTGGGGAGAGCTGTCGGAAGGCGTGAGCGGTACCGATGCCGATGAAGCTGTTACTACTGGGAACGAGGACGACGACGATCAACAGCAATCACAACAATACAACTCGGAAGCAACCGACACGGAAGAAGACGACTACGACATCCTCTCCTATAACGACGTCGAGACCGCCCTGGGCGTCCGCTCCGAGGGCCCCCAGACGGAACCCAACCCCGAGAAAAACATATACAGCACATCAGACGAATCCGAGCCCTCGGACACCGAACCAGAACCAGAGCCAGAACCCAACCCTCCCCCCTCCCCAAACCACAGCGACACAGACATCGACATGAACGCCCCCAACCCCACCAACGACCCCGATCTCGATGCCAGTCATGCCGCAGCCATAGAGCAAGACCTAGACGAAGCCCTCACCTTCTCCGCCATGGACTACACCGGCACCGCGCGCGCCAAGGCGGCCCTACGGGCGCGTGTGCGGGCCGAACACCGCCTCGAGCTCGACGCCGAGCGCCTCGACGCGCAGGCCGGCGCGCAGGAGGAGATGAACCTGTGGGCCGTGCTGCGCCGCGAGGAGGCCAAGCCCCCCGTGCTCAAGGTGGAGGGGGATGTGAAGGGGTCCAAGACGGGACTGCTGCGGACTGCGGGAGTGGGAGAGACGGGTGCGAATTGGAGGGATGGTGTCAGGTATCGCGGGGAGTGGGAGGTTGCTGGTACACTCGGTCGGTAGGGAGTAATATGGGTTGGAATATTCACTTGAAGTGACAACTACAGGGTCACGATCGATTAGGGAAGATACTTGCTCGAACGAAAACTGGTAGCTTAGCTGCTGCTACACTACAGAGTAGTAAATAATTGATAAAAGTTTCGTCCCATTTCTCATGGATGAGTCTTACTTATGTTTGAATTGTCTGGTAGTGATACATTTCAAGAACACTCACTATACTCTCACAGAAAACCTGCTTTGGTGCAAGGTGACCATCCACCAACGCCAAAACAAGAACCCATAGGCAGTGTTACCTATAATCGAGGAGGCAAACGACGTAGTGCCGCGATTAACTCCAGTCGCCGTCTGCGCCATCTCATTTCATCCGTCTCCTCTGTCCTGTCACTCGAGTCGCTGCCGCCTGACCCCTAGGCCTCGTAGCTCTTGACGTTGCCATCACTACTGAGAGGCTGCACAGAGCCCACGGCCGGCGCCGACGTGAAAGTCAGTCCGTTTGCACCCACACCCATTGCCATTCTGAGGTCACCACCGTTGGCATTCGCCGTCTTTAACCCATCCGTTGTTTCTCGGACCCGCTTCTTGAAGGCAAGGCGGTCCAGGAACAGCTGCTGTCGGCCTCTCTCAAGTTCGCGCCGCTCTGCTTGTAGGATACCTTCCATTTCGTCAAAGTAATTCAACTTCAATTCCATCTTCTGCAGAGTAATGTTGACTGCAGCAGACAGGAGGCGAGACATTTCCCGCTCTTCGTGAGAGGCTAGGCCGCCAGCGCGGGCGCCCATGGTAGCTAACGGTACAGATGCCAAAGTAGTAGTTGTCGAGGTCGTTGTAGTGGTAGTCTCATGACGGATATCGATCTCCATTGAATCGCCTTCTTTCTCCTTGCCTTTGCCGTTCACCTCCGATACGTCACCACCCTCGATCCTTTTCCGCAGGCCTTGTTGAAGCTCCGCAACAGACTTCTGAGCCGCAGCAGCTGTCGACTTAGGATCTGCTAGACTAGCGAGGAAACCGATGACAGACATGACAGGATTGTCAGCTTGGCTGAAAGGGAGAAAGCCAGCGTCCTTCCCTAGCATTGGGAGACCGGCAGGGGCATGGATGGGAGCTTCGGTTTCGATATATTTGTCCTCGATGTCCAATTGCAGGAACTGCAGGACGCATTCTTCCCGTGTACGCGTACCTACGTGCTCAGCAATCTCCGCCCAGTCATCATCGTATCTTTCCAAGGCCTCGAGAAGTCGAAGGAGCTCGGCATCCGTCCACGGAGCATCGCGATCGAGGATTGTCGAGTAGGCCTTGTTCTCCATCTTGAGGAACTGGTTGCTGGTCTGGTTGCTGGGTATCCGGCCTTCCAGGTAACAGCTAGGGCACACATCGTATTTCGCCTTGTTTGCGGAGTTCGCTTCTGGCAGATGATAGTAGGCACGAGTGCAATCAACTCCGCAGTTCTGGCAGTTGACCTTCTTAATAGGGCCTTTCAGGTCGTCATCTGCACCCGGGGAAGCGCTTCCAGTACCGTTCGTGGCTGCAGGCTCGCCATTCGTCTTGCTCTCGGTCTTCGTAAGCTTCGATCCTTTCGCGTTTGCATCGTAAAAGTTGCGGCCAATCTCTAGGTTTCGGTCGCCAGCAGCACTAGGTCCTGCATTGGCCTTCTGATCTGTCTCTTGGCTCTTCTTGCCTTCAGTGACGATTGGGTCTGCTGATGGCTGCCACGGCTGGATTCCGCGAGGGGTATCGCAGATGATTTGGAAATGCCCGGTAAACGGTGGGCCGACTTGGGATGGACGCTGGTCTGCATCAACCTGCGAGGTATTAGTATAATCAATCTGGATGATCTAGATGGACCTCATCGTACTTGGTAGTTGATCAACCCCCACTGCTCGAGGAAAGCATGGACGCGCATGATGGCGCACACATCACCCGCCAGGTTTCTTCTGCACGCAGTGACGGTCAGATACTCGACGGGGTTCAATCGGTAGGTGTTGATCATGAAATCGCGGTAGTCCTTGTAGACATGCGGTGTCTTGCTTCGGTTGCGGCTGTTGAAAAACTCTGGAAGCGCCTTACGCTCGATGCTGTGGATATTGTTCATGTCGAACCAGGTACTGTAGCTGGGAAGCACGATGGCATGTGTCTGAGAGATGAGATGTTCGCGCGCAGCATTCTCGATGCTCTCTTTGGACTTCACTTCTTGAACGCCGCCCTCAGCACCTGGAGCGCCCTCCTCGCCCTCCTTCTCCAGCGCCTGTCCATCCTTGGGCCCCGCCTGCGCGTCGCCCATTTCCTCGTCCTCTTTCGCTAACGTGGACTCGGCAGGTGGTGCAGGCGGCGCATCGAGAGGGTTGTCCGAAGTACCGGCCGGTGCAGGCGTGGCGCTATCTTGCTTGATCGCCGGCTCAGTAGAGAGGACCTCGGACATCTGCACATCTGTCCGCCGCATCAGCACACTACCGCGCGGCATCGCGCTGCGGCGACGATCGCGGGGGCTTACCTTCAAAATGCTCATTCGCACCTGATGAATCCGCCTGGAGTGGCGGCTGCGCAAGGATGGGATTACTGCCCGGAGAAGCTCCATTGGCTGGAGATCCGTAACTGACGTGCTCGTCCATCCTGCCGGTATTGAAGGGTTGAGGGTATCAGGGTGTCGGAGAAGGAGTAGCGAAGGTGTTAGTAACCAAAAGGAGGGTTGAAGAGGTCGGGCGCGACAAGTCGCGAACGGGCGGGTATCTAGCTGCGACGGCTCATGAAAGAGTGGAAAGGCTGAAATGGAAACGACCACCCTTGCAGACGGGCGACAAGTGATGGATTATCGATCGTCTCAATTGCGATTGAGGCTGGTAGGCTGACAGTCTATCGCGTGTTTGGAGAAATAAATTCGGCGCGACTGGAGAGGGACTAAAGAAGGCAAGCTCTGGCATCGAAAGGCAGCAGCCCTTCGTGCGACCTGGTCCGAGCTTTCGAGATCTGAAGAAGCTTAGACCACCTCCACATCACGTGCCCAGCCACAAAAACCCACTCCGGGGAACGGCACTGGACGTGGGCTTCCACAATTGCCTCGGGTCGGGTGTGCTGGTCATGCCGTCGCCAGCCGTTCACGGTAGTGGAAACCGGACCTTGAGACTTTATCTGGATCGCCTCGGGCTCCTTGAAGGTTACTGACCAGATCGCGAGGGTAGCAAGGCGTAATCCGAACCACAATATGTTCTCCGCCGCAAGGAGAACAGCCCTCACAGGCGCCGGTAGCCTGCCGCGACCTACTACTTCCGTCTTCTCAAGTCGCTTCAGTCCATCCGCCTACCAAAGGTTACTGTCCTCCCTAGCGATCCTCGAACAGCGGGAGGGCAAGTTGAACCACGGATCCCTGAGCGCTGTTACCGCCGCGACGAAGATTGGGGGTTCGATACATGGTTTCGTCGCGGGGAGCAACATCAAGCCGGTTGCGGAGGAAGCTGCCAAGGTGGAGGGCGTAGAGAAGATCATCGCCGTGGACAACGCGGCTTATGACAAGGTGTGTTACCTGTAGCGCAGCACCAATTGCCCACGCCCCAGGCTGATATTTGGCTACCTACTTTAGGGTCTGGCAGAGAACTATGCTCCTCTGCTGGTCGAGAACATCAAGAAGGGCGGTTACACCCACATCATCGCGGGGCACACGGCCTTCGGCAAGAGCCTCCTACCACGGGTGGCGGCGCTCCTCGATTCGCAACAGATATCCGACATAACCGCCATCGAGAGCGAGAACACCTTCGTCCGACCCATATATGCCGGAAACGCCATCGCCACCGTCGAGTCGTCTGACGCGATCAAGGTTATCACAATTCGGGGAACCGCCTTTGCGGCCGCAGAGGCAACAGGCGGCTCCGCCGCCGTAGAGGACGGCGTCGATCCCAAGATCGAGCCGACTTCCGAGTGGATCTCGGAGAACCTGGCCACGTCGGATCGACCGGACCTGGCGACTGCCGGCAAGGTCGTCTCGGGAGGACGGGGTCTCAAGTCCAAGGAGGAGTTCGACAGGGTCATGCTCCCGCTCGCAGACTCCCTCGGCGCGGCTGTTGGAGCCTCCCGCGCCGCTGTAGATAGCGGCTATGCGGACAACAGTCTGCAGGTTGGCCAGACTGGCAAGGTCGTTGCGCCCCAGCTATACATGGCCGTGGGTATCTCGGGCGCAATCCAACATTTGGCGGGTATGAAGGACAGCAAGGTCATCGCGGCTATCAACAAGGACGCAGATGCGCCGATCTTCCAAGTGGCTGATGTGGGATTGGTCGGGGATCTATTTGACAAGGTCCCTGAGTTGACGGAGAAGTTGAAGAGCGCATAGAGCTCATAGATATATGTACAAAATATTACAATTGCCCGCGAGGGTACCAATGTTCTAACGGCTGCTAGCGGCCAGCATCTCGTCTGTGCTCGTGAATTTCTCCCTCTCCTTTCCAACCAGCAAGCCGCGCTCTTTCTCGGCCTTGTCTATCTTCTTCCAGTCTTCCCAGCGGATGACTCTACAATTGTCATGATCTACCTCGGTCCGTAGACCTTCCCAGCCATGGGCAGGTTCCGTACTCAGGAACGGGGTCTCGGAACTCCAGTCTGCAGCAATGGCATCGGCGGTGGAAAACGCGTCCTCCATAGTCGAGGCGATCACGCCCGTAGGACCTCTCTTCACCCACCCAGCACAGTAGACACCTGGTAACTGTGCAGCTCGTGGATCGCTGTCAGTGCTATCCCGGCTCTTCTGCAGCACTCGACCGAACCCATCGTTCTGGATGACCCCTTTCCTGTCATCGAACAGGACGCCTGCTTCGGAGAATCCGGGCAATGCCACGGATTTGTAGCCGATAGAGCGGAACGCCACCGCCGATGGGATCTCCAGCTTCTCACCCGTGCCCTGGACGTCGGATACGGGATCGAAAGGCGAAGACAGAGACGTCCGCTCAAAAGTCGTGCTGCGGACCCGCCCGCCCGGCTTGCCGTGGAACTCGGTGGGGGATAGACAGAAGTCGAGAGACCATGATTTATGCGCGTCGTCGGTACGCGCGTGTGAGCCTTTGACCACGACTTCCATCAGCCGTCGCCGAGCGCGAGGTAGCTTTGATATCTCGTCAGGTAGGAGAGACATGTCCACGGGATGGAACCCGACATCGTGCAATTTCATCAACTCTCGAACTTCCTTGATTGTGAAAGCGGCCTGGGATAAATCAGTGAGGGGAGCTCGACCAGTGGTTGCTTAGTATAACGCACCTGCATTGGCCCTCTCCTTCCAACCACATGGACTCGCTTGATACGGCTCCTGGACAACGTCTCGATAGCGGCCTCCGTGATGTCCGACTTCCGAAGTATATCCACATTCTCCAATAACATCCTCGCGACATCCAGAGCCACGTTGCCTTGCCCTATGATGACTGCCTCGTCTCCTTGCGTCAAGTCGGGCGCCAGATGGGCATATTCCGGCAGTCCGTTGTACCAGCCGACAAACTCTCGCGCCGAATAGACGCCCTGAAGCTCCGACTCCCCGGGTATGCCAAGCTTCTTGTCCTTGGACGCGCCATATGCAAACACCACGGCATCGTAGTGTCGCATCATGGAGCCCAGCGGGATTGTGCAGCCGCTGAAATGGCCGTCTGCGTTGCTGATTGAGACGTTGCCGATGAAGGTGAAGTCGGGAAAACTTGCGACCTCTTCGAACTTGTCCTGGCAGTTCTACCATTATGAGGTGGTTAACACGACTCGCATCTTATTGTGATGAGTGAGGTGGGACGTCTCATTCATACCTTGACTTCGGGATGGTCGGGTGCGACGCCGAATCTCACAAGGCCAAATGGGACTGGCAGCGCTTCGAACATGTCTACCTTGGCTCTTTGTATCTTGGACATGACTCTGTACGCTGTGTAGAAACCGGCCGGGCCAGAACCGACCACGGCCATGCGGAAGGGTCTGTCATGTCGACTGGTGGTTGAGTAAGACGCTCGAGTTGTGAGGGATGCGGCAATGAAGGGGCTCCTGCTAAGCGTTTTGCGCCGGCAAGTGTTGCACAGCCATGACTTTGCGACCAAGGACATTATAAGATTGCTATTGCAACGCTGTACCTTAGTTCATAAGATATCATATAATTAATTGGGCTATCATTGATGTGTGTCTCGGGGGATGTAGCTACTGGCTGAACATGACGTATAAATTTCGACGTTCTCTGTTTGCGCCGAGGGTCCGACGTCGCGGCTCGGAGCATCGCTTGGGCAGGTACAATCGTCACCCGTCGGAATTACAGCTTCTGCTACGGCGTGCATCTTATGAAAAGGGGGGAAATGAAGCAGTCCATTTTGATCTTGCAGTTCGGCTTCTGAGTATGGCGTTTAGAACTTGTTCCCGAAATTGGCAAGGACGGTTGGTGTGCCACGAAACGACGTGTAGTTTGCGCGGTGCGCCGGGCAGAGAAGCCGGTTTGCGTTGCGCTGTTGCTATGGGAACCGGAACCGTTTACCATATGGATGTCTAGGTGCTCCCTCGCACCACACCACACCAGATCCATATGGACCAACGACGTGACTTGTTCCTGTCTTCTCCCTAGGTTCTTACATCTAATAATAAGACCAAGCATTCCACCTGCTCTACACTCCATCTCGTGGATAGATATCTACCTGCCAGCCGCGCTGGAGTAGACATCCGCAGATATGGCGCCGTTCCAAGCGCCTTACCTCTACGATTCCGACAGACGCGATTCCCAATTGCCTGAGAAGCCCTTCGACCCCAAGGCCGTGACGAGAGCGAGCTGGGAGCCGCAGCCCAAGAAGCCCAAGCGCAATGGACCGCTGGTGTCGTTCAATCGCCATCCCGAGTAAGTCTGTTTATGCACACGTCAACAAGCTGTTCTCGTCATTCGAGCCTGTCGCTAACACGCCCGCCCATTGCAGTGCGCATGTGGTGCCAACTGGCCGATCATACAACTTCCGCCCCATGAGTGACACCACGAAGTGGTGGATCAAATGGACGAGATACTTCCAGCTGGTGCTCCGCGCACTTCAGCTAGTCGGGGCTGCCGGACTGCTCACCCTTATGATCCTCATCTCCAATGCAGATCCCATCACGTCCTGGGTCATGCGAATCACGGTATGTGTTCTTAACTTGAGACCATCTTGAGGACCGGACCTGTGACTGACGGGGACAACAGCCTGGTGTTGTGATTCTTCACTGCGCCTATGCCATCATACACTTTGCAAGACCGGCTCGAGCAAGAGCACCCGCCTCTTCAGCGGCGTATCAGCTGTTCGCTGGTTTCACTGACTTAGCTGTCCTGCCATTGTATGCCTTCGGAGCCATCTCAGTCGTGAACCACGGCACCGATTGGTCTACGATCCTGTCTGACAAGGAACTGGCGGGGATCTTGGTCCAGGCCGAGTATTACGCACTATTCGCCGCCGGCGCCTTGCACGTCATATCGTTTTGCATATCTTTTTGGCTTGGTCTCATGTTCCGACGCATCGCCAACATGCCGCCTGACATGAACCCCCTCGAGAGCAACTTGACGTCGCGCGTCAAGCACAAGCGGAACAAGTCGTCCGTCGCGAGCGGCTACACCACCATGTCGGAAAACACAAAGCGCCTGTCGACACCGATGGAGAGCCACCGTCGCTCAGGAGCACCTTACGAGGGGGATTTGTCCCGACCGCCGAGTGTTCCCTTCCACGCGCGGCACAACTCTAGGGACTCTTTCGCCTCCTCGAAACGCGATTCTCGCTCGGACCTTCCTAGTCGTCAATACCAGATCTCACCCGCCAACTCCCCTCGCAACAGCGCCGCCGGATCCCACGCCGACCTGAAGCGCATGTCCAACCCGCGCCTAGCGCAGCGCGGCAGCTACGTCGAGGTCCCTCTCCACGAGACCGGCGCCCCCTCACCTCGACCCAGCAGCATCGTAGGCAGCATCGTAGGCAGCATCGCGGGGGGTGACGGTGACCCCATCAGCGCCTCGCCAACGCGCATCGCAAAGTTCACCGAAGCGTGGTACGCCTCCGAATCACTCATCAACCGCACGCAGCAGCGCCAGCGCGCCATGAGCGTCGTCGAGAAGGAGGCCAACAAGCCCTACGAGCCGCTGAACCAGCGCTACGACGAGGAGTCATCAGACTACTCGGACGAGGAGAACAACGCCATGCGGCCCGACGCAGGCGACTACGTCTCGGATCTGGAGGACGACGAGAACATGCACCCGAACCCGCTCCGGTCGAATCCGCTGCCGCCCACGCCGCCGCGGCACAAGCAGGGCGCCAACGCCCCGCCGCGGCAGAAGACGCCGTTCCGGCCGCGCGGCCACGACGACGACAACATGGGCGCCCTCTCGGAAATAAACCTGAACTCGCGCACCGTAAGTGGCAGCGGCAGCCAGGATATCGCGGACGCGAAGCCCGCAGCTCCCCCGGCGCGCATGCCCAGCATCCTGAACGGCTGGGGCCGGAACAAGGGACTGGGAAATAGGAATTCCTCGATCCAGCCCGAGACGGCGTTCTACTCGAAGCCGTACGGCGCGCTGAAGCCTGCCACTCCACCGATCATCATTGGTGGTGGCCAGCAACAACGACCACGACAGGTCTCGTCGGGCAACGACTACGACCTTGGTGGCGCGTACGGACAGCAGAACTTTGCGAGGCGGAATGTTAGTGGGAAGGAGGCGGAGGAGGGATTTGCTGGCGCTGACAACGTGCGGTACTCGCGGTATAGCGTTTTGAACGAGTGATTGTTGCATAAAAAAGGTCAAAAAGGGGTGGTTGAGGTGCAAGTGTCTGCCTGCCTCGTGGTTTGGTGTGTTGTCTATGATTCCCCTGGTTTTGCGGCGTACGTCTTGGTTTTCGACTCTTGGTACAGTACAAGACATGGATGGATGGATGGATGGGTGTATGTAGATTCACGAGTCATGGATGTAATAACACAATGAGGACATGGACCGGATGGATGGTCTTTTCAGGGCAAAAAGGAGAAACGCTACATACTATTCCACAATGGGGAGGTCCCTGTGATTTAAGATGTCGTCCCGCGAGCGTGATTGTATTCGTGCTCTGGTTTTGAAGTTCGAGCTTCCGGACTGCACGTCTTCTCCCTATCTGCAACCGACGGCCCGATGACCTTCAAGGACCCCTACCCGAGGGCATCGCGTGGAGGCATGACAGCGGAGTCACGCCCCCTTAACATGGGGACTTTATTAATCTGAATTTCCAACCGTGAGTCTGAATGTAACTTGAAGTATTTCGTCCAATGGCCATTGGACGACAGGGGTTATAGGAACACAATGTAACTCGCGCATTCTATGCACATGCCAACGAGGACACAAAGCGAAGGCCATCCAGGCTTGACCCAAGATGTCGTACTGGCCCAGTGACAAGAATACAGAAATGGATAGACTATGGCTGGTGACGCTGCTCCGGTCTATCTAGGGTATATCCATCTGACAGAAATGTGTTGCTCGCCAAAGCGCCTGTATAAGCAATACAAGCCAATCATAGATAGCCCCTCCACTCGATTTCGTTCTGATCGCGAACATATGCACCCCAATTAGTCGGTAACGCTCTCTCACCATCGAGGCCATCGCCCTCTTTCCAGCCCATCTCATCCCACGCCCCTAGACCGCACAGATGTCTCATGGTTGGTCGGCCGTGGGGGCAGTTCCACGGCTTGTCAAGTTCGCCCATATGTCTGACCAGCTTCTCCATCTGCTGATTAGTCAAAGACTTTCCAATCATGACGCTGCTTCGACACGCGCGCATCGCGAACATCTTCCGAACTTTGGAGGGTCGTGGAACTGTGTTGGCCGAAATGGATTGGTGGTCTCTCAGGAGGGAGATAAGCTCCTCAAGGTCCGGCAGGTTGAAGGTCGTTTCACGGCTCAGCGGCAGACTAAGCAGCTGGCATCGGGTCCCGAACGGTTCATCCCCGCTATCATCGAAGCTGACCATGAAGCCGTTTGTCTCCAAAGCTTCGAGATTCTCCTGGACGATATCCTCTTCCACAGCCGTGAGCTCCAGTGTCTTGGGCTGGACGAGCCTCTGAGATTGAACGACTGTGTTGGCTTGGAGACGCTCGAAGTTGTATTTCTCGTCAGTAGCGTGCTGGTCGATGATGAAAAGTTCGTCATCTCTAGTGTGCCGAATTTGATCTTCGTCAATGTCAACTCCTCCAGGGCGGGATGCCAATATGAAACCCAGGTTGAACTGGCCGATGATCTTCATCTTGCCAAAGTCTGACTTGGATATCGTTAAAGAGAGCTTCTCTTCAGCATCTTCAGCGTCAAGTTTGTCAGTGACCAACTCCGATCCTTTGACTGAGGAGAGCACGCCGAGATAGTCTCGATGCCTAGTCAGAGCACCACGCATATGGGTCTCGTCTGTTCGTAGTGTCTGTTGAAGATGACAGGTCGCATTTTTCTTCTTGGTGCCACCTTTGACGAAGCTCTGGGTGCGTTTTTGTGTCTCTTCCGAGATAGTGTCCGCCGGCTCTTCGACAGTCGCGACAATACCTCGCGTCTCTTCTTCATCTTCTTCATCTTCTGCATCGCCTGCTTTCCGTGGAACATCGTCTACGTAGTCTTCATCACTTAGGTGGGTTGGAGACAGCGATACGCTCTTCTGTGGCAGTTCGCTGTTTTCATCGGACACCGGCGAGGAGTTGCGGGTATCAAGGCAATCCTCCTTCCCGGGGCTCTTCTCGACAACTTCATCGACTTCATGCTGCTGATCATGTTCGTCCTCATCATCGTCGTCAGCTTGATGGTCAACTTCCACTTCTTCACCGTCTTCACTTTGACTGCCCTTTTCTTCCTCCTCATCTGACACAAAGAGGTGTTCGCTTGAGGAGTCAGAATGCTCTGAGACATCACGCATCTCACTAGTGACCTCGATCTGTCTTGATACTGTCTGGGATGACTGTGTGTTGGCTGCAAACATTTGTGTCAAGCGTCCATTGAACGAAGGGACTGGTACGGTTTGCTTGGCAGTTCGTTGGGCAGAGGAATGCTGGGCTGGGTGATGTTCTACTCGCTGTTTCTTCGAGGGTGAGCCAATGATGCTCGTGACGGTGTGATCACCTATTGTGATTGTGGCGACTTCCGGCGCTGATCGCTTCATAGGCAGATACGGTGCGGCTTTGCTGGTCTTGACGTCCGAGACACGAGACGGAGTAGTGATAAAGGGTATGGGCGGCTCAGATGTGTCTTGTCCGGCGGATGCAGCAATGCCAGTGGTTTGATGGGTCTTGGACTGACTGAGTCCTTGCAGACGTGTACGGAAGTCTGCGATGCGACTAGATGTCTCCGTTGCTTCCGCAGCAGACGCCGACAAATCATCTGGAACCTCCATAGGAGTTGAATTTTCAGACTCTTCAGTGTTATCCGGACCACATTTAGAAACCGGCTCTTCGGCCCTGGACCTGCCCTTGGGTGCTTCGGATTTATTCGTGTCTCTTGAGGCACTGTCCGTGCGCAAGTCAGATTTTCGTTCGATCCATCGACTTATCAAGTTGAGACGCTGGGCATCACGAGATAATGATCCCGTAGTAACTGAATCCTTGCGCGCCGGCCCACCTGAACTCTGGTCCTCATCATCAGCATGCACACCTTCACCTTCTACACTGGGCGGGGGTTCTGCAGAAGTGGACTTCCCACGAGAGTCCTCTCTGCTTGGTGTAGAGTGCCTCGATCCGGTCTTCGATGCTGACGTATCTTGCCTGCTGAGAGACGGCTTCTTGAAGGGTGTTTGCTTGAACCCCTGAAGTTGCGAAGTTGGTAACGCGTAGTCTTGAGATTCAAACAGGGCGCTGAGTGACACTCTAAGGTTATCGAGCATCCGTGTTTGATCATGGAGAAGGATGGTTCGTTTGTCCGGACTGACGTTGACATCGTAGAGATGGGTGTCGAGTTGGATATTGGCAAATATAAAGGGCGACTGCGAAGAATTGTAGGATTTGTACACATCGTTGAAGACTTTGGCGAATTGAGGCAGCCCGCAAGGCCGACCATTCACAAAGAACATTTGTCGATCCGGTGTCTGCCTCCCTTCTCCATGAGCAGGGCGGGAAACATGCCCTCGAACATGAATTTGCGTAACTGCACCATCGGACGGTTCTTGCGTACTCCATTTCTGGCCCGGTGTACTGGTAGTGGGCTCCAGCTCCAGCTCTAAAGCTAGAGGAATTAGAACGGATAGAGTCTTTGCTCCGAACACGTTAACGATGTTCTCGCGAGTGGTCCGATTTCCTTTGGTTGAGAATAGCACCATCCGCTTGCCCTTGTTAGGCTGCTGGGAGACTGAGAATTTCAGGCCAGTCTGAATGCAAGCATACTGATTGAGCACGCCAAGGACCCTGTTCCATTCTCGCTTGATGTTTCGCTCGAGCTCCCGGCGGCGTACGGGCAAGTTGTGGAAGAGACCCTCGACCGATGCTGTTGTGCCTTTTTGTGCAGCCACCACGCCCGTACTGCGGAGCTTACCGGACGTCTCGTATTCTAATTTCGACCCTTTTGGGGCATCCGATGCCAAGCAAGTGGTGACTGTAAATTTGGACAAGGCGCAGAGAGATGACAAGGCTTCGCCCCGAAAGCCAAATGTCTGGAGGGAAGTGAGGTCGGTATATGTAGTCAGCTTGGAGGTGTAATGCTTCAGGGCCAAGGTTTCGTAGTTTTCCTTGGATATTCCTGAGCCATTATCCTGAACCTCTATCGAGTCCAGTCCTTGATTCTTCAACCGGACCTCTATTTCGTTCATCAGCTCCCATTTCCTCCATGCTTTGAGAGACCATGGGTACTTACCAATATTGGTAGCCCCGGCATCGATGCTGTTTTCCACCAATTCCTTGACAACGGAACAGAGGTCAACGATGACTTGACCAGATTGGATTTGGTGGACCTGTCATGGCACTTAGCGTCCGGGCCAGAACTGCACACGTATATGGAATTTGGAGTACTACTTACGGAGCGGGGCTCGATTGCCTTGATAGTCGCCATGGATGACGAGAGGCGGTGCTAGGTTGTAGATGCGTGGGTGCTGTGCAAACGCTGCCCAAGGCAGAAGCAGCTTGATGTGGTGGCAGGACAGCACATCAAACAGACCATCGGCAAACGATCACAAGGTCATTGTATCCGGAGAGTCTGGTTGTACCACCGAGAGAGACACCAGGGTCGATAGGCGGTCGGTGCTACTTGCCGGCGATGAGGTAGCCTTGGGCAGTCATCTCAGCCTCGTCGCGTCATGTTTTAATTGAATGCTATGCGCGTCAACTGATCACCCATAAAGTTACAGACAGGAAAGAGCTACGCACGGACCTACTACCCCACCTGCAGGTGGCGGTGCATACTTGTACCTACCACCTGATTTCAATGTCAAACAATTGTAATTCATTACATCTTCTCTTCCTCTTCGCGCGCTCACCACCGCCGTATACCAGACACGCTCCGACGATTACAGGAATATTCATGTCCTACCAGACCCAGTCAAACAATCACGACTTGGTTTCAGAGGAGCGCATAGGGTCACACTGCAGCTTACCTTAACATATATATAGGTCTCGTCGTGCATACCGGCCATGCTACAATCAACAGGCCATCGGGCGAAGTCGTGCAAGCTTGTTTGTTACCTTACCCTACGAATGAGAGGATCTGACATAAAACTGCGGTTAATGACGTCTTGATACCTATGCTGCGGTGCCAAGACCTTCCCTAAGGTACGAGGGCTTGCCGAACTGGACAGCAGGAGACCGACGCCGCATCTGCGCATGTGGTGTTCTTGAGCCGGACACGGCATATCTTGGCAAGCCATGGAAACATTTGATACATACCATCTTATATTGGGCTCACGGGAAGCCCGGAAGACGCAGCACATCATTCCCCTGTTTCAATCCTGCGCTGCTGGTTTTCGTTGATCCCGAGCCTCTCACGCTCGGGAAGAAATCAGAACAGACGTCTACGGGAGGAACATGTCGTCAAGACTACACTACCTCGTCGTCAGCACCATGCTGAAGTTACCCATATGACGGGCTACTACCGCCCGTGGCGCCAAGGCTAACTTTATTAGGTAGTCGACGAATACGAACCCTACCGTTGCATTGCAGTAGATGTTGCAGTAGACCAGTTCGTCGGACAGCCAAGCAACATCCCAACCATGCGACAACAGAAGCGGCTGACAACCAGTGTGGGCGGGTTGGCACGTTTCTTCCAGAAATGTTAACTTGGTATACCTTAGTACTATGGTAGGTCTCATCCTGCAGCAGTCTAGTGCTGCAGGTTTGAAAGGACCAACACGAGCTTCACAAGTTTGACTCTAGCTGTTTACGAGAGCGAGAATGCACGTTGCAACCGCGTTTACCCATTCTATATTTACACGAAGACGGGATGAATGCAGATCACATCAGCTTAAAGTGGTCAGCTCATGAGATGATGTTGGCTACATACCTTAGTGCCCCGATGAGAAGGAATGTAATAAATGTTTGTGGATTCACCATTGATGCGCTCCTGAGGGGTAATACAACTTGGCGGTCGTGAAACAACTGGCCATGTTCCGCCGCCCACCATCGTACCTCCAGTTCAAGTTTCTAATGGCCAAATTTCGCACTCCCAGCCTATTGTATTAGCATACTCATGATCCCTTTTCTTGATTATTTTAGATATCATACAGGTATCGCACTGAGTAGTAAGTAGCCGCACACGATAAGTGGAAGTGTTACTAGGTACAGACAGCCTCATCATTATCGCGGTCACCTGCAGCAGCAGCAGCAGCAGCAGCTTGATAACGTCACCGTACCTACTACCTAGGTAGGTATAATGGTTGTGTCTGGAATGGTCATCAACGAGCCCAGGCCGTGAGGATCCAGGACGAGGACCTCTCGGACCGATAACATTGAAGAAGATCGAAGGCCAGCCACCAAGCCACCCGCCGCCACTAACTCGGCAGTGCAAGCCCCTTCCCTGCAAGCCCTGCCCACTGCTGGCCACTGCCAATCACGGCCCCCGCCGTCCGTCAACATGAATCCAGTGATCCACTCCAAAAACCCCCCGAGCAGGAAACGCCAAAAAAGCCTGCCAGGGAGTCGCATTGGTCCCGACGTTGCCCAGCGCTGCAGAAAAGCCGACAGCCGACTGCTCAGTGGTCAGTGCCAGTCGTCAGGGTCAGTGGTGGTCACTTCAGGAACTCACTTCCAATTGGCATTGCCGAATCGCACCCCAATTCAAGGTTACCCGTCACCTCACCCTCACCCTCCAACGCCAACGCCTCGCCTGCATTGCTGCAACGAACAACAACTTCAACGGCGATACCTCCGACTACCTGCTCCTTCGTTTTGCAGGCCCCGATACAGCAGGTTCTGGGCACCACATTCGTTTCTACACGCTCGCTGTATCTAGGCCATGCAAACGACCCAGGTCTAGTTATTTCCTTGCCCAGGTAATAGGATCGACAGCTGCCATTCCTGCTTGTGTAGCTTGGCACCGTCTCGTCTCGTCGTAGCCGTTGCGCATCCCCCCAAGCCCCGTGTCTCGAGCTGTGAATCCCGACGTCGTCGTCAAACACCCGACAGTGTAGGACAAAACTGGCGAACCGAACAATCCGAATTGACCGAAACCGCATGCCCGTGCGCATCTTCGATCCTATCCAGCCCGCAGACGCCAGACGCCAGACGCCAGCCGCCAGCCATAGAGGTCTCTCACGAGAGACTCTCCCTACTCGATGCAGAGGCGCTCGTCGGGGTCGTCCGAAGACAGTGCCGACGCTCCCCTCACGGCTTCCCGCGCTCATGCGAGGTCAAGATCCAACGATACCTCCTCCTTGAACCGACATCCCCATCACCTTCGCCAGTCAGAACGCCAGCGCAATCCCGCTGCGAGGTCCACGTCTGCGCGTAGCCGCGCCGCCAATAGTAATGTCAATTGGCAACTCTCACACAGTCGAGATGCACCGGCTGCAAAGGACAATATCATGTCGGCGTCTACGGTAACAAGTTCTGTAGACACTGGCATCGTGGGCGGAAAAGTCTCAACATGGAAGTCGAGAAATCATCGGCCACGTTACAGAAGTCCCTGGGCCATGTCGTTCTTGACATTTTTCGCGAGCGCTGCGGGAATCGCCCTAATAATATCCGTATTGTACTCCTCTGCCAAACTCCACTGCGACTCTAAGGGCTGTCGCATGTCGTGGATGAGCCCGTCATTCATCCCGTTTACCGATTTCGATACCGAGCACACTCGTTTCGCCAGCAAGTACTCATTATATCTATACCGAGAGCAAGGGATAGATAATGGGCCAAAGGTATGAGGAGCCTATGGCCGTGGGGTTACTTGCGCGACGCAAAAGCTGATACAATAAAACAGGTCAAAGGCATACCAGTGCTTTTTATACCAGGGAATGCCGGGAGCTACAAGCAGGTTCGCTCTATTGCTTCCGAGTCGGCCAGGTATTTTCACGACATTCTTCAGCACGATCCGGCAGCTTTGGGGTCTGGCGCCAAGAATTTGGACTTTTTCTCTGTCGACTTTAACGAGGACTTCACAGCTTTCCACGGCCAAACCATGATGGATCAGGCCGAATACGTCAACGAAGCCATCAGATACATTCTATCGTTATATCTAGACCCGCAGAAGTCAGAGAGAGACCCCAACCTTCCGGACCCATCCTCGGTCATCGTCCTAGGTCATTCCATGGGCGGCATCGTTGCCCGCGCATCATTCATAATGCCGAACTACCAACCTAATTCTATCAACACGATCATCACCATGTCCGCTCCTCATGCTCGGGCGCCTGTCACGTTTGATCCGCTGATTGTCAAGATATATCAAGATATCAACGACCATTGGCGGCAGTCTTATGCCAAGAAGTCGTCAACTGAGAATAGTCTGGGTCAGGTCACTCTAGTATCAATTGCTGGTGGCGGTTTGGACACCGTAGTCCCTTCGGACTACGCCAGTATAGAATCCCTCGTACCTGAAACTCATGGTTTCACCGTTTTCACATCGACGATCCCAACTGTCTGGACCAGTATGGACCATCAGGCAATCACGTGGTGTGACCAATTTCGAAAGGTCATGGTCCGCGCTCTGTACGATGTGGTTGACAACCGGGGGAAGTCACAGACCAAGCAACGGGCCGATAGGATGAAGTATCTGAAGAAGAGGTTCTTGACCGGGATGGAGAGCATCGCTGAGAAGACTTTGCCGGAGGCGCAACCAAGCACGCTTTTGACAATGGAGGATGATCCAGATGCAATCAGCGCTGAAGGAGAACGTCTGGTGCTTCGCAATCTCGGGTCAACCAGGAAGCCAAAGGCTTATCTACTGCCTGTTCCGCCAGAAGGCTCTCCCGGTGGTAAGAAATTCACGCTTCTCTCTGACAGTCGACTTGATTTCTCCGGAGAGAGTGGGAAACTGGAAGTACTGTTCTGCAGCGTCTATCCCCTGCAACAGGGACAAGTCAATATGCCATTCTCGATGGATCTGGATCTCTCAAATGACAATCCAAGCACTACGAGGCTGGCTTGCAAAAATGCAGCCGCTGATGTGGTGGCATTGCCAGCTTCTACTCGCGCGACGGAACAACCCTTCTTCCTGGAGGATCAGCAGCAGATACTGCCGTTTTCGTACCTTGAGTATGATATCGATGATAATTCAGACCACCACTTTGTTGCAGTTGTGGACAAGACTGGGGTACCAACCCCTGGATGGGTTGTTGCCGAGTTCGGCGATGCGATTGAAGCACGTCTGACACGACACATCAGCCTCAGGCGTCTTCTGGCCTTCGGCTTACAACTTCAACTCCCTTCAACTCGGCCGATGGTTACAGAGGTTCGAATCCCGTCTGTCGAGAGTAGTCTGCTGGCATACAATTTGGAGATTGAAGACCAAGTTTGTCGCGAACGAAGGGAGCTTTTCAGGCCGTTGGTGCGACAATACCTGTCGAAGCCGTACGAGTCAAAATATTTTGTTGATGCCAAAAATGTGGAAATCAGCCTTCATGGCGTCTCACCATACTTGCCGCCCCCTATGAGGTCCAAGCGAAGCGACGATGGCCTCAGTTTGCAGTTTTGGACGGACCCGACCTGCGATACTAGCCTTTCGATCAAGCTTACTGTTGACCCGATGGGTAGTGTTGGAAAGCTATATATGCGCTACCGGACGGTATTCGCTTCCTTTCCTCTGCTCATAGTAGCAATGGTGCTGCGAAAACAATTCCGGGTGTACGACAGCACTGGGATATTCATCCCCTTTACCGAGAGCCTCGATAGTTGCCTTCGGCGGTCATTACCCATGTTGTTCCTGTCTCTGACCTTCTTGTCACTTTCGATGGGCCAGTCAAGCTCATCCGAGCACAGGGGACTCTGGCTATGGCGAAACAGTACTTCTGCTGCCGCTTTTGCTCAAAACGATCTACTCGTTGGCACCACGGACCCGTTCTTCTGGTTCCTGATCCCAATGATCAGCATCATCTGTATAGGAGCTTGCGTCGTCGTCCACTACATGGCTCTCATTCTCATTTCGGTGTTGAGTGCCCTCTATGGCTGGGTGTTTGCCCGCACCGTCGTGCGACAGGACGATAAGAAACAGCCCCAGTCGCCAAAACATGTCCCATCGCCTATTTTCACACCCGCATCGCCACAACGGCGGGTCATCACTACTGGGATCCTGCTTCTTCTCGTCTCGACGTTTATACCCTATCAGTTCGCATACGTCGTCGCTTGTCTGGTCCAACTGAGTACGAGCGTACGAGCGCACCGGGCTGCGTGCGAAACTGTGTCACCCGCAAATACCAACTTCAGCAACTACGTCCACACAGTCTTCCTCCTCATGTTTTGTCTGTTGCCAATCAACTTGCCCACCTTGGTCGTATGGGTGCGCAATTTAGCCGTAAATTGGTTTACACCTTTCTCCTCTTACCACAATGTGCTTTCTATCCTGCCATTCATCCTCCTGGTCGAAACTCTCACAGCCGGCAAAATGCTCCCATCCGTCACAAGTCGGCTTCGGCACTTGACTAATGTCCTGTTCTTCGGCATAGCAGTGTATGCTGCGATCTACGGTGTATCGTATGCGTATATGCTACATCCACTGGTCAATGTACTAGTTGCTTGGCTTGTAGCTATCCATTCCACTTCCGACTCTTGGGCCTTTGCTGCAATTAGGTCGGTATTTGATGGCGAGTCACCGAACAATCGAAAGCAGGGCAAAAACCCTTGAGTTGTCACATAGTCTTCGGTTATGAAGAGTCCAGGCACTTCACCCGTCGAACAAGTGACGCCACCTCTGGAATGCCACCTGGGAAATTGGATATCGAATCGTTCTAACGGCCTTGGGCAGATCACGATGGATATCGATGATACCCCTCAGTAACCACCTTGGTCCTAACGTATATACTTCCGGAACCTGGTTTCGTCAACGAAACGCGTGTGCAACTTGAGCGCTATCCCTGGGCGGCACATATACTTGTTCCTGGTTTCCAGGGACAGTACAACTTCCCAAAGAGCTTTGCCTACGACCATCTCGCATTTTCTTTTGACTCACCATACCCATGCCTATGGCATAAGCATTTGCATCACACATTGTCCGGCGTTCAGGCTTCGGTGGCGGTCTGTTTTCTTTAGCTCGGTACTGGTACAGGACTGTGGCTTCGTCGTAATGTTACCTAATGAGGGCAACGGCTCGTTGGACAGGAGCATCCGCGCTCACATATTCGCGGCTTGTGGCACAGACTATTGTATAAAGGCTCAGCACGCCAGGCTTCAGGGATTAGATGTTCGACGGCACCGGGTTAGAACTGCTCACCGTGCGAACAGGGACACCGCACTTTCCCACGTCAATCTTTTCGGGGTCTGTATATGTGTCGTCGGAGTAGAGGTTGATGTCAGGCAAGGGACATCTCATAATAGCGCCAGGAAAGGGGCTGATTCACGCAAACCACCAAATGTGTGGGAGACATCACGTCTGTGGGATGTAACGCAGAGAAGTTCTGCCCTGTAGCCAGCGCGGATTAGTGGGATACACTTGCTGTAGCTGGGATAGATGGCATGTTGTCTGCCCTCTACGGACAACAGCATGGCAAGAACCAGGCAAATCAAGAACATGTTAAAATGACTATCTGCTACATTCATTGAATTATGTGATTCGATACTGACCAAAGAAAGCAAAACAATGGCCGCTTGTTCCAGCAGGAACGTGATGTGTTACAGGTTACACAACCAATTGATCTCTGCTTACAGTTGCTGAACACAGAGACAAACCCCCTTTGTCCAGCTATGCAGCCAAGATTGGTAGATGCGAGATAGGGGTGAGACCTGTCGCACGAGCACTCGAGCAGTCTCATTACCTGGCTTTTCGCCCAGCCAGCACGGCCCTTTGCTCTTGTCGTTCATACACTTTGGAGGTTTCGCCTGTTACTTGCCCACCCAAAATATGTACGCGGTGGTGACTCGAGCCGGTTGCGTTGGCGACAGAGACGGCTATGTTAGTAGGCGCAGATATCTAACAAGCCCAGGCGATTCACAAGATGACCGTGACACTTGCAATTCGCTGGTATATCTCTATTCTATAGGCCTGTCTATGTACTCAACAGACCTAAACATGATCGCTCTCGCTCTATCGAGTGCAAATGCTCTATCGAGTACAAATGCTCGCTCTATCGAGTACAAATGCGCGTGGCCAAACCGCAGGCTGTCTCTGCTCCTCTCGCTTGCGGTTGCCTGTAATTGCCAAAGGGTATTCCTGTCTACCTTCCTCTAGTGTGCAGGTAGTTTCCACGATAAAGAAAAGGGTTCGTCTGTAGTTGCGTAGTTTGGTACGATCACTCCCCAGCATGGCCTTTGCCCGTGCTGCTCTGCCTGACCCGCCACTGGTGCCAAATAACCCACAGTGTAACGCCAAGACCGAGGCCACACGCGCCCAGAGTCACCAGGTACGCGTCCCGGTAGCACTTGATGCCCTCTGTACAAGTCCTCCCGCCGTCGGGCTCGATGACTGAATGGGCGTCAAGGACTTTGCCGTAGTACAGGTTGAAGATGTTGCTGGAGAATACTGGAGACAAAGTCATAAGTCCCCAGTTCTGACTCAGACCGTGAATGCCGAAGGATTCGGCCACGATGGACGGGAACACGCCAAAAAGGAAGCCGTATCCAAGACCGCTCAAGCCGGATACGAAGCCCAAAAGATGCGGGCTCAGGATAGTCAGGGCGCATATCTGGGCCAATGAAAAGACGACCGAGGCAACAACCAGACACCATATGCGGCTGGCATGCAAGACCTTGACGAGTAAGTCGGAGCCTACACCACTGAGGAGCCGTCCAACAAAACTGCCAATTGATAGGATTGAGACATGGAGTTGCTGGTGAAGAATGATAGTCTTGTCGTCGATGGAGTCGTCGTAGTGCTTCCAGAGCGCTTTGGCGTTGTTTCCAATATTGCTTGAGACTTGATTAGCCACAATTTCGAGATCAACAGACTAGTATATTAGTATATTAATCAGGAATGTAGCTTACTTGATGGTCATAATCCCGATACCTGACAATATAGCCATGATGACGAATTGCTGCCAAAATTCCAGGGTTTTCACAAGGTTCATAAACCCGCGGATGTCTACACGATGAGAGCGATCCATATCAACACTGCTCTGTACTAATATTTCACCTGGCAACGAAGAGGACGTGGTGGATTGGGATAGTAGTGAAGACCTCTCGTCTGCTTCATCCGGGACGCCTGAAGGCGCCGAGTCTGCAGCGAGCTCGACGTCAACCGCTCGGCTAGATCCGTTGAAGTGAGAGGAATCTCCGATCTCGGTTCTCTCATCTCCTTGGTCTGAGGCATCAAGGGTCATTCGGGTGCTGGTGGTGGTGCTACTGGGCGGCTTACCAGGTTCAGATGGGTTTCCACGCCCCGCGCGGGAAGCTTTGGATTCCTGCGACGTCGTCCGGTGCAACTCTTGGGAGTCGGTTATAGCTGGGTCGGCAGCAGGCACCGCTTGGTAGGGCGATGACGGAGGGAGCACACGCAAAAAGAAGAAACCAACGAGTGTCATGCCAGAGGTTCCACATGATAATAGCATGAGAAAGCTGCTTGGACTTCCAGGGAAGAAGATGGAGCCTATCAGAGAATAGAAGAAGGCGCTCAAGCCAAAGGCCGCAAGGGGAAAAGCGGTGGCTGTACCCCGATGGTGTGGCCAGTTCAGGGCCGAAGTCTTGATAGCGGCCGCGAAAGCCATGCAGCCTCCGAGGCCTGATAGGAACGAGACGAAGCACATCCAAGGAACTGAACCATGGCCGGCATCGTAGGCTTGATGTAAGGGGAAATAGCCGACCCCAAGCAGGACGGCTCCAACGATGACAGCAGGCCGTGGTCCATGACTGTCGACAAACTTGCCAATGAAGTAACCCATCAAGTACATTCCAAGGTTACCAGCGAGCCCGATGTATTCGCTCTCGGTGGCCGACAGCTGCAGCCTGTCGGCAAATTGGGGCGCCCATGCCGAGTATGCGTACTGTTGTGTTGGCTGTCAGCTGCAAGCAACCTTGGAATAGCTGGATCTGGCACTCACATTGGTGCCACAAGCCAGAGATATGATGGTGGCGGCAACGCTGGACACAATGCGAGCATTGCTGACCTGTGTTTCCCGAGTCATACTGACAGCTTGCGGCTTCGGCCCCGATCAAGATATCATGTCTTTCCTTGGTGTGTGGAGCGTGTCCTCGGGCGCAGAAGAGCTCAGAATATGGCAGATTCGAAATGTGTAAGTAAGATGCGGAATGCGATCGGAGTCGGCTGATAGGCGCACGAATGGTAGCTGTGATGTAGCTGTCGTGTCGGACAGATTGCCAGCTTCCGAGGCACGAGGTGTGCGACTGGCGACTGGCGCAGGGAATATGGTCTGGTCTGTAGTTCTTGAGCTGGTGGTAATGAAGGAGAGTGTAACGAGTACGAGTGGACAGAGAAAGAGAGAGATATGCTCTATCGGAAAGAGTATGTTATCGCAGTTCAGAAAACAGTAACGAAGGAGTGAGGTCCAAAGGGATGCCGATGCTTATCACAATCACTGATCAGCATCTCGGATGCGATTACCATTGCTTCACTCCCAGCTTTATCAATGCCCAATGCCGCTGCCGCCCTGCCAATTCTGCCAATCCTGCCGCGTGTTCAGGGCAAGAAGCGGGCGGACTATTCTCTTTCAGGGCAAGCGCCGGTCGGTGGGAGTGTCAAGTGTGCCTGGCAGCGTGGCAGCCGCTCCGACAGTGGAGGCTGCGCTCGGTTAAATACATATGTGTATATGCTTATATGCAACTTGCACTATGTGGTAACAGCGATAGGTAACAAATGAACAGGAATAATGAACAGGAATAGTGAACAGTCCAACATCAGGAGTGAAGCAATGCCAGCTTCAAGATGACTAGAATAGCACGTGGACAGGTGCTTTTTCTTATTAAGTGATGTCCTAATGTTCCCAAATTGTTAAATAAGCTTCACGCTTTCACAACGCCAAGACATGGAACCTAAAGTGGCAGAGTGGAATGCGACGACGTACAGTAATACATGGTCCGTGCCCACCTTTTGTCGGTGTCGGTGTCGCCGTCGCAACTGTAGCCGCAGCCGCGGATGCAACAACTCCCAACTATCAATCCTCCCCATTCGAGCATCCGAGCACCTGTCTCATCCCCTTATACGACTCGAGACAACACAATATCCCAATCGTCTATCACGCCAGACACCATGGGTGCTCTTCTGTCTATTCCGATGCTGGCCCTGCCCGGCGCAGGCGCTGTACGTTGGAACCCTGATGGCCACGCATCTCCCCTACCAAGTACTAACTAATGAGCCAAACAGGTCATGTCTATGGCTGCGAGCTGCTGTGGTGCTGCCACCTGCTCTATGGTATGCAGTGCCTGCGGCAAGTGTGGAAACAGGTAAATATCTCTATTCATATACCTCTACCAATGCTGGCAATGTACGAGTAGCTGATCTATTCAACCCAGTGTCGCAACCCGTGTCGCCTACGCCCTCCTCCTTCTCGTCAACTCCATACTATCCTGGATCATGCTCACGCCATGGGCCATCGAAAAGCTACAACATCTGATGCTGGACTATGTCAAGATCGACTGCCCGAACGGCCAATGCTACGGATGGCTGGCGGTTCACCGTATCAACTTTGCCCTCGGCCTGTTCCACTTGATCTTCGCCGGCCTGCTCTTCGGTGTCAACAACTCCAAGAACCCGCGCGCCGCTCTTCAGAATGGATACTGGGGCCCCAAGGTCATCGCCTGGATCGCCTTCATCGTCATGTCCTTCCTCATTCCCGATGCCTTCTTCCAGGTCTGGGGTAATTACATCGCTTTCATCGGCGGCATGCTCTTCCTGGTTCTAGGTCTTATCCTTCTGGTCGATCTCGCACATACATGGGCCGAATACTGCCTCGAGCAGATCGAAAACACCGACTCCAAGGTCTGGAGGGGTGTCCTCATCGGTTCAACCTTGGGCATGTACCTGGCTTCGTTGGCAATGACCATCATCCAGTACATCTTCTTCGCCAAGAGTAGCTGCTCCATGAACCAGGCCGCCATCACCATTAACCTACTGTTCTGGCTTGCCATCTCCTTCATCTCCGTTCATCCTACCATCCAGGAATACAACCCGAAAGCCGGTTTGGCGCAGGGTGCCATTGTTGCCGTTTACTGCACATACCTCACCATGTCAGCTGTCTCCATGGAGCCAGACGACAAGCAATGCAACCCTCTCATCCGTGCTCAGGGCACGCGGACAACCTCTGTTGTCATTGGTGCCATCGTCACGATGCTGACAGTTGCCTACACGACCACGCGAGCCGCCACCCAGAGTCTTGGTCTTGGCAAGAACAGGGGCGGTATCAAGCTCCTCGACGACGATGAGCACGACCTCGTGACCCAGCAGCCCGGACGTCGCGAGATGCGGGCTGAAGTCCTACGCCGAGCCGTCGAGGAAGGAAGTCTGCCCGCAGACGCCCTGCTGTCCGATGACGAGGACGAGGAGAGCGGCGGCAACACGCCCCACGACGACGAGCGCAGCAGCACACAGTACGATTACTCCGTATTCCACATCATCTTCTTCCTTGCCACTTGCTGGGTGGGAACGCTCCTCACGCAAACGGCGGAGGGCGACGAGATGAAGTTCGACGGCGACTTCGCAACGGTTGGACGGACCTACTGGGCCAGTTGGGTCAAGATCGTCAGTGCCTGGATCTGTTACAGCATGTACATCTGGACTCTGGTGGCCCCTGTCGTCCTGCCGGAACGGTTCGACTTCGACTGAGGGTAATCAAACACTGCGGTTTTCTGGAGTTGCGGATATACCTGGGTAGCATCATTTTGGAAGGCCGGGAGGGGATATATAGCATAGCATAACACAACTCTGGTGTTTGTTCTCAACACTGTCCAAATTCACTAGTATTGTATAGTCGTGGTAATACCAGTTGGTTCGAGAAGAGCATGCGTGATTGAATGGAGTGGTGACACTGCGAAACTTAGATGCTCAAGCTGCCTACGCCGATATCTGAAATGGTATGTCCCTTCTGCTGCATTGACTACTGTCGACCTTTTATCGCAAATCGTCCCTAACATGTGCATCTCGCAGGAGGGAAGTTATCAGTGCTTCCTTCTCTCATCACAGAAATTCTCAGCCTGATAATGTACGTGGTTTGATCTGGCAATGTATGTGACGATTAGAGCCGGAAGGGCATAAGTCGACTAGATCTACCCAGCGGAGAGCCAAATGCCGTCAAGTATTCGTAGTTGGCCGTTTCACACAACAATTTTTCCTTACACTGAAGCGCCACTGAGCGGCACCCCTGACTCGATAGCATTGCTATCGAAGGGCAGACAAGCATGTCGTTCATTCAGCATATTTGGGCATATATTTAAGGCAATCTTCCCGGCTCAAGATTACAGCTCGATGCGCCGAATTGTTGATTCATATTGAGTTAATATTCAGGGAGCACGTATCACAACCACAGGGCTGTATACTGTAAGCGCGTCCAGCACGGCTGGGAAAGGGGCAACTGGCAAACCAAGGCACACCGTCAAGCCCGGCACGATGACTACCTTCCAACTCGCGGATCTACTGATTCTAGTTGATGTCATTCGTCATTTGGTCCGACTTGCCACCAGGGATCAGTCATTGTCGCATTCCTCTCTGGGTGGGACGGTTGCCGTAGGAGCTTCTAACCTACGTAGGCCGTACCTTCTCTTGGATGACACAAGATGCATGTCGTCTAGACAGGTCAAGTAGTAGCAGTACCCAGTTCAACACTGGCATTAGATTGATAGAATTTCGTGAGATTATGACATCTAACAATTCGCTATCGGCGATGCCCGTCTTTGCCACATCTGTCTAATCTACCAACCCGTGGCGAGATATCCTGACATCCAGCTCACGTCAGACACAACATGTGAAGGCATGGGGAACGTGAACGACGTTGCCCAAGTGTAACTCCCCGTGGCAAACGGCCGGAACACGGGGACCGTTGGGTATCATGGGGATGGTCGCCGGCTTGGCTGTCTTGTACCCCTATCACGCCTTAGCTTCGAGCGTGGTCAATGCTGTACATACATGCGCACATATGTACATACACACGTGCCTGTTTTGTGCACTAAGAAGCACGACTGTGACAACGCCCATAAACGGCCTCATGCAGCGTCACCACTGCATAAGGAGTCACGGGGTCAGCTCGGTGTCTTTCGCTTAGATCCTGCTTGCTCCCGGCTTCGTGATCAATAATCACTGCTGTGCCACTCGGGCATAGTGGTCGTCTGTGGCATGGTTCAGCCCTCTCGAGCCCCGGTTTGTGTTTGTATGTCGTGTGCATATGCATGACACAGTATACTCCCACTGGGCATCTGCCAGAGCCATGCTTTCGAGCCTCGACGTCGATCATCTCGGGGCCGCAGGGATGTGATCGAGTTGTTCGTACAAGGCTTCGGAGCTCAAGCCTGATACCATGAACCCCACGTAGTCTTAAGGACCTCTCGCCAGGCTTGGGAAAGGGGTCTGTATCGAAAATGGTGGCCGCCTCTTTTTCTCCCAAGACTCTCTCTTCATTGACCGATCCATGAGTGGACCACTCATAGAGCTCAAGCACCCCCCACGGAATGCTCATACTGAAGAAGAGAAGATAGCGGATGGACAGTACAAGTCAATGGTGTGTTCCACGGGGTCGCTGCGGGTAGCCTCTGTAAGCATCAAGCAGTTGTGAGGGGAAGGGGTCGCCCACAGCCAGGTCTTGTAGCGCCATAAGGATGATTTGAGTACACCTCTAGCAGGTTGCAGCCGATCAGGTAAACGGGCCGAGTCCTGAGAGTCAATGTTCTCGGGTAATTATGATGTAGCTTGGGGGCTTGCAGTATCCCCTGCCCTGTCTCTTGCGTGTTCTGACCTGTGGTGACTGGGTTCCATGACAACGCTCGGCCAGGAGGTATACAATAAGGTCAGCCCAACGATGGGCTAGCCCGTTTGAGATTTATGTGTATGACGCGGTGTGGCCCATCATGGATGTCAGTGTAGATCTCTTGCTGTGTCGTGAGTTGTCGTCATGTTGTCCTTGTTTGTTTCGAAGCCCGACTTTGGATAACAGGGCAGGACAATGCGTCCCCTCTTCGAGACTGCCGTGGGCTACGTCGGTGATTGGTCCGGTTTTTTGAGCTCCTGACACTCGTCCCATCCTCGAGGGTGTGGGTGGACGACATCCTCAGTTCGACTGTGCAGGAGTACAGATGCCGTATACCCGTACGGACATGGCGGTACCGATGCTAGTGATGTTCAGTGTTGATTGAAGCCGAGACGATTCTTGAGAGTCAGACTCTTACTCACAGCCCGCTTCGTGGCTAGCAGCTTCATATATATAGAGACAAGTTATCATAGGCAATGCTGCCATATGACCTGTCATTGTTTTTTCTGCAAAGAACCCGTGCTCTGCATCCGTGAAGCTGATGTCGCTCGTGTAGACCAGGTATCCTCTCAGATAGCCTACCTCCCGTGACTTGTCACAAACCCAAGAGGTATGCGTGCGTATCTCTCTGCGAGCAGACCAAGAAGGCGAAGGCCACATGAAGGCAATACCCGACAGCAAATCAAATGCCGCCAAGGAGAAGCGCTAGGCAAGCGGCAGATAGCCTTGAAAGGTCGCGCATGGTTGAGTCCAGATTCCACCCCATGCCTTCGACGAATTGATCACCCCCGGATTGTTTGCTATCAACTGCATCCTGAAGGGCAGAGGCCGCAAAACCAATCCGGGGTAGGGAACCATCGATGCTTGCCAATCATTCGAGTACCATGCGTCTCTCACCGCCTCTTCTCTTCGCTTATCTCGTCGCTTTTTCGATAGATGTAGGCTGACGATGGGCTCTCACACCGGCCTTCTTGGAGGTCGCCGATCAAGACTGCCAAAGGATTGAATCAAGCTTATTTCATCTCCGATGACTGCCTAGAGACGGGTAGTTGCTGCATTCTTGCATGGAAGGCGACTGCATCACGGGGCTGGGAGGGGGGCACAACCCCAGATGTGAGAGAAATCTCCGATGTCAAGAAGAGACATGACTCTCTGCTTGACGAGTACCCAATAGCGACGCGCATATGATAAGAAGATGTCTGCGTCGACGACAAGTCCAAGACATCAAAGGGTTCAACATCAACGATTCCACGGCTAGATGCAGAAAACACTCAAGGTCAGGGACTCATTCGCGCTGTGTGTGTAACCTCGACTGGAAGACTCAGCTGATCAGTGCGGAGAAGCCCTCTCCTCGCCAAAGATTTCTCATCTATTGACACCGGTCTCATTTAAACGGCGTCTTCCTCCTCTTGTGCATTCTTCACCGGTCGGCGCATGCCAGCAGCAAATCCAAAACCATCAGTCGCAAGATGAAGGAAGATGTGTGGCATGGCGTGCGCGCAAACAACGCAGAGTGCGGGGTTCCAAATTCCGAAATATGTGAAGGGCGCGTGAGGAAAGAAGTCTACTCAAGAGAAGCCGCTGGCGTGCGTGAAGACAAGCTCGCTCAGCGACCTGCCATCTCCCGCCGATTTCCTTCTGAGAGCTGATTGGAGCACTTGTCCAGCCAGACTTAAATCCGGAAGAGGTAGGGTAAGGCGATTGCTCAAAAGCCTATGTCAGTCTCAAGTAACGCAGGCTAGGGGCTAGCTTGTGCGAGAAGGGCAGCGCATAGATTGTGTCCTCCCCGTTGGTGGCGGATCTATTGTCATCCCAAGCACAACATCGCATCTCAAGTGTACTACTGGAGATGATGTGTGAGCTTCGAGTGTTCCCTTTAAGCCCCTGTCGGAAAAAGCCAATGGAAATCAATCTTGCTTGGCATCAAAGCTGCCATGAGCCTATTTTTCATTGCATTCCATGCGTGGCTAGAAGTGACGTTTATCGAACAACCAAGAACCATGGCGATAGGTACACAGCCAGTTCGTCAATATAAAAGGGTGGACTCTGGCACGTTCAAGGTAACGAGGGATGCCCCGTAGGCTCCATCAAGTGTGTTTTGTTTTATTTTTGAAAAAAAGTTCCATTCCAACTCCAACTCCATCTCCATCATCATCGGATTCTGTGTCTGGACGAGGTCTTTCTTTTAGACGCAATCTCGGCAAAATGCCACACAGCGTGCGCAATGCGCACAAGGCGACCAAAAGGTTCGTCGACGAGTGACCGCGTGTCGAAAGTGCAACCTACTAAGACGACGTCTATAGTGGTACGCAAAGGCGCGAGGAGAATGTTGCCGTGCAAACCCCCGCCGAGTACGACAGAGCTGCCACCGGACAGACCATGCTGAATCGTTGGGCCACTACGACTTCTCACAAGGAGCTGTCCATTTCCGAGGTCCTTCAACAGCCCCAGCAGCCAAAGGGCAGGTAAGCGACACCTTCGTCGTTTGTGCGGTTTCAAGACTGAACGTGGTGGCCAGATCTTCCACCAAGAAGTGATTCGACTATCTGAGCCGAATATTGTATATGTCTATCAAGGGGCAGAGCACCCTCAACCACGTGGAGGCATTTTGATTCCTTGACTCGACACGGTACCTTTAGCGTTGGTCGAATGTATGAAATCTCCCCACCACTATATCGTTCAATGTCGATCGTTTTCAGTGCCCTGCAGTCAGATGCCTATTTGCAGGGAAATAGGCACTCCGCCAGATATCTGGCTTGCATGTCGAATCCCATTAGGCATCACTGCTCGCTGGTGCAGTACCAAGCTGCGCCGCCGGTCCTGCAGCATGGAAGCCGTCCAGCGTGATAGTCACAGCACCGGCTTGTACGAGCTGTTATATATCAGTATGGTGATACGGCATGTTAGGTCTTTGCAACGACTCACCGAGCGAGAGAGATCGTCAATCAGATCATTGACATCTTCAATACCGACACAAAGTCTAATGATGTCCTCGGGCATTTGCCGTTCCTTTCTTGTCTTTGCGTCTATGCTGGCATGACTCATCCGGCACGGCATGCTGATCAAGCTGTTGACACAACCAAAGCTGACGCTAATCCCGTATAACTTTGCTGCCTCAACGATTCTTTCAGACAATGCCACATCAGCAGTCTCGAATGATAGAACAGCACCAGCACCCCTCGCCATTGACCAGTGGAGATCGTACTGCGGGTGAGACTTGAGGCCGGGGTAACGTACGCGGAAGCCGTGGGTCTCGAGGAACTCAGCAATCATCTGGGCGTTTGCTTGCTGCTTCTCCATACGGATCGCCAATGTCTTTACTCCTCTCATCAGAAGGAATGCATCGTTAGGAGAAAGGCCGCAGCCTGTCGAGTTGATAGTAAAGTACATCTTATCACCAATGGCCGGGTCGTTGCAGGCAATGATTCCGGCCATGATATCGTGATGACCAGATAGGTACTTGGTTCCCGACTCGTAGACGATGTCTGCGCCTAGCTCCAGGGGGTTGCAAAGCATAGGAGACAACATGGTGTTGTCGACAATGACGAGGGCCTTGGGGTTGGCGTCGTGGACTGATTTGGCAATTCCTGGTATGTCCACAATCTTGATTAGGGGGTTCGTCGGGGTCTCCAAAAGCACCATGGCAGTCTTGTCTGAGACAACCTCCCGTACCCTTTCGACCTCTGTGGTGTCCACATGATGCACAACTATGCCCTGGTTCGACGACAGATATGTAAGTAGCCGGTTGGTGCCACCGTAGAGGTCATCGCCAGTGATGACCTCATCCCCAGGCCTGAGTAGCCTAGTGATGACGTCTAGGGCACCCATTCCAGATCCCACAGCTAAGGCGCGGGTGGCATTCATGATCTTGGCCATGTGCCGCTCCAGGTGTGTCCGAGTCGGGTTGCCTGATCGTGTGTAGTCGTACTCATTTCCACCACTCGCAGACGTCTGCTTGAAGGTGGCGGATTGGTAGATGGGGATGCTCGAGGCGCCATATTGGTCTTTGGATTCGGTGTAGACGAGTTCAGTGGCAAGGGCATAACGTCTGTGGCCGTTCGACGGACTTGAGGGGGCGGGGGACGGAGGCAAGTTGTGGCCTTCAAGGTCTACTTTGGAGAAAGCCTTGTTGATAGGCTTGGTCGCATCGTCACCTCCGGAGGAAGAGCCATTAGCGGGCGGTGTAGACATTGTAGGCTTGACGGGCTCGTCGAGTCCGAGGGCAATGGAGAGAGTATGGGTGGTGGTGAGTCAGTAGTTAGAGACCAGAGAGAGGAATCGCTGGGAAGCCTGGGATTGGTTGCTCTGTCCAGACAATGATAGAAACCAGGAATTGCCCTGCAGTGTCGTATGAATGCCCGTGAAATGTGAAATCCGCACGGCAATTGGACGAGTCAACAGAGCAGAAAAGATGAAGTCTGGATTAGAAATTACCGATAGCCTGTCACGGCTGTAGAAAAACGTGGCGGGGTGCAGTGCAGGGCCCCCAAAACCCCTTGCAGCCTCCGGTTATCGGTAGCAGAAATCCGGGGAAGCACCATTCAGGATGACGTGATTTTGGCCGGGTCTTAGGTGGACAAAGCGCCTTGGCCCTTGACCTTGGGAGGTACCTAAAAAGGGGGCTCTATGCAGGTGCTTGCAGCTGTTATTCACCTTCATGTCAGCTTATCTGATCTACACGTAAATTTGCAATGTTGAATTGTTCTCATGAGTCACCTCTGGCCATCTTTGGAACCCTGTGAATTGTTGTGATGCAAGACTCATCGATACACACAAGCCGCAGTGATACGCTGGACAAGCCAGTTGGATGCATGTGGTTCGTGTAGATAGTATCATACAGAGATATTTCCAGACCGCACATATGTGCTGAACGTATGGCCATGACGATATAGGTAGTAAGTGGCTTTCACGCCCTGCATGATATCCCAATGATATCCCAGTAACACCTGGATCCCCTCCGCCTTGAGCTCTATGTCCTATGTATACATCGTTGTCTAGATCATGCTGCTTGTTCATCATCCTTCACACCTGCAGCTGAAGTCTCAGCAGCAAACTCCTCATCATCAATGTCTTCGTACTCATCACTGGAGGACTTTGCCCGTGCATGATTGTCCATTAGGATCTGCCCAGCACCTTTCCGCCCGAAGAAGTCTTCCGTTCGCATGCCTCGTACCATACTAGGGTCGATACTTGACATAGAACTCCCCCTGGCTTTGTGTTCACGGATGAACTCGCGAACCGGCACCATGGCGGCATCGCGGCAGGCTTCTTTGATGTCGCTTCCTGACATGCCAGCTGTGACTCTGGCAACATAGTCGATGTTGAACTTGTTCGGGTCGGTTTTGGTGTCCTTCAGGATGAGCTGAAGTATACGTAACCGCTGGCTTTTATCTGGTAATGATACAGGGAACTTCTTCGGCATTCGGCGTAGAATCGCTTCATCAATGTCGTTGATACGATTAGTCGCTCCGAGAACCATGATACGCGCAGGTAAGCCATGCATATTAGCTGAAGTGAGGCCATCCCAGAGCGTCATGAACCTACACACCATCAGTACTGACATGATAAAGGGGCAAACGGAAACTTACTCGGCCTTGACCATACCGCTTGCCTCGTGCTCGCCGCTCCGTCTGGTTCCCAGCACTGCATCAATCTCATCTATGAAGATAATAGCAGGTTGCAGCTTCCGAGCCAAGGAAAACACTGCTCGGACCAGTTTGTTGGAGTCTCCATACCACTTTTCAGTCAACGTCGAGATGTGTAAGTTGATGAAAGATGCGCCGCTCTCGTGTGCAACCGCTTTGGCCAACATCGTCTTGCCGCATCCAGGAGGACCGTAGAGTAATACACCGGATGGTGCGGCTAACAGAGGTGCCGCATGGGAGTACAAATGTGGCATCGTCAAAGGGTATATCACCGACTCCTTCACTTCTTCTATTATGTCCTCTAAGCCACCAATATCTGCCACCAGGTCAGTTCTGAAGACGGGAAACAAGGTCTTAAAGGTTCTCACCATCAAATCCGACTGGTATGTCTTCCGGAGCAACAACTTCTAGCGCAACTAGGTTCTCGTACTCGTTCAGGACCAGATCTTCGATCCGTGGGCCCCTTTGTTCGCCAGTCGCCGCGTCCTCCTCGTCGCCTTCGTCATAATATCTTGCTTTTCGCAACCTCGAAAGATTTGCTTTGGCTTTGATTCGGGCCTGCTCGTGCTTCTCCTTATCTGGGTCGGCAAGGGTACTTTGGAGGGTGGATAGGACGTTCTTTGTCAGAAACCATGCTGCGCCGGCCTGTATACAGCGTTAGAACTGGTAGTATTTCGGTTCTTATGCAGAGAGCTCACCGTGCCTATGATCAGCAGAACGTCCCATATGTAATCAGCGCCCGTCCGTCTGCGGTCGACCATGGCGAGGGACTTCTGCAGCCCACTGAGAAGCATTTGCAACTCCTCGGGGGCACAGAGGTAGGTAACACGGAGAGGATTCCAGCTTCTAGCACCTTGTCCATGCGCTGCAAAGACCTGTAGAAGAAGGATTGCAGTCCGCGATTTGATGTGGAAGTCGAAGCTTCAATGTTCGCCGTACCTGCGAATAATAAGAGGTCGCCTCCCGACTGTATCAATCAATCTGACTTCAATGGGCTGGACATGGAGCGCCACATCAGTATGATTGCATAATGTGGCTTCATAGCGTTATGCACGCAGGTGGGGACAGCAATTAAGCTTGAGCTCGGCTTGCTCAGCGGACCCACCCTATGCCACCCTCCACCATCCATGCTGCCGACCTTTTGTTTACTTCAGTTGGAACCCCCCATCGCGACGCGACCTTGCGCATCCCCACCATTCTTACCAGGATTCGATGGGCTCCTTTGCCCGTTCCCAATCGTGAGCACAACGCGGCTACCACCCACCGAGCCCATCTGGCTGTAAGACCGACAAACCTACTACCGATAATTAGTCCGCCCGTTCATCGTTCAATGTCAAAAGGAAGATTCACCACGCTCCTTGGATTTGGGGATTCGGAGGACGACGAGGTGGACGTGCTGGTAGGAACATCTTCGACTGCAACAAAGCGCCCAAACACAATGGCTCCTGCAAAGAAACGCGCAGCAGCCGCAAACCGAGCCAGCAAACCAGCCGAGACCACGACGCGTCGCACGAGTGGGAGGACGACCACTGCTGCTGCTGCAAAAGCGACAAAAGCGAAAGCGCCCGCACGAAAAGCCTTGGCAGAGAAGACGAATAATATTCCAGAGACTACTGCGCAAGGAAAGGGAAGGGGAAGGAAGCGACCGGCTGCGGAAGAGCTAGAAACGCCAGATACCGAGGAGCAAGACGAGATCGTGTCCGATGCTGGCGCACAGCCGAAAGGTGCCCGGGGTCGCCCTAGGGCTACCAAGGCTCAGAAGGTCTCCGAGCCTGAAGATGAACCGACCGAGCTTGAGCCTGAACCAGTAGCACCACCGGCTGCTAAGAGAGGGCGGAAGCCAAAGACTAAGGTTGCATCGCCACCTGCAGAGAAGGAGATCCCCGAGACACACCAACCAGAGGACGAAATCCCAGAGACTCAGCCAACTGAGGAACTTGACCTGAGCATGGAGGAGGACGAGCTGGTGGATGAGTTGCCGCCTACATATAATCGCGGTGTATCATCTTTACAGCGCACCCGGCCGCCCGTTCCTTCCAGTGCAAGTCAAAGACCAATGCAAACCAAAGATTCCGATCTCCACGATCCCTCATTGAGAAGACGAATAGGGGACCTGACCAAGGAACACGAGAGCTTGAGGGCAAAGTATGCTCAGCTTCACGACATTGGGATCAACGAGGCCGAGCGGAACTATGATCGACTGAAGAAGCAAGGAGAAGAGAAGGCTAGCAGTAAGTTCTGAATCTTGAATAAATACAGGTCAATCAGTAACTAACACACACATTAGCTGGTAATCAGCTCATCGCCACCCTCAAGGCGCAACTATCCACGCAGACAGAGCTGGCTAAGGAATCCCAACAACTGAGACAACAGCTCGAAGCCAGCCAAAGCAAGGTCGAAGAGTTGCAGAGCAAGATCAGTGACCTGAACGGCTCATTGACCGAAGCCAAGGCGGAAACCAAGACGTTGTCGACAAAGCTAGGAGCTGCTCGAACAGCCGCCAGCACAAGCGCAAAGGTTCCAGGCAGTGCGATCAAAGGCGCCAATGCCAATGGTCGCCTGGTGGCCGCCAATGCAGAGGCGGCTGCTCAGCTAGCGCTGACGAAAGAGAACCTGTACGGAGACTTGACCGGGCTGCTGATCTGTGGCGTCAAGCGTGAGCACAACGAAGATGTTTTCGACTGCGTTCAGACGGGCAGGAACACGAGTAAGCTCACACGCAATACGAAAGAACCCATGCCCATAGCTGACCATGCTTTAGCTCTCCATTTCAAACTTGCAATCGGAGTAGACGGTTCATCTGAGAAGCACGATGATGCGCAGTTCATGTACATCCCACAACTTGATCCGAAAAACGACCAAGATCTGATCGACATGCTGCCGGACTATCTTGTCGAGGAGATAACTTTCCCCCGACTACATGCTGCAAAGTTCTACCAAAGAGTCATGAAGACTCTGACAGAACGTCCCGAGTGATACGGTCGAGTTGGAGACAAAGTTGCGCATTGTCGTTTATATGATACCCCGGTATGTGTATTGCGCGGAGTTGGAAAAGATTCAGGAAGTGTCGGGATGTACTGGTTTGTCGACATTGTATATATTGAACTCCCTCAGGGGCAGGTCATGCGCAGCTGGCCCACTCTGTCTATGACGAGAACGGAGTGCACTGACGGAGGACTGTATCCTTGTAACAAACACGGATATGATGCTGTTGTGCCGAAAACAACGGTTCATTGGACCTCGATGTCTGGTTACATGCTATGTGTATGGGTCAATAGGGGTGGTCTAGCGCTGCCATAACCCATTATATTACTGCGAATATTCAAAAGGCATAGTAGCCTAATGCTCAGCAACTTGTTCATGCATATCCTATAGCGAGTAAGGCTTCGACGTTGAGTTATCCTCGAACTGCCTTTACCTGACTTTAATAGAAAAGGGGCTACGGGCCAATGTCGCGCTCGGCTTCAATTGAGGCTCCGTAATTGGAAGTCACCAGCTGGACCGACCCCGCGCACTGCACTAAGACCGTAACTTCAAGTAAGACTTGATCCCTGTAAGCCAAGACGCGTTTTGACTTTTTCGAGAAGACACCTTGACGGCCACTCTGTACATAATGGGCAATTATAATGCGGCCCAGGCCATGATCACCATTCCCACACGTCGCATACTGCTCTCGTTCCAAGTCGCGATATAAAGGTTTCGATGGCTTCCACGTCAGCTGGCCCCCTCTTCTGAATGCAAACTGTTCGCTCCTTGTACGACTATTTTGGCTGTGACGGACCTCACTTTGGACCGATGAAGCCGGTACCTCCGACCACCTCTCGCAATTCCACTCGCTCCTCTTCGACCAGTTCTCGCAACCCGCAACCATGGCGGGTGTCGGCCGGGTCAAGTTCTTGGCTATAGCCATGGTCTTCCACTTGATTTACATATACTCCATCTTCGACATCTACTTCGTCAGCCCCATCGTTAGTGGGATGCGCCTCTTCCAGCCGGATAGGCCTGCGGGAGTGAAGGCGCCCGCGGATCGCCTCGTTCTGTTCGTCGGTAAGTTTCGCGCCCCCAGGCTTCAAGACGTAGCAGCTAATCTCATGCTCTTCAGGTGACGGACTACGCGCCGACAAGTCTTTCCAGACTTTCCCTGAACCGTACCCGAAGACCGACGAAGACCTGACGCCACGCCATCTTGCGCCCTACTTGCGCTCTCGTGTACTCGAACATGGCACTTTCGGCGTGTCCCACACCAGGGTGCCTACCGAGTCTCGCCCCGGCCATGTTGCGCTGATAGCAGGGCTATACGAGGACGTTTCGGCTGTCGCGACAGGCTGGAAATTGAACCCTGTCAATTTCGACAGTGTTTTCAACAGAAGTAGACATACCTGGAGCTGGGGCAGCCCTGATATTCTTCCCATGTTCGAGCATGGTGCAACTCCGGGTACGATCGACGCATACTGTTACGATGCCGACTTTGAAGACTTCTCCCTAGATGCCTTCCATCTGGATCTCTGGGTCTTTGACCATGTGAAAGAAATGTTTGCTGCCGCCGAGAACAATAAGACATTGAACGACGCTCTGAGACAGGATAAGATTGTGTTCTTCCTCCATCTACTTGGACTCGACACTGCTGGGCATGGATTCCGACCATATTCGAAAGAGTACTTGAATAACATCAAAGTCGTTGACGATGGGGTCAGAGAGATTACCGATTTGATACAGAAATTCTATGCCGATGACAGGACAGCTTTTGTTTTCACTGCGGATCATGGCATGAGTGACTGGGGAAGCCATGGAGATGGGCATCCAGACAATACGAGGACACCGCTAATAGCCTGGGGTTCTGGGGTTGCGAAACCCGTAGTGCACCCAGACGCGGTAGCGCCCGGCCACGACCATTACTCTTCGGATTGGGATCTCGACCAAGTTCAAAGACACGATGTGCAACAAGCCGATGTCGCCGCACTCATGGCTTACTTGTTGGGTGTCGAATTTCCAGCCAATTCCGTTGGCGAACTTCCGCTATCATATCTGTCCGCGGATATCAAAGAAAAAGCCAAGGCATCTATGCTAAATGCCCAAGAGATACTGGAGATGTATCGGGTAAAGGAAATAAGTAAGAAGAAAGGAGAACTGAGATATCAGCCTTACAAACCACTGAGCGAAAACAACGGCGTCCTCGCGGAGAACCGACTTTCTTCAATCAAGGATCTGATCGACAGTGGGAATTTTGAGGAGGCCATTGAAGAATCTGCGGCGCTCATGAGGATCGGTTTAGAGGGGATGCGCTACCTTCAGACCTACGACTGGCTCTTCTTAAGGGCTCTCATCACGATCGGGTATCTCGGGTGGATTGCCTTTGCTCTTACAACCGTGATTGACCTGCACGTTGTACAAGGCACAGCACAGCCATCCCGATCGATACCCGGTGTCGTTTTCTTTTCCTCTGCTCTTGCCGTACTATATGCATCTTTCATCATATCTCACTCTCCCCTTACCTATTACGCCTATGCATTCTTCCCAGTCGTCTTCTGGGAGGAGGTGTTTGCTCGCAGAGAGAGCTTAATCAAAGGAAGGCAGGTGTTGTTCGGACACATTAAAACAGGGACCAATATCTTGTCGCTTGGTCTAAGTGTCATTATATATGTTGGCATCATCAACTCACTGGTGGGTTTCTCCACGAATGGTCTGCGAGTAGACCGTGAGCTAATGCAAGACAGGCACTTGGATATATCTATCGCGAGATCCTGACTGTCTTGTTCATCATTGGGGCATTCTTCCCGTTGGCACTCGGCACATCTTTCCTTCAGAAGCATGTTGTCCTTGCGGCCACTTGGCTTGCGTCGTGTTTCATGATGAGTACTTTCACCTTATTACCAGCCAACAAGGTTGAGAACATACCATTGATGTAAGCCATAATGGCCCTTGTTAGGCAAAGGACCTGCTAATTGGTCAACAGTATGCTCGGCGGTACGCTCATGGTGACTGTCAGCCTCCTTTACCTTATCTTTGAGGAGAAACTACTCACCGACTTCTCCGGCTCAACAAAACCACGTCCACCTCGGAAAAACAACCAGATTTCGAGGGCGTTGATTGGCGTCCAAGTAAGTTGAAAGACCTTCTAATCAGGTTATCTCTCTCTCTAACGTCTGTCCAGATCGGGCTTATCATTCTTGCGATGCTTGTTACACGCTCCAGCGCGTTGTCGTTGCAAGCAAAACTTGGCCTACCACGCGGTAACCAGGTTGTTGGATGGCTAGTCATGGTTGTGTCATTACTGATGCCGCTCGCCCATCGATTTCAACCGAACAACCACTATCTCCAGAGGCTTCTGGTGATCTTCTTGACCTTCGCGCCAACTTTCGTCATTCTCACTATATCTTACGAAGGTCTCTTCTACTTGACTTTCTGTCTAACACTCGTCACATGGGTCCGACTGGAGCACCACGGGTACGTGTACTCACAGGAGGCTGCGGAGAAGCCTAATCAACCGGACTCCATTGCGGAGACAGCTGTCGAGGTGGTGACCTCGCAGTTTCGCCCGCTGGGTCTCTCAGACGCGCGCGTGGCCCTGTTCTTCTTCGTGCTCCTCCAATCCGCGTTCTTCAGCACGGGCAACATCGCGTCGATCTCGGCATTCAGCCTGGAGAGCGTGATGCGGCTCATGCCGATCTTCGACCCCTTCTCGCAGGGCGCGCTCCTGCTAATAAAACTGATGATCCCGTTTGCGCTCATCTCGGCCAACCTGGGGATCCTGAACCGGCGCATCGGCGTGGCGCCGTCGGCGCTGTTCATGGTGGCCATGGCCATGAGCGACATCCTGACGCTGTACTTCTTCTGGGTCGTCAAGGACGAGGGGTCGTGGCTGGAGATAGGATCGACCATCACGCACTTCGCCATCGCCAGCATGCTGTGCGTCTTCGTGGCGGCGCTGGAGGGCGTGAGTGGTTTGTTTATTGGTGGTGTGGAGGTGGACGGCTCTCCTGAGAAGACGGCCAAGGGCAAGGCTGAGGTTGAGGGGGGCCGGAAGACGAATGGAGCGGCGCCGTTGGAGGCTCCGGCTGGGGAGGTTAATGGTGAGACGAAGAGGGAGGAGCCGGTGCCTGATATTGGCGGGCAGTAGGCGTGCAGTAGAACCTCTGAGGATTGGAAAAATAGATTTGATATGCGACAGCATCTATGTGTGTCTATGTTTGGAATTGCTCCAGCTGGCAGCAACCTTGGAAGAGCATTGAGCCAGGTCACCTACGCCTCACATCCCCGTACGCGACTCTGACCATCGCCCAGTGGAAGTCAATCCGATTTTTTGTCCTCACTTTATAAGAATCGATAGCCTGGACATGTCTATTGGAATATCAGTGTCCATAACCACACGTTGCATACGACTGTTCGCACTTGCTGTAGACACGGCTATCTGTTATACACTATGCATGTCCAATATCACATCTGCGCGACATTCTTGCGTTTTTGGTACAGCTGCTGCGTAGCCACTTTGCCCCCTTTCCCTCCTCCCAATTATTGACTCCATCTGCCTCTCTCCTTACCCGGCAGAACGTCGCATCTACCAGCTTAATCCAAGTGGCATGCCGATCCCGGAATGACTGCGTCCATAGTCTCGGGGTGCGGTGATGCTATATTACACACTAATGCTGGCAGGAAATGCGCCGTAGGTTTCTCCCGCACCAGATGCGGTATCCCCGTCGCGTGCACGCCCTTGGACGTCTCGCTGTTTGATAGAGTTATGAGACTGAGGCCAGCGTGCCAACCAACGGGGCTCCCTTTGAAGACATTGTTCGACTGAGGGAAGAGGCTCTTTGCGCACCGGCCTGGCTTCGGGGCTTGAGATGATGGTGGTGGTGGTGGTGGTGGAGAATCGCCTGGCATGGACTCATGGAGTGTTCAGCGGAAATGTGTCTGAGCATCGTCTAGATAGATACCTTGGGTACCTAACGTAAGGAGTACACACGAAGGGGACGCAGTGTAGTTGGCTATATAAGTGTCATTCGAACGGGAGGCAAGGAGGATGGGGAACAGTGTCCTCGGGATGACGTTGCCGTACTACGTACCTATCGTGAAGTTCCTACTTTGTGTACGGACCACTGTACTCTTTTCGACATTGACGACAGTCTCGGGAACCTAACACATCTGTGTCCAGTCTGCGTGTATCAAATTTCATATCGAGATGTGCACCTAGCTGTAGTGTCAATATGGGGTCTAAATTTATGGGCAAGGCTTTGCGCGCATGCCACTCGGCGTGTGACGCATCGGCCTGGGCCTGTGGACGCCATCCATGGTTAAGGTTTTGGTATATTGAGATAATTTGCGGCGTTTTATTTGGTCAGACTTAACGTATAACACGGGAGCTCTGCTGTTTATTGTCTTTAAGGGTATTTGGGTTTGGCTTTTCCCTTGTGGTCGAAGAGCTTGATGATAAAATAAATCGTCAATGTAATGGAGCGTACCGGCTGAGGTAGGAGCGTTCGGGATGCTTCGAAGGGAGGAGCGAACAGGAGGTGGCGCAATGCATGTGACTTGGCTCCCCTCTCCTCCTCTTTCCCGCCTCATTCTGATATTTCTGGCCATGAATAAACTCGTCCTTCTCTGGGTACCTACCTATCCTTTCGTCGGCATTGACATTCTTCACTATCATCAATTGAACCTAAGGCAACCTGGCCAGTCATTCTCGCGGTAGACGGCAGTCCTCTCCGTCGTACCATCCTCGGCACTGGTCTGCAGTGCATGCAACACCGACTTTCGAGCCGCCAAACTCTCATTTCGTGGGAGGGCTGCTGCACAATGGCTTCAGGCAAATGTATCCCATCGCCATGCATTCCTCAACTTACTGGTTCCCTAGGTAGAGATGCTGGGCATATGCGGAGACGTCGACTGTGCACAGGTAGGCCGACTTGCCAACTACCTATGTCCTCATCGCTGATCCGGGAATCGATATTTATCTAACCCACGACATCGATCTGGACGGGAGTACCAGAATCTTGCCGTTTGAAGCTTGGGAGGTGCCAAAAAGTTATGGGAAAGGCGCGATCCACGCTAATAGGTACCGATAATCTCGTTAATTTTCAACTAAGTCTTGGTGGCTCAGTTGGTTAGAGCGTTGGTCTCATATTCCTATGACTCGATTTAAAATCGGGACATCCAAAGGTCGAGAGTTCGAGTCTCTCCCAGGACATTAAATTTTGTATAATTACCATCTAAATCAGTTTGTGGTTCGAATTTCTCTTTTTTGCAGTTTTAAGGCCGATGGAAACTTGGGTTATTCGCCATGTGCTTTGAGGGACCTGAAAGTTTACCGCAGCCTAGGGTCGGGGTTTGCACGCGCTGCTATCCGCTTCGCTTTTTAACACGATTGATTTTAATATCAAGTTCAGAGGGTGCACCTGGTCCGAGCATCCTCTAAGGTTAGTTCTGTCGCGTGCCCACCTCTTTGGCTCTCACCTTGTCCGATGCAAGTGCTGGCGATGCACCTCGCAAATACTACGTGACGACGACAACACGCTCCCAAGACGTATGCGGCATTCTGGTCGTCAAGCCTATTTATTACACTGTCACGGATGTAGCCTCTGCTAGTAGCTGAGTATGCGAAGTGATTGTGATAGAGGGGTGGGTAGACCCCGGATTTTCGATTCAGGCACGGAGGGTAAGCCGAAAACAGCACCTCACCTGATAGGCCGTTTCCCGTCTCGGTGTCCCTCTTGGGCAGTCACACACAGACCCATCCCCTGAGTTCGACAGCTCTCTCATCAGAGTCATCAATCACATGCTTCCTTCCATATGGGCTCTGGGGAACCGGCAGAAGACTTGGCTCTGGTGAGGTCCGGTCCCCTGAAGGCATCACGGCCTCATTTGGCCTACGGCAGGAGTTGTACGCTGAATGACTCAACATTGACGGAAGATCAAATGACATTGCCCCTGAAACTTGAAAGGGCGGGCTGTCTAAACACATGGACACTCATCAGTGGCTAATGTAAGACTGCCCTATACGATATGATCCGTTCCACCGCTTTGCGACGCGAAGGTCTGCTGGAACTCTCTAGGACGGACGATGCTCCGAACGTCACCTTGTGATCTGCATACATACATGTATACTTCCTTCATACGACATTCATCGATGCTATTAAATACCCGCCTATTCCAACGATTCCTAGCGTTGCGGCGTCTGGAAGTCTAAAGTGCCGCGAGGCCCGCTTGCTACTGTTCGATATACCCGCCTACAGTACAACTGTACGTGCCTCATCGCATTCGAACCTCGCATTATTAGTATCATCCTGACAAGCCTGGGTTCCTGTTCCTCGGCTTGATAAAACCCCTTCAACTTCCAAACCTCCAGATGCGCAAGGGGAGAAGAGGCACAACTGACGTAGCTGTGCGCCCAGTCTGCCAGTCGAGTCGATGACCACGGAGTCTGGGAGTAGACGCGGGTACCGACGCTGCACTGTTAAGGTAATCTGGGGTAGTTATCTGGGTCCCGAGGTCCTGATAACAACGGCCGACCCTCCCGTCGGGCTTCTAGCAGCACTCACTCACCCACTCACTCGCATTGGAAGACTCGGACCCCGTCGCGTTCCAGTCTGCGCTTGAGGTCCTCGAGATGGATGTCGACATAAACACCAGCACCGGCACCGGCAACGACAGCAGCGAGCGAGCAGACCAGCAGCAGCAATCCCAATCACCATCACAGTCTTCTCCCCAAAACAATGGCCCGCCAGGAAGCGCCCAAAACCAGCCCAGCTTTCGAAGGTGTGCACACTCTCATCTACACCTACTGGTCTGCATTGCGACCAAAATGCTGACCAAGGTGAACAATCTCGTTTAGGCAGCGTGCATCGAGAGCATGTGAGGTACGTCTGTTGTTTTCAGATGACTCCCTGTTTTGATTCTCCTTGCTTTAACGTCCCGAGGCTCTGGCTGCCTTTATGTGCTGCAGACTGCATGTGAGGGGCGAGGCCAATTGTGCCGAGGCATCTCGAGAGCTGCTATCCATCGTCGTGCAGCTTCAACTGACCGCTCGCTTATCCACAGACCTGCCACGCCAGAAAGGTACGAAACGATCATCATTACCCTGCTCGGGTAACCTGTCGCGATGGTCACCTGGGATTCGATGTCCCTGCCAATTCTTCGCGCATCGTCTTGGTCATCGTCACAGGCAGACTTTTCTCACCAAGTAATAGGTACGATGCGACGCTGCGAGCCTCGGTGTTCCTTGCACCAACTGCGTCGCCTTTCAAATCGAATGCAAGATCCCGCAGCCTAAGAGGAAAAAACAGACAAATGCGACGAAAGACTCCGATAGGTGCGCCCAGCCTCTCCACCATTCCCTCTTGTCACCTTGCGACCCGAGACTGACTGTGGCTGTCAAGTGAGCGCGGAGACGCCGTCGAAGCCAACTCTCCCCAGCCTCTTCCCCAGCCTATGGCCGGCTCCTCCAACACATTCCCAGCGAGACCTGCCGTGTACCACTCCTCTGAAGGTGTGCCGACGACGACATTGACAGAGGCGCAAGCCAGGAAAGAGGAGGTCGACAATGATACCTACGTCAACCTGGTGATGAAGCCCAAATTCACAAGAGCTCCCATCACCGAGGCTGGCCGCGTAGCCTTCTTGGGCGAGTCGTCAAATCTCACCCTCCTAGTCCACGATCGCCAGGGTTCGTCGGATGTGGTGCACTATCCGCTTCCCGAGAATGTCCGGGGATCAAGAGCTAGGTTGACGGAGCTGGACAACATAGAGATCGATATTCTGCACCAACGGGGAGCGTTCCTGCTGCCACCTAGGCAGCTGTGCGACGAGCTTATCGAAGCCTACTTCAAATGGATTCACCCCATCGTGCCAGTCATAAACAAAATCAGCTTCATGAGACATTACCGGGACCCCAAGAACCCACCGTCGCTACTATTGTTACAGGCTGTCCTGCTTGCTGGCTCGCGAGTCTGTCACCACCCACAGCTCATGGACGCCAACGGATCCACCACGCCTGCTGCCTTGACCTTCTATAAGCGAGCGAAGGCTCTTTACGACGCCAACTACGAAGACGACCGCGTGACTATCGTTCAATCGTTGATACTCATGGGGTGGTATTGGGAGGGCCCCGAAGATGTCACCAAAAACGTCTTTTACTGGAGTCGTGTCGCACTTATCGTCGCCCAGGGATCTGGCATGCACCGGAGCGTGGAAGGCTCGCAATTAAGTGCAGCTGACAAGAGGTTATGGAAGCGCATCTGGTGGACGCTCTTCACCCGTGACCGGTCCGTTGCCGTCGCCCTAGGACGCCCATGTAATATCAACCTGGACGACTGTGACGTTGAGATGCTGACAGAGGATGACTTCGTCGAGGATGAGCCGGACAACGCAAGTGGCTTCGGACCTGACCCCATCCATGTCCAGTTCTTCCTGCAGTATGTCAAACTCTGCGAAATCATGGGCTTGGTTCTGTCTCAGCAATACTCGGTAGCATCTAAAGGTCGGCGGCAGAATGCAATCGACCTGACACACAGTGATATGGCCCTGGCCGACTGGCTATCGAACTGTCCGAAGGCTGTTTACTGGGAGATGCCGCGGCACCATTTTTGGAGTGCGCTTCTCCATTCGAACTACTATACAGCTCTGTGCCTTTTACACCGAGCACATATGCCCCCTAACACTAGCAATGCCGCAAGCTTTCCGGATGATTCGTCTTACCCTTCTCGAAACATCGCTTTCCAGGCTGCGGGGATGATCACGTCCATCATCGAGAACCTATCGACTCATGATGAGCTTCGGTACTGTCCAGCATTTGTCGTTTACAGTCTGTTCTCTGCTCTCATCATGCACGTATATCAAATGCGCTCGCCTGTGCCCTCGATCAAACAGGTCACGCATGACCGCATCCGAACTTGTATGGCTGCCTTGAAGGAGGTTTCGAAGGTATGGCTCGTGGGCAAAATGGTCTCTACTCTTTTCGAGTCAATTCTTGGTAATAAGGTGTTCGAGGAGAGACTCCAAAAGGCTGCTGGCACACGGCACAGGAGGGCGCAGCAGAGCTTTGTCCGTTTGGAGCAGCATCAGAGACAACAAGAAGCTGCGAAACGGAAGTATGATGAGATGGCGATCGATTTCGGCGGTAACACACCAACACATCAGGAATCTTACGAGCGTTCGCGACCGCAGACGCCGAGGATCGACTCATCGCACAATCAACCGCATATGGGACCGCCCGTACACTCGCCAAATGTCAAGTCCACAGATGCTTTCATGGGGGGAACCAGCAGCAGGCCCCATACCCGACCGGCGACTCCCTTCAATCCTTCCTTTTCGGTCCCAGCCACGCCGCCGGATCTATACCTGGTGACCCGGAACTCTCCCAACTTGTCTCAGTCGATCTGGGAGAATTTCCAGCCGGACCAACTGTTTCCCGAAAGCTCGATTACGCCAATGCAACAATTGTCACCTACACAGACCCATCAGAATCTGGATCCCAATCTCATCCCACAGATGCAACAGGGTGGTATGTCGTCTCCAGGTTTGGGCCAGTCCAAACAGTTCCACCAGCGGGTGCCACCACCCAAGGCGGCGAGCGCGATTCCTTTGCAGGCTAACAGTTTTTTGCATCCAGGACTGGGAGGTTACCAAGGACAAGCGTCGACCCTTTGGCCAGGTGGCGATCTCAATGCACCCATGCCGGACGGCCAAAGTCCCAGCGCCAGCGACAGCTGGAGTACTGGATCCGGACAGGCACCAGCGGTGCCAGCTACGTTGAACGTCGAAGACTGGTAAGCATCGCCTTTAAATCTGCTTGCTTCGTGAGTAGCTGCTGACGATGTCCTCATGTAGGTTCCAATTCTTTGGCATCAACGGAAACGATGTCAATTTTGGCGGGCTGGATATGTCAATGAACAACAACTAAGCATATGAATGTACGATCAAAGGGAAAAATGATTGGACCTGGGGCATGGACTGGGTTTACACGGGGCATACAAGGCAGCGCTCGTGCTGTTAATCCCGTGCCTTTTGCAGGTATCTACAGGAAAGGGAGCCTTGTGGGTGTCCTGCTTTGTTGCGACGCGAATGTACGACAGCGTGCACGTGCTTCCATGGCTTTACAATAGCTGAGCGGATTGCGAATTCATTATCTTCCTTTGCGAGGTGTTCAAAGTGATACCTCAAATTGAGCATTGGAGTACCGCCTCTTGTAATTCACATGTGAATCAGTGACACCAAAGTCGCCTCGAAGATGGAAATTGTATGGACCAGATTTATCTGTCAGGAGTATCATGTCCTCCCGGGTACAGAGCACGGCGGCCCACTACCATCTCATCTGGTGTTTCTGTGCTTGTCGTACTTGTCGTACACGCTGTCGCACGTTGGGATCTTTGGTGGGAGGGGACATTCGGTACACGGCAGGGAGCTTGGCATGATTCGAGGCAATGTCAGGATCGGCTTACGGCAGGCTGCATGTATGTCATCGGATTTATGCGTATAACGGAATGTGAGTGAGAACAGCGACATGACTATCAAGATTCAATGGGATGAATATGCCACACAACTTAGAGGTATACATACAGTCACTCTGAATTTCACTGACGCATGCATGAATTGGACATCAGGGTTATCAAACAGTTTGGGATTTCACCTGCTTGTGCAAGGCGTTAAAGTTAAAGTATGAAAGTCCCTCCGTTTATTAAGTTGAGCTCATTCACGGTGTGCAATGTCATATAAACGGATGGGTAATGCAACACAGACGAGTTACATAAGTCGGGCTTACCGTGATTTATGCCATTGATCCAATGCAGTGTGAATGCCAAGGCCTAGAACGCTTAGGTACGCCGGACTCCGTCCTCCAGGCTGACGTTCCTGTCTGGAACTCTGCAGCCAGCGAGCCAGCGAGAGCCAACAGCAACCTGGCAATTGGGTCCTCCAGATCCTCTTTTGGTCATTTCGCAAACGGACCTGAAAGTAAGACAACATCACACCCAGAGAGGACACCTCGTTGCCAGTCTGCCAGTCTGCTTCTGCCCTGACGACCGATTCCTTCTCTCTAACTTTCTGCGGTTTTTAACTTTTACCTTTCTCCGGCTTCTGCATCTGCTTTTATAATCGCATCCGCCCTCCTTGCCTGTCCTCCTTACCAGGCACAACCCCATACCACCGCAACCACTCCACAGCACACGCCACGCCACGGCACCCCGTATCTCCAGTCGCCAAGTCGAGGCCCGCACATGCCAGAGTCCACCATACAGTACATGCAATCTCACTTGTTCCACGACGATAAGACCTCGCCAAACGGCCACATCCCCTGAATCGAGTCCGATGTTATCCACGAACCGTCCCTCTCCCTAGCTTTGATGCTCGCTGTCTACCACGGCCGCTTCGCGCGGAGAATCGCCAAATCCTAGGCCGATAACCCCTAGATCATGGCCGATTCATCAAGGGCATCCAGTACCGCACCGAGGTCCTCGTCTGCCGTGACGCCAGCTGGTGTCGACAATCCCACCGCAGCGCGACCGAGAAACAGAAGGCCACCTGCTGGCGACAATGCAACCAAGGCTTCCGGCCTGACACCCAGCGAGAGTCCTGCCACGAGTCGAGGGGTAAGCCCCATGCCAGCGCCGCGCCTTACAAGCAACAACAAGTTTCAGACAAGCGGCCGGTCGAGCCCATCCAATGCCTTCTCACGTGGGCTACTCGAAGGCTCTTGGGCCCCGAGCTGGGCCTCGGTGCAGGACTTCGCTTCTTCTCTACTCGAGGGCGGATACAATAGCGAGCCTTCGCGCCCGAACAGCAGGAACGGGAGCAAGCCCCGGCAAAAGTCAATATGGAAAGGGTTTGGAGTCAGCAATACGAACAGTCGCAAATTACCAGACACATGGGGTCCGGTGCCATCCTCCAAGACACGCACGTCACAGGTAGACATCGCCGCAGGATCGCTCGCCGAGAGGGAAGCACAGCTGAAGGCTAGGAAGACCGCCAGCGTCCTAGAGAGCCACGAAGGCGTGAATGGGGGCTTGGACATTACTGGCAAATTCAAACGCAGGAATTCAGACGAGAATCTACGGAGCGCCAGTCAACCAGTGGTCGAAGAGCACCTGGTCTACCTACACCATGTGCAACCTACCGACACCTACGCCGGCATCATTCTCCGGTACAGATGTATGGAGCACGCCTTTCGCAAGATCAACGGCTTGTGGTCCAGGGATAATATCCAGGTCCGAAGACAGCTGTTGATACCGGTCGATGCATGCGAGACAAAGGGGCGGCCATGTGAGCCCCCATCGAATTATTCCCAGAAGGTCGACCACCTCGCAGCTACACCACAACCACGGCTGGACGTTGCAGGGGGCGCAGCTTCCTCTCCAGGCTCGCAGCAGCCACTCCATGATGATTACTTTGGATCTCTGAATGGGAAGTCTGCCGAACAGCCCAGACAACCTGATGACGACCAACCTTGGACACATGTGAGATGGGTCAAACTCGATTCACTGATAGAGCCAGTTGAGATTGTAAGAGTCAAACGAAATGCGGTAGGGTACTTCCCACCTAGGAGAAAGAAGAGCATTCACACCGTCTCTGTCTTCTCGACCCCACGCCATTCTCTCGATTTATCGAAGCCCATCACAAACACATCCGAGGCTGTGGAAAGCCCTGGGAGGCTCTCATCTAGACGGCAGAGCTCTATAAGCGCACGACCCACGGCTGCGAGCCTAGCGAGCTCTCCATCTGCTAGAAGCAGAGTCAACAGCTTAGGGCCGGCTGACGGCGTTCCAGCGTGGATGCGGAGACCGGGAGGCGTAGGGTCGATGGGCAAGAGCGTCAAAGCGCCAGGACCAGCTAAGGACTACTTCAACACATGGGTGAACAAAACGATACCTGGCTTCAACATCGACTCGATGCCGTCAATGTCGGTCATGGGTTCCGAATCGGCCCACTTCGGCTTCAACAAGAACAAGAACAGCCCCGATGAGAACTCTGGGATTGTCGAAAGCCCCTTTGAGGAAGGGCGTGACGTAGCGGCAACGGCGCAGAACGGAATGGGTCTCGAGCAAGCTGCAGCATCCGTCGAATCGTGGTTGCGCGGCGCTTGGGCGAAAACACCGGTCACGCCGAAACTGGGCTCTCACAAGAAAGGAGCAGACGACTCGGATCTCATAGAACTAACGGACACTAACAGTGACGACGGGCGCTTGAGCACGCTCGGAAGATCTCCCGAAGCTGGCCTGCTGAACCCGAGTTTGCATGGCACGACTGGGCGAAGCGACGGCGAGGGATTAGTTCGAGGCCGGTCGCTAGGTCCAGCAGGGGCTGCTAAGGGGAAGAAGGCGGACTGAAGGGTGATAGATAATTGGGGGTTCCGAGCTAGAAGGACTGATTGGTATTCTGCATGGCAACATGTCACCCAGATGCCGCATTGATGCGGTCTGGTTGGTCTGCATTGTTGAAGGCGTTTTGGCGGTGTTGGCGACTCGCGGCTTTGTATATATGCTACACGCACTGAGGCGCCAGGTACAAATACAGGCACAGCATATTTCTCTTGTATCACGCTCTGACGTAGAGTTGCGAGATATATTCCAGAATTCTTTACTTGAACCAGGCGGATGACCTCCAAAGTCCCGGATCTGATCCTCTCTTTGCTCTGTGTGGCTGTTTACAAGTGTTTGGAAGGTCCTTGAAGACCTTAAATACGAATTTGTATGATTAATTCTTTATGTCGCTGTTGTTTGCTTCTCGAGTACAACAGTTCTTGGTATAATCGAGGAGGTCTGGGGAGGTGAGCTTTATGCTAGGGGGCGGCATTAAGTGGGACACCAAGCTTTAATGCAACTAATTTATCCCACCTCGCCAGCCTCGCAATTGGGACCCTTTGACCTTGCTTGCATATGACGGCACGCAAACATCTCGCGCATCCAGACAGATTGCCGGTCGACCTACTATGTCCCCGCGACATAGATCCGAGGGAGCGGAACTCGTATGAGGAAGCAAGCAAATTCGGGCAAATCAATTTCCCCAGAACACCCACCCAGCCTGCGAGGACCGACACGCACGCACAGACCGCGAAAGAACCGTCGAAACCACGGACTGAACGCGCCGCCGCTGTCGCCTCGCCCAGTCTCGTCCCGATTACCTACCTACCTATCTACCTAGGTATTGTCGGCTTTTTAGGAGATAACATGCCTATCTGCATCGAGTGCCGGCACCCGGTCAAGACGCTGTGGACGCAGTACTCGGGCGCCGGCGACCCGTCGAGCGGCCACAACATCCGGCTGACCGTGTGCAAGAACTGCGGGCGCTTCTGCGACAAGTACGTCGAGCATGACTTTGTCGTGCTGTTTATCGATCTGGTCTTGATTAAGCCGCAGGTAAGGGGTTTTCTCTCTGTCTTTTGTTGGTCGGGTTGGATTGGGATGTATTGGGATGGGCTGGGCTGGGCTGGTCTGGGTTGGTCTGGGTTGGTCTGGGTTGGAGAGCGCTGAGGGCTGGGGCAGGAGGATTGTGACCGTGTGGTTTGGGTAGGGAGAGGGAGAGGGAGGAGAGGAAGCGGCGGGAGCAAAGGAGAGGATGGACACAGGAGGACACGCAGGAAGAGAGCAATGGCTGACGAATCTGTGCACTGCTAGGTCTATCGCCATCTGCTGCACAACACCTTGATGCGCGAGCGCGACCAATTCGATGTACGCCCCCCTACTCGTGCCCCCATATTCGTTGACCAAGAAAGAGGACAAGAACGCTGATCCTGGTGTACGCCCTCACAGCCATCCATCATCCGCCTCGGCACCCTCCTGCTCCTCTTCGACGTCTACCTGACCTGGGCCCGCATCGAGAAACAGACGATCCCCGAACATGCCTCGTCGGAATCTTCGGCAGAAACGGCGGCGGGCAATAGTAATCTGGGCAGTCTGGCACAGCAGCCTATTGTGTTCCAGTATATGTTTTTCCGTGAGTTCCCAATCCCCCATCCATCCCCCACAACCTCACACTCATCCATCTCTCTCTCTCGCTCATAGTTCTTTACTAATCGTCACCCGGCCAGTAATCCTCTGCACCTTCTCAACCCTAGCCTTCCACCTAAGCATCCGCTTCCTAACCTCATCCCCCGCCTCCCCGCTCTCCTTCCTAGGCCTCCTCCCCGCATACCCGCGCCCAAACTCAGTCTCAACAGCCCTCTTAGTATCATCCTCAACCAAGCTCTTCCCGATCCTCATGGTGATCTGGGACTACGACGTCCCCGCCGCGGCGCGCAGTCTCGGCTGGGCCGTCGTGGCTAATAATGTCGAGGCTCTTAAGATCCTGCTCGACTGCGGCTACGGCGTCGCGGTCGTGCTGGCGGCCGCGGGCGCCGTCGCAAGATGGTTTGTGGGCCGCGCTGTGCTGTGGGTTGTTGGGCTCGAGGGCGTGGATTCCGTGGGCGAGGGCGGCATGGGGGCGGATGGGCGCGCGCTTTGGGCGCTGGTTGGGCATGTGCGGGAGTGGGCTGGGAGGCTGGCTGTTGGGTAGGTTGGTTGGTTGGTTGGCGTTGGTACTTAGATATATAAATGGGTTGGTTATGAGGCATTTACGTGGCGCAATGGGCGTGTTATACATCTGATGAATCAGAATAGGAGATGTTCGATCAAGACACTTGAGCTTGTATTGACTTTGATTTGATGCTAATCGCACATGGCTGGCCATCGTACATCCTGGACAGGTCCGAGGCCTGTCTGTCCTGCTGCCCATATGCTTCTATAAAATCGCATCATTGCTCTCGATCTCCATATCAAGCATGTCTGCCCCATTGGGATGCAATCGAAATCCCAGGGTCTTCCTGAACGCCGTAACATGTAGACAGTCGATGAATAGTGTTTATACAGTAGTCCCACGTCCTGCCCCTCTTCCGTCTCTACACATGTAGTGATACTACTACCTCCCAGCCCCTAGCCAGACAGCCAGCACCAAATCCCGCCATTCTGTCTCCCAGCTCTTCCTCCTTGTTCGTGTTCATGTGGTGTATGATACGGCAGGCGGTATTTCGGTTTCGGTTTCGGTCTCGGTTTCGGTCTCGACGATGTTTTATGGACCAGGGAGGCAAGAAGAATAATGCCTCTTTCTGGCGACAGTGTCGGTTCTTCATTCAAACTGGTACCCTTCCTTGATGTCGCCCCGGCGCGGCGCGATCAGCGGGTGCAGCTGCGCAAGGAAGGTGATGAACCACATCAGGTAGCAGCTGATGAAGGCGATGATCAGGGAGGAGCGCCAGGTGCTGTTATGTCGCACGGGTGGTTAGCGAACGGAGCAGTATGGGGGGTTGGATGGCAAGTGTTGCGTAGTAGAGGTAAGGTAGACAGTCGATCCAGTTGGCGAGCTGCCGCGTGCGCGCACGGTGGGCAGAAAGAAGAGGAATGGGGGGCTTACGTCTGGTTCTCGCCCTTGGGCGACAGGAACCACGCCGCAAGGCAAAAGGCGGCCACGATGACGAGGCCGATGAAGATGCTGTACCTGTTTCCAACGTCCAACCATTAGCTACATGTTCCTCAGGGTTCGCCTCTGTCTCTACTGCTGCTCGGATTTCGCGGAGCAAAGCGTCGCACATACCCTTTCGCCATCTTGTGAACTGTCGGATCGGGTAGACTTTCTTCTGCTTGACGTGTCGGAGTCGTGGATGCGGTGGGATGGCTTGGAGTGTCCAGTCTGGGAGAGAGCTCGAAGGTCCGGGGTCGCGGTCGTTGGAGCTGCAGATGCCCGCTAGCTTGAGCTGCGCCGCTGGAGCCAGAGGCTGATGAGTGCCAAGACTGGCTTAGTCACCTCACTATTTATTGCCTGTTGAACACTTATGTCAAAGTCGTGCCTACTTCGCAAGTTTGCATTGAAGTCTACGACAACTTCGACATACTAACAACTTATTTTCATGATGGATCTGCTGTTATGGCTGTCAACGGGTTATGAGGTCCATGGTTTGTTTGTATGGACGTAGAGTTGACCGTCGCAGCTTAAAGTACAGCCCTCCCCTATCTAAGCATCGTTCTCGTACTTCAGCCCAGCCTGCTGTCTCGCAATCCCATAGATGCCCGCAATATCTCCCTTGGAGCCGCCCGCGTACTCGGCAACGCCCTTGAGATACCCCTGCGCAGTCTTCGCATTCTTCAGCTCCATGCCCGCCGACTGGGCCAGGTTGATGGCGTGGCCGGCGTCCTTGAGCGCGTTGTCGGCCGAGAAGAGCGGCTCCTCCATCTTCCAGTACGTGCCGCTGACCATGCGCTGCGCGTAGCCGCTGTGCACGCCGCCGAACAGCGTGTCGATGAACTCCTTGAGCGGCTCGACGCCCACGCCCGTCTTCTCAGCCATCGCCAGGCCCTCGCCCAGCTGGCTGACCATGTTCAGGATGAACGAGTTGCCGATGAGCTTCAGCTTCTGCGAGGTGCCGTACGGCTTGTCGTCCATGGGTATCTCGGCCTTGCCCATCACGCCCTTGAAGTAGGGCCGCGCCTTGTCAATAGTAGCTTTGGGACCCGCGGGTACGAAGCTGCGATAATGGGAGTCAGCGACTAAACAGCGAGAGTGGTAAGAGTGCCGGGAAGACTCACATAAGCTGCCCTGCATCTGCTGCCGGTGGTGCGCCGAACACGGGACTGGCAACGAACTCGGCACCCTTGGCAAGCACGTCCTTGGCGACCTGCTCAACAGTGTCGGGATGGATGGTCGAGCACTCGACGATCAGCTTGCCCTTGACCTCGCCCTTGAGAGCGGACGAGACGGCTTCCCTGACCGCTGCATCGTTGCTGACGATGGTGAAGATGATATCGGCCTTCTTCACACCCTCCTCGATCGAGTCGACGATCTCGGTCTTGCCCTTGGGCAGCTTTGCAGCTAGGTCCTCGGACCGCTTCTTCGTCCGGTTGTAGATGATGAGAGGTTTGTCCAGGTTGCCCTTCTCGACCAGGTTTTTGCACATTCCCTACTCATGAAAGTCAGTTCAAGTGAGATTTGATATCCATGGTCGACACTCACCCGTCCCATGTTGCCTAGGCCGATCCACATCAGTTGGGGCGCCATGATGTCTTCTGATTAGATGTGAAGATCTAGTTGTCTCAGCAGTAAACGATTTAGGGAGTGGATGACCCAGGTCTCTTCAGGCGAATGCTTGGAATTATCACAAATATTGTCTTCGAGGGCGGAGTGGTAAGTTATACAACATCTAAGGCGTCCAGTGATTCATGTATGACGTCGGGTATAAATTGACCCTGCGGAGTCGAGGTTCTCTTGCCGACACTGGGTCCTGACTAAGAAGCAGGCGGTAGAGACAAACCTCGGCGTTTAGAGGTTCCCTAAGGTTACCTCAAATCCGTATTCAATCTATCTGTCAGTTCGAATCTCGGATTACGAACCTGATGTGGAAGGGTAAGGGGCATTATTGATACATGCGAACTGCCATGACGGCTCTCTTTCACTCAACTTGCCAAGTGACGTCCAGTCGGAAGTGCCCCGCACAGGCCCGAGTTGTTGCACCAGCTATGACTCCGGAAGATATTCAAGTGTAGCACGACCTTCAGACAGAACGGACACTACCTTCGAACTTTGTCTAACTCGAGTCGACAATCAAGCCATGTAGCGCAAAGGATTTGCCCCAAAGTTAGGAAAGGTTTACTGTTATGAACCAATCCTAGACTTTAATGCCGGGTCTCGGCAAAAAGCTTGGCCGAAGCTTGTTTCGTTTTGTTTTGCTAGCCGAATAGAGAATATATGCTTCAATAATGACATAACACGACGCTTTCCAACCACATTTCCAGGCCTCGTAAACACAGCTTCCAACTGCCCCTGTTGTACTCCGTAGAGCCAACTTCCTTCGACAATGAACTAGGAACCTGTGACTACCTAAATCACAGGCGCCACACACACTCAACGATGGCCGCCTCCAGGCTTGCACAATATGGCACGAATGTGGCCAAGGGTGTCGGCAGGCTCTCAACTGAGGTTATGGAGTCTGGGTCCGGCAGCTACGTTACGATGATGGGTGGGCGCAAATACCTGGACTTCACATGCGGCATCGGCGTCACGAACCTGGGCCACTGCCACCCCGCTGTCACCAAGGCCGCCCAGGCGCAGACCGGCAAGCTCGTGCATGGGCAGATCAACATCGCCTTTCAGAAGCCCATGCTCGAACTCGTCGAGAAGATGCGTCCCGTGATGCCCGACAAGTCTCTGGACACCTTCTTCTTCTGGAACTCTGGTGCGGAGGCTGTCGAGGCCGCAGTCAAGCTGGCCCGGCATGCCACCAAGAAGCAGAATATTATTGTCATGCAAGGATCTTACCATGGCCGCACTTTTGGGACTATGGCCATGACGCGCAGCAAGACTGTGTACGGCCAGGGCTATGCGCCGCTCATGCCCGGTGTGTTCTCTGTCCCCTTTCCGTATTGCGCCCGGTGCTCCATTGCCGAACATGCAGGCGGCAAGTTTGGGTACGACAACTGCTGTATGGATCCGATGCTTCAGCTGGAGCGTCTCCTGAAGCGCGAGACGGCACCGAGCGACACGGCTGCTATCGTCATCGAAACCGTGATTGGAGAAGGCGGCTACGTACCGCCGCCACCCGGCTATCTGGCGAAAGTCAGGGAGCTTTGCGACAAGAACGGCATTCTGCTCATAATGGATGAGGTTCAGTGCGGCTATGGACGCACGGGCAAGATGTTTGCGGTGGAGCACTACGGTGTTCGTCCTGACATCTTGGTCATGGCAAAGGGGATTGCGAACGGCTTCCCGCTCTCCGCCATTGCCTCGCGAAAGGAACTCATGGACATGCAACCGCCAGGAAGCATGGGCGGGACCTACGCCGGGAATGCGGTTGCGTGCGCGGCTGCTGTTGCCGTTCTGGACACTTTCAAGAGCGAGAGCATTCTGGACAACGTCAATGCGCGGGGCAAGGAGTTGAGGGATATGCTTGAGAGCTGCTGGAGGGACTCGAGGACGGGAGGTATTATCCATGACGTCCGCGGGTTGGGCTTGATGCTAGCGCTGGAGTGTCAAGACGGGCATGGCTATGCGAGCAAGATCCAGGCAAAGTGCATGGAGAAGGACCTTCTCTTGCTCACGACGAGTATACATGACACGATCAGGTCAGTCATCACCAACAAAACCGCATTGCCTTGTAGTATCACCGTACTGACTGTTGGTACAGATTCATCCCGCCGCTCAACATCTCGGCTGAGGACATGGCAAAGGGCTGCCAGATCATCAAGCAGGCGATAGAGGAGGTGGCCGAGGGAGCTGATCCCAAGGAGACGGCAACGAGAGGACAGGCGCCCGAGTGAGTGAGCGTCATGGCGAGTTCTGAAATGACAAGGGGAACAGCTGTGTCTTAACTCTTGCCTTCCAGTACACAGTAGTATGGTGTGTCACTACAGCAATGTATACAGGTGGAAGAATGGCAGCAAAGAAGTACTGCAATGCATACGTGTACATCCCGGAATCCACCCTACATGATGTCATCAAGTAGGATACAAGCTACAGCGACCGCAGCGGTCATGAAAGCCCTTCACCTGGCACCGCATTATCGGCTCGACGACTACACCCCGCGGTATCAGCTGCTGTCGGCGGTCGGGGCGTCGAAGAAACGAACGCTCGCTGGTCGAGGCGCACTTGCGGAACTGTAACCTCTGTCCACGGCTCTGCGGTGTCAACCGGTATGAGACGACGGGATGTGCCTGATTGGGCACGATGTCAAGGTCAATGTCATTGCGCCGCACTTGGTTGAGGGTGAGTAACGTAGTCTTGAATCACAATGAGAACCCCATTTGTGTCGGTATTGGATTATCACACCTCGCGGTGGCCGTCTAAGTAGTCTATCATAATAGCTTCTCCTTGATAACGGTTATGAAAATGCATATACTGACAGGAAACCAGAGCCCTGCATCCAAGGCCACAACGGCAGCGGCTCCGTCTTCTCCTCCGGCTGCAATTTGAGGTGTACATTTTGCCAAAACCACGACATCGAGCGCCAGCGCAAGGGCCTCGACCTCTCGCCCGAGGAGCTGGCTGGCGCAATGGTACCTTATGGAAGCTGCAGGACGTGGGCGACGTGCACAAACATCGATCTCGTGACGCCCGAGCTCGTTCGTCCCGCGGGCAGGTCGCGCTCTCGACCCTAGCCGCGCGCGACCTCAACCTCCACATCCCCACGCGTCTACAACACGCCGGCCTTCGTTAGCGCCGCATCATTACAGGTGCTGGACGGCCTGGTCGATATCTAGCTGCCAGACTTGCAAGGTCTGGACCCGCACCGCCTGCTCAAGGCTGATGAGTATGCCGCTGCCGCTGCGGAGAGTATGGGTGCTATGCATGCCCAGGTTGGCGGTTTGTGCTTCATGGGCGACGGCATTGCGAGGCGCGGTTTGCTGGTGAGACACCTTGTAATGACGAGGCGCGGGCGATTATGCGGTTCCTCGCTGAGGAGGTGTCGCTTGGTGCTTTTGTGAATATCATGGAGCAGTATCGACCTGATGGGCGTGTGGGCAAACCGCGGAAGAGCTACAAGCAGGCAAGCAGGCAGGGAAAGCAGAAGAAGATAAAAATAAAAGTAGCAAAAATATCACAATCAGGAGGGGTCGAACCGATGGGCTCCTGACTGCTACGAAAACCATCTTTCAGACCTTCTAGGGTGCTAGTTTATCTGGCCCGCAAGGTATAGATCGATGCGGAGCGCAATGGAGGTATAATCTGTGGTTACCATTGCGCCATCACTCCCGGGTTGCGAATTCGGCCTTTGTTTGCATACTTATTTATGCCTTGCGGGCCAATGTCAGCTCCCAGTCTGTGCCAGAGATGGTCGTTGCATATTACGTGACTCCACAATTTCCTTTCCCCTGAAGGAGAAAGAAAGAAGCCCTATGAGACTTGATTTTTCCACTGCGCTCTGGTACAGGTTGCCATTGCGATTAACGATTACTGCAGAGCTTTCGGCGATAATATATGGGTAGCCTTATCTGCAGGCTATTGCGAGGGGGCTGTACCGGCTACATCGAAATAGCTGGTATGAATTCACAGTCCCCCATCCATTGCCTACCTTACCTGTGCGAGATCCAGTGTGACAGGCTTCTTGGAAGTGGCCTGGGCCCTTTGTCGCTGCGGCATTCATGCGATGTGTGTCTGGTGAGTCTTTGATGGCGACCTATACGTAGCTGCTTGGCTGTTCAGAGACGAATGTTCAAAGCGGACTAAGTATTCGATCAAGTGCATGTGCGTAACACTCTTAGTTGCTGCTGGTATTTTATTTGCATGAATGAACACTACAGGCAGCCCTTGTTTGTTTCACTGTCTGCTTCCTGATTTCCTCAAGGGGTTCCGTTGCGGTCTCCTGGAGGTTACCGTCAACGCTATAGACATATCTCAGCTCGGTGATGTCTCCTGCTCGGTCTTCTTTCATGTAAAGTAATACCACTCAACGAAGACAGTCGCCTCTTTGAGCCATAAGAATCTGCTAGCTTGCTCTGCGCATCTCGTGGCTTTGAAGTCACCTGGTTCAACGACATAAAAAGACACCATACAGATCTCCTCAAGACACACAAGGCTGCCCTTTCGTTGGGCTTCTTCAATTGACCGTCTCGTGGAGTCATTGTACCACAATTCCTCTTGGACTTCTGCCCATGGACATAAGTAGCTTGAAGTGTCCAGTCCGCCGCTCATCCCGATCTTGGCTCTTGAGATCCCCCAGGTCATGATGCACGCCCCTTGGGAGAATTTCGACATGCCACCTGCTTCCCACGGCGAGAACCACCCTAATCAGCGCGGCGAGCACTACAACAAGGGCTACCGTCGAGGATCAGGGCAGACTCACCATGGACGATTCCAAAAAGACACCAGAGCCCACAACAACAACAACAACAACCGCAACGACCGCAACCAGCCATGGCAGTCGATCCGCGCCATCGAACTGGGACTCTGGCCCCGGCCCTTCGGCGAGATCCACTCCGAGCGCGCCTACCTCCTCGACAAGCTGCAGGAGCACGACAGCGAGGCCCGCGAGCTGTTCGGCCGCCTCCCCACCGTCGAGGAGCACATCAGCTGGAGCGTCAACGTGCCGGACGAGCTGAAGAAGGCGCGAAAGCACCGCGGGTGGCTGAAGCAGCGCATCAAGGATACGGTGGAGGAGGAGAGGAAAGTGATGGCGCGGTTGGGCGAGATCCATGTCGAGCTTCAGTGTCGGGAGCGATGGTGTCAGGTCGAGAGGGAGAGGGAGCTCAGGAGCTTGAGAGCGTGTTCTCTTGGATGTTGTTCGAATCGTCCAACACCGCCACCGCCGCCGCCGCCGCCTGCGTATCCTACACCTCCGCCTGCACTTTCGTTCGCTGCAACTCCGCCCTGGCTGCCTCGAGCGACATACCCCCAGACGGCTGCTATCCGTACTTATTGCCCTTGTGGATGTGGCGGACCGTATCAATATTCGCAGGAGTACCTGCCTCTAGCCGTGGAAGTTGTCCCCGTCAATAATCAAGAGCCCCGACCATACACGCAACCTCAGAATGGTGGAGACATTCGGCCGCTGCGTGAGAAGATCTGGGTCATAGAAGAGAGATCAGTCGATGGAAAGGCGCCGAGTACTACCCCTCGCACGGGAGACCTGCCTTGCGAGGGTGAACTATTCGAATCGAGACCATTGAGGAAGCTCAAGAGCTTGCCTTCGCTGCGCTACACTTGGGCGGAGGAACATGATGGCAGGGATGATGCGGTTCACAGATGCTTGGGCCTATGCTCGCCGGACTAAGATGTGGAAGACGGAGTTGAGAGGATTGGGTGGACATGTAGCTCGACATTGATTTTATGGATACGGCATCTTAGAGAGTGAGGTGTCGAATAATGCCAACCAAATGGAGGATAGACTCATTGCCACACATTTGATCCTCGTCCATATGCTGTCTGTCCATTGTGTGAGTGATGTCAAGCAAACTCGCCGAACTTCCCATCGTCGAAGCCCAGGTCCGCTGCAGATTCTTGCTTCGAAGACTTTCTGGAGTGCTGAGGACCCGGCGGCGGCGGAAGTGCACCAGATCCTCGTGCAGCCGACGATGCGCCAGGCGGCGGGGGTAGTGAAAAAGATGACAGGTTCGCACTCGAAGGTTCCGAAGCCTCCGGCTTTCGCCTCCCAAATCTGCCCGGTAGGTTCACTGTAATGGTCTCGCCCTCCTTCAAGCTGAGGTCGCGCTTCTCGGCACTGTCTTTTTTCTCCGCAGCCGGCTTCTTTCCCGGCGGCCCGCTCTGCGCCCATCCGAGCGTCTTCTGCGCCTCCTGCAGTGATACCCCAAAATCGAATGCGTCACTGCGCTCCTCGAAGCCGACGCCCAGCGTGGCCTTCCTGCCGGCCTCATCCTGGACGCGCAGCGCAAAAAACCGCGAGCTATCTGACACTGGATCGACCACAGCCTGTGCAGTGTAGGGGGCCGCGGCGAAGAGCTGGCCGTTGCTGGCGTCCTCGAGGACGATGTCTGTCTTCACCTTCTCCTCGCCCGACGGCAGCGTGAGAGCGGTCTCGATCACGCGCAGGCGCGAGGTGAAGATCTGGCGCTTGTTGCCGTCGGCGGTCCATCCGGCGGCTACGTGACCCTTGCCCGGGACCATGGGCGGGATGTTGTAGACATGGACGGATGCTGCGATGAAGAGAACTCTTTGGATGGCGTCCGCTGGCAGCGCCTGGCCGGTTGCTGGGTCTGTTGACTCCATTGCCTTCTTCCCAAGAGTAGGCCTGTATGTAGGTAGTGATTGGAATTTGAGATCGGAAGCTCTGGCTCACTGCTACTGGATGTTGTGAGCGGTTGGAGGTCGCTGACCCCTAATTGGGTGCTAATACATGTAGTCAAGTGTAAGGGGCTGTTGGTGGTGTGGCGTCTCAGGTAGGTATGCACTTCAGCCACAGTGGGTCACACCAGACAGCCGATCGGGTGACGGGTCGCAGTCTGGACTCCATCGCAAAATAGTTGACCTGACCAGCCAAGCTTCAGAAGCTCCAGTCAACTTCAGCAATCGAGCTCGACCACGGTCATTGGGTTTCTACGATGGCACAACGGAGTGTGTCTCCCGGGGCGGCGCTCCTGAGATCGTCTCGCATGTTCTCAATGCCAGCTCCGATACCTCCTCCTCCCGGCGACTATTCCTCCGCAACGAAGCACTACTCGCCAACTGCTACGATCAATTACCCGACGCACCTTTCCGTGACCACGCCGTCCTCGTCCCGAATCGTCGGTGACTGGGGCTTCAAGAGGCCATTTCCCCTGAAGACAACCCTGAAGACAACCTATCCGCTCGTACGCGTCAGACAGGTCGATTCCACCGAACACGTTACGGACTTCCAGTCCTCGTCGGATCACACTATCACGCTCCAGAAGTTCCAAGAGTTGAACATGCCCATTTCAGTGCCACCGGAACACGCCGACGACAAGTACAAACAAGCACAGACTCCAGTATCAGTTTTCGAGGAGGAGGGCGATGTCACAGCGATTGACTCGCAGATGGCGGTGGATCTGGAGAACAAGAGATGGAAGTTCAAGGGACCGTGGCTTGCGGGATTGACGGATGGCCAGTTCAACGAATATCTCGAAAAGACCGTGCGAACCAGACGACCAGAATTCAGGGCGTACCTGAAAGGACTCCTCGCCAAAGAGATGACAGAAGATCAGGGACGAGTGGCCCGGGAGGCGGGCGAGACTGCTCCGGCCGCAGTCAATGCCGGCGACGTCACGGAAACCCAACTGGTTGGTTACCTAAGGAGGCTGCGCACAGATCGTATGGAACTGTTTAGACTGGTCGGCCGTTTCCTTGATCTTGCACCTATCGCTGGCGACCTCAAGTTGAGACATCTTGGTTCCTTAGAGCCCAACAAAGCGACACACCTGACTCGAGCCAGTCCGTACGGTGCCACAGGACCGCCGATCACGCACCCCTCGGCAGGGCTATCGTACTTGCGCACACGGAACTTCGGGGACAATCACCCGGTTTACGGCCCCCAGAAACACCATCCTCCAGTGAAGACGAGAGTGCTCATGCCGAGGTCTTCGGGGACGGGCAATTTCGATGTGGTACTTGGCATTGCGGGCTTTGTTGCGGAGACACCGTATGGAGACCTAACTTTCAACATAAAGACCATAAAAGGCCGCAACCAAACTGATATGGGCAGAGCCCTGCACTCTCTGGAGCTCGAGAAGTACGGCGGTGGAAAGGTCTACGGCCGGCCCACGGCGACTACAATCGACTCCAACGGCAGAGTTCGCATCAACGTGACGGACGCTAGCAAGGAGAGCGAAACAATCCACAAGGAGATGCTGGGAGAGGAAGGGGGTGAAGTGTACGAAAAGGCACTGAAGTCGAACGAGCCTCCCGAAGTGCCCCTCAACCCGAGGGGCCATATGCGCCAGAGGAGAAGCCCCTTGCTCCAAGGCAGTTCGGAGAGCTATGGTTGGACGTTGTGACCTGGAGCAGATACTGTATAAACAGAGTGTACACTGTCTATCTGGGGGTCCGACATCCTATAGATAGACGACATGTAATATAAGTCATGTATGCAGATTGGGCGAGACACCAATGCCTTTGTATACCTGGATTGAGTTCCGCGGCTACCATCGTGAAATCCTAGACTAAGGTTAGGTAGCCAGCAGCCCCAATTTGTGATTACCGCGCTCTGAACGAGCCGCTATCTTGATACTTGCCCCCTATGAGATCTATGCTTCGAAAGTGACATTTATCTTTTCGAGGCGATCAATGCTGTGCAACGCAGGAGTTGAGATTATGAACTCCTTGGCGCTGTTTCTCAGCACCTAAATTCGCAGCTGCCAAGGACCGGCTGCCAGCTGATAGCTGTAGATCCAGCTCCGCCAACCACAATCTCTATTGCTGCTGCCCTATGACCCACTCTTGCCGAATTTCCCCCACAGCCATTTTTGCCCACTTCAATCAATTCTCTTCGCGAACTTCTATCCTCCGCATCACGACACCACCGACAACTAACGCCAGCAGCCTCGCAATTCCCATTCCTCAGCAAATACCGCCAAAATGGGTCGCGTCCGCACCAAGACCGTGAAGAAGTCCGCCAAGGTCATCATGTCAGTCCAGGACAACCACAAGACTCGGGAGGAAGAGCACCGCTAATAGTTGTACAGCGAGCGCTTCTACCCCAAGCTCACCTTGGACTTCGAGACCAACAAGAGAGTGTGTGATGAGATCGCCATCATTGCCTCCAAGCGCCTAAGAAACAAGATGTTCGTTCGACGCCCGACCGGTCACAGCGCAAGACTGACGAAGTTCTAGTGCCGGCTACACAACGCATCTGATGAAGCGCATTCAGCGTGGTCCCGTCCGTGGTATCTCCTTCAAGCTGCAAGAAGAGGAGAGAGAGCGAAAGGATCAATACGTCCCCGAGGTTTCTGCCCTCGACTTCACCCAGAACAGCGAGACCGGCCAGCTCGATGTCGACGGCGAGACCAAGGACCTGCTGAAGCACCTCGGCGTACGTCCCCAGCCCTCACATTATCATATTCCTTGGCGACATAAGCTGACAGTGCCCCCTCCAGTTCGACAGCGTCCCCGTCAACGTCGTCCCCGTCGTCCAGCAGCAGTCCATCGAGCGACCCCGCAGATTCAACGACCGCCCCGCGCGCTAAGTGTACAATGGCGGGTTGGGAATGAGAGTTTATGGTTGATTTGGGCAACTGGCATATCGGTCTTATGGCTTCACGGCGTCTTCCGGACGATAGTACGTGCATTCTAGGTCTACGAAAAGAACGAGATCTTCCCCCACAAAGGTGTCCCCGAGTCTCTGGCCATGCGCTGGAGATGACGGTTGATAGCCAATATCTCCTGCTTTTGATGATCTGTGACTTACCCCGTTTTTGGACCTACAAACCGCCTCATATGCTGTTGCTTGAATTCGGCAAATCATCATTATCAACGACAAGCGAATCAATTCCGGGGTGAACATTTTCAACTATGCCTGAATTGATGGACCAATATCCTATGCCACCACGGGCACTATGGCAATTTTGGGTATCTTTCTTCCATGACAACCTTGAACGCCTAGAAATGCAATATGTGATCGACAAACCACCTTATAATCTTATTCCTCGGACGTATCCTTCTCTGCAGTCTCTGTCAGATTGGTCCCCTTGCTGATGGTTTGTGTCTTTGGGTCGAATTTTGTCTTGTAGCCATCCAGGATGAGATGTCCCTCATCACCTGTGTCGATTGATGGTGCCTCTGCCGCCATTTTCACGGACTTTTCCCTGATGGCAACCTTGACTGAACGCCTCGTCGTTTGCGGATTGCCCCTCTCCAGTGCGAGATCTCTAGCATTTTGAGCAGCTTTTTGGTCCTTCTCGAGCTTCAACTTTTCAACTTCCTTGGCCAGTTGGCTTGTCGCCAGCTCGAGATCTCTAGCGTCTTGAGCAGCCTTTTTCTCCTTGTCGAGATTCAACTTTTCTGCCGGGTCATCTGTCGGTTTTTGCTCCTCGAGCTTAAACTTCTCTACCCCCTTGGCCAGTTGGCTCGCCGGGTCGTCTGACTGTTTAGGCTCCTCGAGTATATCAATCTGAATCGAGGCGATACCGGCTCGCTCCCAGGCTGCAGTCTCATTCAGCTGAACCTTGACGTACATGGCTCGCCTTGCGCACTTTTGCGAGCACCATCTCTCGACCTCCCTCTTGGGCACAATACTGAAGTCCTTCGTCCCGTAGTTGAGCAGCTTAAAATTGCCCCCTTGCGACATCTTCACGCGAGGTCTCGGACACAGCGCGTAGCCGCACATGCCGTTGCAGTTGCGCTCTTCTATCATGTCATCGTAGTCGCTGGGCTGGTACAGGCGAACGAGGTTCTTGAAGGCTTCTGCGTCGGCTGGCGCGGGGCTGGAGGAGGTGTACGATTCATTGCGCGTCCGAGGGAAATGTGACAGCTCGATTATCGAGTCTGATATCTGGTCCTGGATGTCTCGCCGCGAGTGGATGATGCGCGCATGTCGTATGGCTGTCTCGCGGGCATCTGGCTTCGGCTTGCCTCGAGTTTCGGCTGCGGGAGCTGGGGTTGTCGTCTTCTTCAGTATGCCTTTCGGCTTCTCTGCCACTGACGACATTGTTTCGAAGCCAGCGGATGTGTTGTGGGAACAAAGGGGTTTGTGTGACCTTGGCAGCTTTGTGTGTGAAGGTATTGGGAGAATAAGGTATGCTGCATATGGTAAAGTTCAAAGGAAGATGAAGTGCTGCGGGTGTTTACAGGTACTTGACATGTTTGACATAAGAAACAGCTACGCCACACGCGGTTCGCAGAACGCCACAATCTGTTGCCATGGTCATTTCGTCATTGGCCCGGCCCCGGCCTGCTGCGGGCGGTGTCAGTCTGAGCAATGAGGACCATCCGAGGAACCCTGCATCTTCCCTCCTCGCAGACTCAATTCATCAGGCGTCCAATGTTTACAAGGACATCCCACCGAGCCCGTTGTCCGCATCCTTCAGGCGACCGACTGGCCTGATGCTGTCTGAGCAATCCCAACCATTAATACAAGCATAACAGACTCGTCGTCTTCACGTGCACGGCATCAGTTCTCTTGGTTCTCTTTATCTAAAAGCACTGTCCCGAGGCGGCTTCCTTCATCACACGACCCCAACTTGAGTCTTTGGTAGGCCACAGCCTCTCCGACCAGAAAGCCACAGGATCGCACTTGGGAGTTCATGCGCTGACGTCGACCTGCTCTAGCTGCAAGCTCTGACAGGCTGCCGGCCATTGCTCAGCCTCAAGCGTCTAGTTTGAGACTCGCGATAGCCTAATCACTCGCCATTGTTTCAACTTATCTACTGCACCAACTTCGACAACCGACCATCCTATACCCCCATTTCGACTTCCAGAAGAACACTGCCGTCGCATCTGACTTCTTCCAATATCACCGACCCTCTCGCGATAATATCTGGACCTTTCGGAGCCGAGCCTGGCTAGCTTACGACGCTGAACGCAAGGCACCATGGCTGCTGTGCCGTTCAAAGTCAAGTCTGTCTACGAGTACACCTCGAACCATGAGGACGACCTGCCGTTCGGCATTGGCCAGATAATCACAGTCACAGAAGAGGACGATCCCGACTGGTATGGAGGCGAATATGTCGATGACTCGGGTGTAAAGCAGGAGGGCATATTTCCCCGAAATTTCGTGGAGAAGTTCGAGCCCACCGCCCCACCGCGTCCGACGAGGGCTCGCAAGAAGGAGGCAGAGCCAGCTGCCACGGCTCGCCCACCCCAACCCGTTGCCCCCTCGGAACCGTCGCCAGTAGATGAGCCTGCTGAACCAAAACACGAGGATGTCCAGGAGGCTCATGTTGCTTCACCGTCGCTCCCTGCTGCTGATGAACCCCGCTCGCCTCCTGTCATACCTGTGGCCAACCCTCCTGAGACTGCCCCCGTGCCGGCACCTGTGCCTATCGAGCCTAAGATTGCAGGTCCAGTCAGCTCGTCGAGCGCTTCTCAACCGCCGCCTAAGCTTCTGGCCCAAGCTCGGGCGCCTCCCCCTGTGTCGGAAAAGCCCAGCGGCAACTCTTTCAAAGATCGCATAGCGGCATTCAACAAGCCAGCGGCTCCACCAGTTGCTCCTTTCAAGCCTAGTGGGCTCAGTTCAGGTTCAACAGGCTTTATCAAGAAGCCGTTCGTTGCTCCGCCGCCAAGCCGAAATGCCTACGTACCCCCGCCGCGGGAGGCACCGGCTACGAAAGTCTACAGGCGGGATGAGGATCCGGAGATTAAGGAGAGAGAAGTAGAAACTATGGAAAGCGCAGAAAAAGCTGGGCTTGTTCCTACTGTGCCTGCAGAAAGTCAAGGCGAGGACCAGCCTAAGCCGACCACTTTGAAAGAGCGTATAGCTCTGCTCCAAAAGCAGCAGGCCGAAGCAGCGCAACGACACGCGGATACTGCGTCGAAGAAGGACAAACCCAAGCGTCCTCCGAAGAAGCGAACCGAAAGTGGGGGTCCTCAAGAAGGTACCACAGCAGAAGAGGTCGACGCTCAATCTCCTTTGGAGCGCAGAGATACTGCCGAGGTTGCCAGCAAGAAATCCTTGGACGAACCTCGGTCTGCAAGGCAGTCCTTGAGTCTTCGACGCAAGTCTACGGGTCTGGCCGAGAATGACGGCAATGAGGCAGACATGTCCGGTGCTGGAGACACCACCGAAGGCCAAGAAGATTTCACCGAGAGAGAGGACAGTGACGAGAAACCGAAGGCTCCATCACGCGCCCCTACTGGTACCATACCCCAGCCAGAAGAACCCGACATCATTGAGGAGGACGAGGAAGGTGAGGAGGACGACGACGTTGATCCCGAGCTCAAGCGGAAGCAGGAGCTTCGTGCCAGAATGGCCAAGATGAGCGGTGGTATGGGCATGGCGGGAATGTTCGGTCCGCCAAGCATGTCTGCGGGAGGCCAGTCCAAAAAGCCGAAAGCTACTTCACCAGAAGAGCGTCGTCCCAGTGAGCCGTCAGGGGGGCCAGGTTCGCCCAGGATGACTGCTCCCCCAGTACCGACCATGATGGCGCTGCCTGGCATGGGCAAACAGAAGCAAGCAGAGGAGGAAGCTGAATCTGATGATGATGAACCCCTGGGAGAGGAGATTACACCAGTAGCTTCAAGTAGTCGAACAAGCACTGCTGCAGAACGTAAGTCTCACCACCTCGGCAGGCAAGCTCTTGGGTCTCGTACACAGCACCAGATATTAACATGCATTTAGCTTCGTCGCGAGTTCCGGGCGGGCCACCACCCGTTCCTGGCGGAAGACCTGCGCCCCCTCCGGTGCCTGCAGAGTGTAAGTGGCCTTCCCAGGCATTGTTGGCAACACATACTAACAAGCACCTTTTCAGCTCGGCCTCCACCTCCTCCGCCCGCCCGCATTGCGTCCCCCAGTGTTGGGTCGGAATCTGATGATGAACTGTCTGAAGCCCCAAACAGATCTCTGGAGACTCCCACTGGTGAGGCTCCGCCGACGGGCCGTGCGCCGCCACCCATTCCCTCGGGATACCCTGCAATGCCTTCATCGCCACGAGCAACTGGTGGCAAGCGAAGCTCCTACATAGGCGATGATAGCCCCGTTGGCTCACCGAGGTCTCCTCCACAACCGAGCAAGAGAAACAGTCGGCCGCCGCCTCCTGTTCCTGGCGCTGCTCCACCTCTTCCGGCACAGAGTCGGCCACCACCCCCTCCGCCTCCTGGAGGTCCTTTGAGCCGTACTTCCACTGCCGATAGGCCAGTACCACCACCGATGCAGCCTGGCACCCTAGATAATGGCGAGGAAGGAGAAAACACCGACTACGAAGGCGATTACGATACTGATATTGGCTCTTCTGTAACTCACAAGGATGCGCTCAAGGCTCATGCACGGGACCCGAGTTTCGACGAAGGCACGTCGGTACGCTCGCCTGCCGTTGAAACTCCTGCGTTTTTGCCTCCTCCTGTTCCAAGCGCTGCGGCTCCGAGAACCGGCCCGCCTCCAGTCCCGAGTCAGCCTGCCCCAAGTGCCAGGCAATCAATTGATGCACCCCGGGCGGCGCCTCCACCCCCTCCACCGTCCAAAGAGGCGCCATATGGTTATGATGATGAGGACTACGACCCGTACAACTACAATGCGATGCGAAGCCCTCCAATTACAGTATCTCACAGCGCGTCTTTGGAAGAGGAGCCTCAGTATTCGCCAGACCCAGGGCTTTCGTACCAGTCGCCCCCTCCACCTCCGCCAGATCGCCGGGGCCCACCACCTGCGCAACCGCCCACCAGGGCTCCTCGGCAGTCATTAGATGCAGGTGTCCAGAACACTAGGGCTTCTCGACAATCCCTAGATGTACAGAGAACACTCGGAGGAAGGAGGTCAATGGATGCCTCTCGTCCATCTATGGAAACGGGTTATATGGCTAACGACGTTGACCTGGCTCCTCATACACAGTGGTGGCTTTCGCGGAACGGTCTCCCTCCCGTATTCCAGGGTCGAAGAGATATCTACTTCGAATGCGATGAATCAACTGCGTCAGCAGCTGGCGGCCGAACATCGGTCACCAAGGAGGTTTTCATCCTTTTCCAGGACTACTCGCAGACTATGATCAATGTTCACTTTGATCCCCAAAACCCCTCGGATGCCGAGGTTGAGCAGCGGCATGAGGGGCCACCGCGGGCACTACGCCAAGACCAGCTTGAGGAGGCGTATGAGCGATTTGGACGGCAACTAGCCAGTGCTGCTGCATCGAAGAAGGATTCGGTTGTCGGCGATGGTACTCCACAGTCGCTTATCTTCGAGCTGCTCAGGCCTCTGAAGGATGCCTTACTACCCGTTGGCACCCGTGCGTATGGCGGCCTAGTCTACGCTAACTTGGCCAATGCTTCGACGCAGCTGCACGATGAGATACGGCCTGGTGACATTATTTCTATTCGGAATGCAAAGTTTCAAGGAAAACACGGGCCTATGCACGCCAAGTACTCAGCAGAAGTCGGCAAGCCAGACCATGTGGCTATAGTTGCTGAGTGGGACGGTACCAAGAAGAAGGTCCGTGCTTGGGAGCAGGGTCGCGAGAGCAAGAAGGTTAAGCAGGAAAGCTTCAAGCTCGAGGACCTACGGAGTGGCGAGGTCAAGATCTGGCGAGTCATGCCACGCAGCTGGGTTGGGTGGTCGTCTCAGGACTAGCGAGCCCGAATGCCATCCTACGACTACCTCTGGCCGATCCTTGTCAGGGTCAGCACAGACGGTAGGATCAGTACCGAGAGAATGAGTTTCGATGGCCGCATCAGCGGAGACGGCTTCGAGCGCAGACGCAGTCCCTACTAGCAGCAGGATTCCGGGAGCGGTGTTACATATTAGAGAGTAATCCATGCATACTTCACGTGTCGAATATTGGGAATACGAAGACAATTGCAGTCTTGAGATTCAGAATCTCGTGTAACAAGTCGCTCGCTGAAAAAGATTACTACCACTGCTTGGCTTGTGAATGCTACTACTTGCAGGCGTTTCCTTTAAGTCGCTATAATGTCTCGCTGTGCAAGCCGGTCTTATGCTCACTCTAATGACTTTTGCCATGAGCATTCAGATGCCCGTCTAGGTTATCAGTCATTACACTTCACGCCACAATAAAGAGGATATAAGTTCGTTTGTAACATGAAGTAGAGTATCCCAACGTTGTCGACCATCAAGCAACCGTAGCGGTGTCCTGCTCGCTTCCCTGACCGCGTTGGCTGCTGGCTACTGACTACCACGGTCTCATCATATAACCATTCAGAAGCAATCATCGTGTCTTGGCCCGGCATTACAGAGCACAGTGGGGATATACACGCTATAAGAGACATTCTCAACTCCGTCCATGTAGGCTATATAGTTACTCACTACGCAGAGACGACGGCGGATCACCACACAGAAAGACCTAGCGATCAAGTAAGGTCACGGATAACTCTACGGGCCCTACCCAGGTCAGGTCAAGACGTGACGGTACCTCTGACCGCCGAAACGGGGTGCGAGGCTCTCATTTCAAGTATAGAGGGCGGTGCGGTGCGGTGCTCGTGTCGAGCAATGCTTACCGTAAGGGGGGAATATTCGGGTCGTCATCGCGACTCGCGGCGACGACCTACTCATTGCATCTATTGTGCAGTAAGCAGTGCGCTTACTTCGGAGCAGTAAGGGAATCTCGTGGTAGGCTTGTCATCCCAGAGTTGACCAGTTTGGCAAGGTTTCCTCCGCATGTCTTAGAGGAAAGGACGATGAAGAACGAGGAGGGAGAAAAAGAAGCAACAACAACGAAAGAGCGAAGACCTCTGGCTCTACCCTCTACGGGTCTTGCACCTCATAAGTCACACGATCCCTACCTCAGCCTCTACAATCTACAGTCTACCTACCCTCCGCCGGCGCCAGTATGATCAAGAAGAACCCCTTCAACACGTGCAACCCACCATCAGAAAACGGCACAGGCGACAGCAACAGCACTAGAGGGTATCACGACTTGAACAGCGAACGGAGAGTAGGCCGAGCCAATAGCTTAATGAAAGTATTCGCGTGGCTCAAAGCCGTTGAAGGAAAGAGAATTGAAGCAAAAAAGCAGAATCCCATGCGCAGCTGACAGCCCTGAGGTGGTACCCGACGTGAGACACCACGCGCGATCTTCACGACCCTGCCATGCCGTACCCTGCCATGCCGTACCTGCCGACATATCCCACCTACCCTCACAGTCTAGCTTTCTGTGAAGCTGTCTACACTGAACCTCCAAAAGTCTCCGTACACCCCTTGTTCGGCAAGAAAAGGGTGCGTTTCTTGTAGGTGGGATAACCGTTCTGGAGTAAGCACTGAGGATGACCTATTGGATTAAGGGTGCTTATTCCAGGGTGTTAAATTGATCAATATCAACATAGCATAGAGACCCAAACACCGATAGAGGCATGTCGAACGGAGACTTATGAGGGCTACGTGTAGCTGTAAAGCTGCGATTCAGCACGGAATGTCAGCTACGCCGTAAACAGCCGCGGCCACTGCCATCGGCCTCGGCATCAACAAGGTTGACAAGGTACCAAACGTGTGCTTCTCGGGCTACGCACGCTACGGGGAGAACGAAGCTAAGGCACACCCCCGAGACATACGTCTATATGACCTACATGTCTTAGGTGACAGGGCGCTTGCTGCAAGATGATGGCTTGTGCTCGTGCTTGTGCTCGAGCCGGAGCAGACGAGGCAAAGAAACTGAGGAGGAGGGGCCTGGGGACAAAACCACGCGCGCTTATGACGTTGACACATCGTACGAAATGAAGTCCGTGTCTCAAAGTCTGCTCGACGCTCGTGGCCTCGTTTCACGGAAGTGCTCAAGATTAGCCTAGAGCAGCCCAGTCCAGCCGGAATCCGACCATAGAATAGACAGACAACCCAGGTCTGCTCAGACCAGTAAGGTCATGCATGCGAAGCGTGCCGCAGCACACTAGCGACAGCGAGCTTGGCCTCCCGCCCCCGACCACCTTCTTCCTCTCTTCTCGAAGACTAATTCTCCGGAGCGAACAGGGCCCTTCCTGGCACAACACGAGTTGACTGCACTGGGCTCGGCACATCGCGACTCGGCTCGATGCAATCGACGGCATCGACGGCCGCTTGACGCTTGTCAGGACCACCGGCATCGCATCCCAGTGCGTCTGATAGACGCGGAGAATCTCGGGTCGCAGAGCTTATGCCGGAGCTTGACTATTATGAAAGAGCCGACGCGGGCGAGGCAGCGCGGCTTGCCCAACGCGGCAGCCAGAGCCGTGGCTTGGACCGACTGGACGAGTTGATGAGCGAATAGCCTCACTCGGAGAGAGGTTGCCCTATCGCGTCTCGTCATTGGGCGTGACGGCTTCATGGGATTGGGTTATATCCCCTCGGCGATCAAAGCCGACCAAAGCCACGGGATATGGACATATAGCCATAGGCAAGGGCGACGATCGGTTGGCAAGGTTATATACCGAAGTCATGGCTCATGCACTGTCATGGTTCTAGAAGCAACAGGTATAAGCGATATCGACCATGCGACGAGAAGCTTTCTCATGACGCTCCGGAATCTCGATGCTGCAGTCAACATGCTGTGGTACAGTCAGCCTACGTCTCCGAGTGAGGCCATTATATCATAGGTCGTAAGCCGGCATATAGATTGCAGCTGGTTGGCGCCGATGATACTTGAAGGACTTACCATTGAGTCTCGGAGGGCTGGTCGTACATGCCATTATCAAGGGCCAATACCAGGAACTTGATGAATATATCGACTGTGAATGGGTTGCTTGGGTGCCAGGCCGAAATCCTCGTAGTGGCGGTCCGGCTGCGGGTAGGTCCATAGACGTTCAGTTGTAGGTAGGTAGGTAGGGTTGCAGTTTGATGAAGGAAGACCAATGTGCTTCCAAGCTCGGAATCTCCACATTACCCGCCTCTGGAAACGCACGACGTCGGGGAAATGCACTGGGAGTCTTGCTTCGAGCTCATCGGATGTCTCAGGGGCGTCGATAAGAGACAAGGTCCTGCAGCTTCAGGGGTAGCTCGGACTTGGGAGGCGAAGACCCTGAATCCTCTCGACTTCACGTGGTTTGCACTACTGAGGAGCTACCCCCCACGTTAAATACAATCAATCAAACCTCTCGACTTCAAATCCTAAAGGAAGCGGCTGCTGATCCAGGTGTCCAGACCACAAGATCATCGGTTCCATCATTCCTCTCATTCCAATGGGATAAGCAGATGCTGATCATGGAGGGCTAGCTCAGAGAAGTGCAATCGACAGGATCGAATGCCGCCACTCGCGCTGGGAGCTCATTGGCAGTGGTAGCAATCAATTCAGCGGTGCAATGCAGGCAATGCCGGCATGCTTCCAATCGCCTACCGTGAAAGGATAGCACGGCTTTAGCCATTTGCTCGATAGTCGTTGCATGCGTGGCTATCGGATTTGCTTGCGGCGGGCGATATCTGTGGTTGTCCTTGTGACTGTCCGTGTTACCGATGCATTATAGTCACTAGACGATTCCGATCTTTGGCAAACAGGAGCTATCCATGTGACATTGAACAAAACTCAGACTCCACAGAAGGATCGGGCCGTTGATGGTTGCCAAAGATGATCAGCAGTGATCTTTCACTGCCTCCGGAGGGTGTACATACGAACAGGCCTCGATTGTGGCAAGCAGTATACAGAACGGTCGAGTCGTACGTGAGTTCCATAGATCTGGCATGCCGACTTCGGCAGTATGCATTGTGAGGTTTGTGGCAAGACAAACAGCTGCATGAAGTCAATGCACATTGTGGTTGAGTAGCCAATATCACGTAAACGATTTGTATGTCTCGTCGTTCGGCTGCCCATTGGCGACAAGGCGTGGTAGTCTCCCGTGGTAGTCTTCTTGTTCTCAGGACCAGTGTTTGGGAGTTGGAAGCTTCTCGTAAAAAAACGCCAAGCTCGCGGTTGTTAAGCTGTGTGGTGTTGGGAGGGGATGGACTATGCAACTGTCCTCCCTCAAGGCGGGGGATGTCGTGGTCGAGGAGGACCAGCCCCTTGGCTGACTTCGCAACACCCTATCGAGCAAGGATGGCCTCATTGTGTGCCCAGGTAAGGGAAAGCTATTCTAAGCCCCGCCAAAGGGAACCAAAGGTCTGCCAGTCGGTCATCTTGCCATACACAGAAGCGTTGACGCGCCCAGAGCTTTAATAAGTTAGTAAGGCGGACGCATGGTGACCTAACCGGAGCGATCCCTTCCTCACGGTACTTGAGATGGCTTCGTTTAGGCACAGCAGGCACTCGGGATCCAATCACTGCATCGCCTCGACAATAGCCTTGAATCTCGAAAGGGCAGCAAGGTGCCGGAAACACGTGCGTAACGGCCTTCGTGTGTCTGGGTTTCTGACGTGGGACGTCGGGCCCCAATCAGCCAGCGAATGAGAGGGTGCCACACAACGCGTTCTGCTTTTGGACAACCTGCAGGAAGGCAGAGCACGGTAGGAACGGCTGTACTAGCCATCTCCACGCCGGATGGAATTGCTCAGCATGAAGCAGCAAATGACCTGCGACATGTATGATGCGTCGTCGCAAGGAGAGTTGTTGGAGGCCGAGATCGGGTCGAGCAAGCAAGATCTGTACCACGTCGGGAAACACTGTCGGTGCCCTTCATCAGGCGCTCGGTAAGGGTCACGATGGTTCCCAACTGCCGGGAATCCTCCACAGCACAAGGTATGCTCTGGGCCTGGGATGGTTTGACTGGGATCAATCCTCGCCCGAGAGCTACTGGTCAACAGCTATGCACTTGAGAAGATAAATGGGGCGGGCGTTTGAGGAAATCCACCCAACGTCAAGACTCAAGACGATATTGATGTTGATGGCATCCTGCGATGCGTCAAATCACCCCGAATTCCGACATCTGTGCCAGTGATGAATTGTGCGACGGTCACTGGCATGATGACGATGGTGGGTAGTCGTAGAGTGTATGAGCCATAGAGCGGTCTGCAAGTCACTTATGTAGGACTCATGCGTGTATCGTCAGGTTCTGCAAAACCCGCGACGTTAGACATAAAACGTCATGATGGAGCATGGTCTGCAGTCGCTGCCCGTATCCGACAAACAATTTGCAGCCACGGCACTGCTTGCTGCTTGACGAGACAGGGGCTTTGCCATATGCAAACGCATTCAAGTGCAGCAGATTCCAGACGGCGATGTGAACCATACTGAGTCAGCAGTATCAGTATGGGCCCTAGGTACGGTTGTTGACAGACGGCGTGCTGTCCAGACGGGGGCCGGTGTGTATCAAAGTCGCGAGCAAGCGCATGGCCGACGGTGAAAGGGTAATTGAGTGAGATAATCACTCGCTGATCTTGCAGTTTCTAGACAGCCGAGGGTGCTGCGGTTGATGGAGAGATTTTCTAATCCTTTCGAAACCTGACCACTTGGAGCTGAGGGGGAAGATGGAATTTTCTGCTTTCTGATCTGATGTTGAAAATCAAACGATCCATCTTGTCGGCGAACTCCAGAGGGGCAGGGGCAGAGGGGCCGACGGCTCGGTGTTTCCTTGGGGCAGCTGCCACTTCCAATTAGGGCTGTCTGGGGCCGCTGCCGATCGGATCATCGTGGGAGCGACTACCCTGGAGTGGACCTGAGCAGCGATCTCCAGCTTGGGATAGGCCCTGGGATAGCCCTGGAAGAGTGGAACTGCCCCTGGAACTCCCTGGAACTCCCCTGGAGGCGCCGATGTAATGGTGCAGGCTCTCCGCCTCTTCTGCCGATGTCTTCACACGGGGATCCCGCTTTTCCTGCCACACGTACATTTGCATCCTCATAACATCCCATCCATCACGGTCAAGTGACACGACATGTTCGACATGTGCTACTCGCTCAAGCTTAATGCTTGTGGCAGCGCTTCACGACACAAGCTCTGGATACTATGATACAATCCAAGATGAACTGCGGCACATCCTGGCAGTCTGTCAGCATGCCTGTCCTGCATGTAAGGTAGTGCCGCCACCTGCACTCTGTGTCTCAACAACACGATGATCAGTGATCACATCTCAAGTAAACTCGTACCTTAGGCGCTGCGCCCACGTCTTGCGCCAACTGGCACTCATCCCATATCCACCATCCACCCCCCACACCCTCCTGCACTCTTGGGAACCCGTGAATCGCAGGGGTTGTCCGCCAACGAGAGCGACAGTTGGGGGAGCCCTGCAGCAACATGACAAAACCAGCTAGGCAGGTAGGGAGTCGGACATCCTCATGCATCCAAGTAACTCTGCGGGATTTTGCCCGCGGGTGTCTCCCGTCGTAGAAGCCCGCTGCTGAAGTAGTCAACTGTCAGCTCACTTCCAACCAATGTCTGTGAAGCTGTCTCCGTCAGCCCACTTCACCCACTTCACCCACTTCACCCATGTCTCTCGGTCTCTCGTCGTGCCATGTTGCTCCAGTCGACCGAGCTCGTTTATATTTTATAACGGACCTCATCCATCGTCTGTCGTCGCCCATCCTACATTGCTTTATCACTCTTCGTAGCACAAGATACGAGCATCCCACCTTCACTCCGTTGAAGATAGCCGCGGCGGCTCACACCCACCCCTGTCCTGCGCTTATACCCCTGCCGAGGGATCTCAACCCTCGCGTCTAGCACACCCAGTGACCCTCCTCTTCCACCAGGTCTCAGCGGGGTTATATCGAATCACCACGGCGTGAATCGAGTTGTTTCCACTCACATCATCCCCTTCTGCCCCTGTTCCTGTGGACCCTAAAGCTGCTTGGGACATCTCCCACAGGCAGATATAAGAGCTGCCTACCCTCCCAACGCATCACCCTCTACTCCCAGGGCCATCTCCAAACAACAACTCATACAATATCACATAATATCATCGCCATGGCTCGAAGACGGGATACCCTCGCCTCCATTCGTACCACCAGTACACGGTACACAAGGCAAAGTGCCGACTCTCACGAATCTCGAAGCACTGCGCCTACCTCTCCATCTGACAGCCCTAGGCCGTCAACCAAAGACTCGAGTTCGCAGGCTCCCCCCAGGTTCCGCCAGGTACATTATGGCGAGGACCTGTCGCCGTCGACGAGTCTTTACCCACGGTCATCTGTCGAGACATACTCGTCGCAAGCCTCGATTGCCGAACTGGAAGAGCTGGAAAGGATGGAAAGTGTGGACTATTCCGAAATCCCACCAATGCCCGTCTACCGACATGAGATTGAAGAGACTGATGTCCGGCCTTCAACCCCTGAAGACTTTGCCAGACTCTTCCCAACCACGAGCAAATTCTCTATACGTCATGACGACTTCACATCAGACGGCAACATGAACCTACGTGTGGATACTGTGGTTTCTGGTCGGCGCAAGAGGACCATCCAGCTCTTCCATTTGCGTATGCACGATCTCAGCAAACGCGAATTCTCCCTCCGCCGGTACTGTCGGGACTCTGGTCGCGAAGTCTGCAACTCCAAACGCAAATATGTCGAACCGACCAGCCCAAGTCGTCCCCATATACACCAATCAGTATCTTCGGCAGTCAAGAACCTCGCAGGAAGACCAACTCTCAGCCGTCTGCCGACGGCGGGCTCACTACTCTCGGCTATCAGTCGACCAGGAACGAGCCTTTCTCCTGTTGAAGCTGACGAGTTCACGGGTGGCTTCACTCACACAAGTGACGTGGACAACACGCCAAAAGCTCGCTCATTGCCGACAAGTGCCATAAAATTGGAATTTTCCAACTATGCTCGGGTCGACATCGACCGCCGAGGGAGCAAGAACGCCAAGAGATACGAATTTGAATGGTGGAATAGCAAATACGCATGGAGACGAGTAGTCGACCAGCTCACGGGTGCCGTCTCTTTCCATCTTCTCATGGACGGCAACCACCGTACACCGGTGGCACATATTGTACCTGACACGCGGTCACCAGACCAAGTCGCGGCCGACGAGCATGCTGGGGGATGGGTCCCGCCGTGCCATATGTGGTTCAGCGATGAGACTCTGTTCGACGACGACGATGATGAAGTACGTTTCAAGACAGGTTTCGCAGAGTAAGTTCAGCTCACCACATTTTCCAACCCTCGATCCTTACTCATCATTATCGCAGCGTCGTTGTCGCCACCGGTCTCCTGGCCCTCGTCGACGACTGCATCAAGCAGCGCTGGCAGCAGAAGAAGGTCCGGCGCATCAGCCTGCCCGTCCTGGACGGGGAGTTCATGGGCCCCAGGGCCTTTGTGCAACACCTTCTCCAACGTCGGAACTCGGATCACCACTCCCATAGTCCGCTTCGATATCAGCGGACAGCCGTCGCCTGCTAGCCATAGGGAACCCGGAATTGACCGGTTCGACGTTACGACACTTCTCATACATACAGAGAGAGATATGACATCGTTGTCCTTACCAACACCATTACTTAATACCACAGTACCGATCGACCGATAGGCCGTGGTCGAGGCATATACAATGCCTTTCGCACGCCGCTGTGCAAGCCCAAATGCCCGCGCTCTCCTCGGACCACACCATCGCCTCGAAGCAATCTACCTAACAAGGGGAAGCTCGAGCGTTTACGATTTACGACAGAACTCCATGACCAAACACGGCATCCCAACTATTCTCATTATATATGTCGTCTAATCTCTTTTACTATACTAGTGCTTATTTCCTTAATCATGTTGTGTTTTTACCATTCTCTTCTCACCTCTTCTCCCTCACCATCTATATATGGGTTGGCGTTTTTATCATCACACTCTCTGTTGTACCAAGAGGTCGAAGCATCGTCCATCATCATTTGTCGCATGCATCACGCACATGGAGTTTCTGGCCTTTCGCCCATGACGACCAGCGCAAACAGCCGCGCTATATGGGTTCTCTCCTATTATCGAATCTGCATCGTTGGGTTGTATGTCTGGATTACGGAGCAGGGGGCACGAGTGTAAAAGTTTCATGTGGTATATCGCCTCATCCTGTGCGAACAGAAACAGGAGGGCAGCAGCAACAGCAACAACAGTAAAACAGAGAGCATCGGTCACCGATCGCGGGGGGGAGCTATCTCTGTATAACGGCCGGAATCATATCAGATTTTCGTTCTGTTACAGAATCGTCTCAAGTCTCTTCGGAGCCATATAGTTACAGTAGCTCGGCAATCTATGCCGCAGACTGAATGTAGTATGAACAAGACCACCAAGAAATGCCTGAGACCTATGTGACAATATGCAGCTTGCATAACCGCTCTCGTCATCATTAGCAGTGAGTGACCAGCCCGTATCAAAACTCCCCACCACCATCCCGTCCGCGATTCGACCTGCCCGAATCCAGCCAACCGCCAAAATCCAGCTTCATCAACAACCGATCCACGCCGCCCACGCGTCTGGGTACATACCTACCCTCCCCCTCCCCATCCCCATCTTCATCCCCAAAATCCTCCGCATCATCATCACCATCACCACCGCCGCCACCATCCTCAAAGTCCGCCATAAACGCCGAATCCATACTCAGACCCCTCAGCACAGCAACAACATCCTCGACGCCGTGTTTCACCTTAGCCTCAACATCACGAATACCGGCGCGCACGTCGGCCTCGTCGGCGGCGAGATTAGAAAAGGCGTCGACGACACCCTCGTCAGCTTCCAGATCGGCGGCCGTCCAGACGCCGTGGAGGCGGTGGACGAGCGCCACGAGGTGGTCGATGTGCACCAGCAGATCATAAAGCGGGTCCGTGAAGCGCTGCTGCGCCAGCAGGAGGCGGCGGACGAGGGTGCGGAGGTAGAGGCGGTGGGCTATGGCGAGGGTCTGGGGGTCGTGGGTTGTTGAAGACTTGGGTGCTTGTGGATTACTTTGATCCGGTGCTGGCTCGTCGTCGTCTTCCTGAGAGTGAGCGGAGCTGGGGCCCATGTGCGTGTGGTGTGATATGGATGGCCTCTGGTGGTGCGGCCTGGCCGATTCTTCCGTGCCAGTCACCCAGCCGTGGAAGTCGTCCCAGAGGCCTTCGACGACCTCTACCTGTAGATAGGCTTCCGTCTCGGCGAGGAAGAAGATTGCGGCGCTGCTTGTACTCCATGCGCTTCGCATGGCGGACGAACGAGCAGACCAGCGCTCATGGAGCAGTCTAGTCTTGGCAACACCTCCTTTCGTGTTACCGTATGGTGCTCTGGGAGGCGGTGGATGATGCCGCCGAAGACACGTGATTTTCCATAGATCTGTGAGACGCAAGTGTGCGCGGCGAATGGACAGGAGATATGAGTTGATCGAAGTGTATGTGTGCAGATCAGTGGGCGCCAAGAAGAGGTCCAAGGGGGATGGTATCTGCATTGTGAGAGTAACAGGGACGGAGAACAGTAGATTTCGGAATGGCGTCGCAGCGATGGCGTGCGAGGCTCGTTGACCATTCTCGGATGTGCCCTTTCCCGGTGTTGATGGATTGGACTTGAATAGGTTCAACCGCAGAAGACCCCTTGCCAGTTCAAGTTCTTCATCCTCGTCCGCATGCTGGCCCTGCATCGTCCCCAGCGCAGTCCATGTTTTAGAGAGAACAGTGGCAACTTCACCTTCTTTGATCATGACAGTGCCGAGTCCGTCTCGCTTCTCATATGCAAGATTGTCGGCGCGTCGCCAGCGACTGCGAATCTTTTCATCAGCTTGCTGTGTCAAAGCCATGGCAAACTCGCCACGGCCGAGCAGGAAGAACTCCCGGAGGATCCTGAGTATCTCAAGGACCTTGCCCAGAGGTAGGAGCTTTTGCAAAGTTGTACGGGATAAGGTGAGTCTAATCGCTGTGATTGCTCGAGACAGCATGACGGAATTGAGAGGGAATGTCAACTGGGCCAACTCTTGCAGTTGCGAAGAAAAATGCCCGACACCACTGATACTCGGGTCCATACCGCCTCTCCGATGTACTCGGTTCAAAGAGGTCCCAATGAACAACATCGAGGACGCCGTTGACTGTGTCACAAAAGCAGGCAACAGCTCGTCATCAATCGAGTATCCCTGGTGAAACATGTAAGAACACACAGTCAATCCCAAGATCAGAAGAGGGATCTCACCTGCTCATCCTCTTCATCTTTCCGAATAAAGAAGTCATTATGACCCAACATAGGTATACGTCCATACAGAACCCAGGTCGATACCTGCTTCAACCAAGCAGTCTCGGCAACCTTAACAAGGCTCAGCGCGGTCTCCCCAATGTCAGCATACCCAGTCTGGAGCTCATCTCGCAGCTTGTCGATGAGCTGTGCCGCCCGGCAAGTGGCGCCTTTGCTTTCCCTGGAGATGAACTGGACCAGATTCCACAGCCATTCCAGGCGCCGCGTCCAGCCCGAGAACTCGCCAATGACAGCAGTCAGGGGCACGATGTTGCAAGCCCCCACGAGCGCGGCATCTTTGCGCAGAATGCTCTCTTCGACCTCCAGGACCTTCCGCTGAAAGGCGCCCAGGTGGACAGAGTTAATGGCCGTCGAGACAGCGCGGCAGATGACGGACGGGTGAGAGGCGCTGATCTGCGCGGTGTAGCTTAGGAGCTTGCAGTGGAGATCGCTCAGGTGGCCCGCCGTGCTCAGGAGCTCCCGCTCCGGGGCGGACAGGATGGCGGCGGCGGCGGGATCGGAGTGGTCGTTCCTGAGGAGGGGTGACGGGTGTCCCGACAGGGAGAGCAGTATTTCATGGAGCATTGTGGAGCCGACGACCTGTGAGCATTGTGTCAGACCGTAGACGCAGATGCAGATGCAGATGGATATGTAGATGCCCGAGTCGAGTCCTGATGCTGCATGTGGTGAACAAAGGCGAGCTCGTACCCTTGTAAGACATGTGGAGGCTCCTTAGGCCGGATCTTATCGCCGATGTCCTGCAGCAGAAGAATGATGGAACCCAGGCATTCGAATCGACACATCGAATGGTCGAATGGGTGCTTCGCAAAGTCGATATCGCCTCACTAGCTACTCTTATTGATCTCCTTTGCAAGTTGATTTGACGCCACTCGAGAACGGACGAAGACAAAGTCACCTTCGTAATGGGTCGAGACTTGCTGGTGGTTGGTTACGGCTAGGTGAACAGATCCGGTTCAAGACGTTTACTTAAGGTTCGTACGAAGAGCCGTGAGGTGTAAATGTCGTCAATGTCCTGACCGGAAACAAGCACGACGTCGGGTCTCATCGTTGGCTCGCCTTTATGCAATTTCCAGGCGCGTTTGGGCCTGACCCTGGTATGTTGCTACGGTACTCCTTGGTTGCGCTTTCTTCTGCGCGTTATCAGGCAGGAGATCACGTGACTGGCATTGGTTCTGTGACCGTTGTTTCACGTTACCGGGAAACCCTGGAGGCGGTTGATTGCCGGGTTATCAGCCACGGATCACGTCCTGGAGATGCATTCATACACCTTGGTCAAGTAGGACGGGAGCAACGTGTACTTAAGGATTGATTCATGGCTAATCAGAGATCTACGTAGGTATCCTGCTTTAGGCGCAGCCGTTTCCACAGGATGACGAGGGATACCAGCCGGTGGGCTTGACTAACCCTAACCCTAACCCTCCCAGCCATTACAAGCTCCTTATATCCGTATATGGAGGGAGGCCCTATCGCTTCGCCGCCTTCTGGCTGGATGACCCGCTGACGTTCGCCGAGTCCTTCATCAGATTGCTCTGCGAGTCGTTGGGTCCTCCCTGTACGCCTATCGCACCCCCAGTATCGTCGCCAACCACCACGTTGACCGTTTGTCCGTCTGCCGCCTTGACCTGGCCGACAACCATACCTTTACCGACCGCTTTGATAACAGCTCTCCGAGAGACCCCAGTGACGTCGATGTAGACGAGACCGACGTTCTTGACACTTCCGCCGAGATGCTTCGACAGCTCCCCTGCTTCATCGCCCCATTTGTGTGTTACCATGTTCGTCGTTGACGTCGACGCCGATGTCAGGAGACTTCTACTCGCTTGGTCAATTCCATCGGCAATCGTCGAAAAGGCCATCATGCTCTTGTTCAACAATCCCGGCTTGTATCCTTCAAGTGGCTGGCCATCGGGTCCATAGCCCTTCTTACCAGCTTGTTTCTTCTGCCCTCGTCCAGCAATGGTAGCTCCGAGATTCTGGGCCACCTTGGTAACCTGCCCAACCGTCTTGGACGACAGGTCCGCTACGCCAGTCGATAATTTGCCAATGCGACGAACCCGATCATGCGTCGCAGGTGTGAATGTAACCGGCTTGCTCGCAGGCTTGGTCTTCTTAGCGAAGGTGTCCGTCCCAGTCTGCATGGCATTAGAGACAAAGTCGGACGTCGTAATGATCAGCCGCGATGCGTAAGCGGCCTTGGATACGATGAACGACTTCTGATAAGCAGGGTGTAGCACCATCTCCATGGTTTCCGCAGATGCGGGGACGACGGCCAGCTGGTTTGCGCCCCCTTCGGCAGGAAGAGTGATTTCAACAGGGTCTACCACCAGTTAGCCATGTGCTGTCGGGTTGGTGCCCGATCTACCTAATCGAAACATACCCTTAGAACCCGGTTTGACACCAGTCTCAACCACTTGGAATCCCTCCGACAGCTCTCCGATGACACTGCCATCTTCCTCGTCGACAAGCACGATCTGACCTCCCTGGACCGAGCTGTGGCTGCCTTTCGCATAGCCCTCGCCGGGCTTGTAGGAGGCCGGATTGTATGCGGGGAGCTGCTCTTCAGCTGCAAGCTTGGACTTGGACTTGGATGTGGTCGGCGACGATCGCGTGGCCGTTGGCGAAGATGACGATGACGACTTCTCCTTCTCCCTCCGCGCAGCCGTGGGCGGAGGAGCTCTCTCCAAAAAGGCGGTGCATTGTGCCAGGATGGTTTCGAAGGTATCCACATCTTCCTGCAGACCCTTACGACTACCGGGAGCTGGGAATTCGAGACGGGTGAAGGAGCCACTGTCGGGGCCGAGATCCCATCGCGGGATGAGGTAGCTCCGGGGAGGTTGGTGGTAGATCTGGGTGGTCGCGGGGAGAGGAATGTCCAACTCGGGTGGTAGGTGGAGGTGAAGATAGAAGTCCTCCTCGGGCGCACCGTCGCGTGCGTCGAAGGACGAGGGATCGGCGTAGGGTGATGATGTCGGCACCATCAAAAGCGACAGTGCCTGGGGTCCGGAAGCCGTGAGGCACTCCTCTTTGCCATAGGAGAGGTGGTAGGCCGAGACACCCTGGATGGCATAGAGCACTTTGGGATCCTGGTAGCAGAAGAGATCAGCGATTCAGTGCCTGTGGGGAGCGAGGAGCGCACCTGCGGACCGGCTTACATTGTGACCAGATGCCATGTTTGATTAGACTCGTAGCAATGGTAGTGGCAGTGGCAGTGACAGTGACAATATGCACCTGCGCGGGAAAGATGCCGGGGAGTGGGTTGCTTCTCGGGTGGTTATGTATGCCGTATGCCCCCAACTTGCCCGGGTCAACCAACAAGATGGTGTAGATGGCGCTTAAGGGAAGGTGATGAGCACAAAAGTGAGAGGATCAACTAACGCCAACAGGGTGAATATTGTTGTTTCTATTCGTGGTCGTCGGAATTCTGGATATGTTGGAGCGCTTAAAGCCAGGCGCTGTGTGGTTCCAATACAAGGCTGGAACAAGGTTGCCTTTGCCATGGAACAGGAAGAGGCCTCACCACAACGTCATTAATGTGTTGCACATGTGGTGAGGTGATCGCCACTAGACCCCGGTTACATCAGATCGATCCAGTCTATGTATCTCATCATACCTTTCGGAAATCACTTTCATCGAGCATTAGATCTATATTAAACGCGAGAATCATGTTTGAGCTGCGAAAACTTTCGGTACACTTCTTCAGAATCATCACCACTCCCTTGGTGAAGTACCTGTGAAGGGAGATGCAATAAGATACATGCGTCCCAGCCCGCGTTGACATTCAATGTTCACAGTCTCCACTTGCACCTGCAATGAGGGGCAAGCTTTGGGGGCTGTCAGATACCCTAAATGGAGGGGCATCGTAGTAAGGACAGGGGTAAATGCCCAGCTGCCAACAAATAAGGTACAAATTCCCGTCACGACGGGAATGCTGCACGTTCTGGAGTCTTTTCACCAACATTGAGCCGAGGTGACAGAGCGACGGGTTGCTTCAATATACCCTCAGCCCGAACTGATGTTGACAAGTCTCAAAGTTCCAGTCAAAAGATCAAACGCCCAGTCATGAAGCCGATTGTCATGCGCCTCGGTACCTAGCATCATACGACCACCGGCTCACCAAAGTCCTCCGTCGGAAAGGGGGAAGCCCGAATGCATCGGCTAAGCAGCCTTCCTACGGATGCGAATACTACCACCTGCAATTGAAGTCTCACTGCATAGTACCGCGCTGACCGCATGTCCATTGTTGTCCAACGAGCACGAGAATCATATGTCCGATGTCATTAGTTACACGGGTGACACCTTTTATTATTATTATTATTATTACTATTATTATTATAATTACAAGTCGCTATCTACAACCGTGCCCCCACCCCCCTATTCCCAAGAGGGCTGCCGCTGGCCGGTCAAGGCTCAAGTGCCTCCCTTCATCATGTTCCGTTTGTTTTTTCAATCCAAACCCTGTACGTGCTTGATTCTGGTCAATTCTGAGTTGCAGGGTGATGCAGAGTCTGCAGAGGAGCAGAGGCAGGGACAGAGACAGAGACAGAACACCAAGTCGAAGGGAGGTACCTATCCCAACTTGCCTCCCGTCTTACGGTGCTGTGTCACTCCAAGCTGTGCCTTCTTTCAGCAGCGGCTGTCGATCTATAACGATCTACAGCTATCTGGTTTTCGATCACATCCCACTGTGTACAGCATCTCCATCCCTACTCCCCAACCCACCCCTCTCAGGCCTGGTGAACCGTGAGCGTGATAACCAACAAGTTCAATAATAACTATTAACCGAGCCAACCAACCCAGCCAAAGCCGGGGCTCAATAGGAATCCTTCCCGCCTGCCGCTTCGGCTCGCACCTGGGGTCTGTCGGAGGCTGCGACCCGAGGCCCTGCGCGCTTGGGTGCTCACTGCTGATGAGATTGATGGTGGGATGGCAGATGGCAGACGGGGCGCTCCCGAAGATTGCCGGGCTGACTGACCGGTCGTTGATGATTGGACACCGATGAAGGGTCGATGCATCGTTTATGTATTCCAGTGGGTGGCAGTGGCGTTCATCACAGTCCATCTCAGTCCTGGGCTGCCTGGTAGCGAGCGCCGAGCGGCAGCCTCTGCAGCCGGAGTAGGAGAAGAAGTGCCTTTTCTGCCCCCTTTCTATCCGATCACCCGTCCTGCCCGTCCGCGTCTGGGGAACCGTGCTCTAGCTTCTACCTGTAGCCTCTAATCACAATCCTGGCACCCTGGTCCTCGCACCCTAGCCCCCTAGCGCGACCTGGGCAAAGACCTACCTGCCGTTCTCTAGTCCTTCTCCCACCGCTGCCCACTAATAGGAGCTCATCTCCATTTTTCTCTTGCCTTCCCCAAGCGCTACCACCTACCCGTGCCGACTTCGTACCTAGACTCCTACATAGATATTCACATCTGTTCAGCAGTGATAGGTATTGACAGACCAACAATACAACAATCGCAAGGCAAAGCGTACGTTGGAGAACCGTCGCCCATCCATCCGTATATCCATCGGCCTCCTCCTGGTAACTTACCAGCTTGACCACAGTCGACGTTCGCACCACAGTCGACGTTCGCACCACCGCCCTATGCTCCCGAGTCCCCGGCCGTCGCACAGGAGTCACCACCATCACCCTCCACCCTCCACCCTCGCACCATACTAGCCTTACCGCTACTTGTCGCAACGTTTCAGCTCCGCATCGGCCCATTCTGAGCAGCTTGGATCGCTGGAATGCAATCGTGACCCGCCAGCCGCCCCGAAGCTAGCGACTCTACAATTCACGGCTATCTGCAGCTCAATTCTATGCTGTGACACGTCGCCGGGAAGCGCCCTCCGCCAGTCAAGCAGTCAAGACGGCAGAAGCCTATTGTATCAGCCATCCGGGCCATCTCGTTCGGGCGGAACGTTACTCAAATACCAGCTTCTTTGGTGTACACGAACCCAGTACCTACTCGATCGGCCTCTCCTGACCCTCGTACCAACAAGTCCGACCGACCACGCAGCATTGTTCGCTCTGCCGACTCGTATACGAGCCTCCTGGGCTGCAACATCACCCTCGAGCGCCCTGGGTCTATCCCAGGCCCAACCGCCACAATTTCCACCCCAATTCGAATACATTCCATCCTCTCCCCTCCAGACCCTATAGACCCCGATGAACATTCGAACATCCCATCCTACCAGGCCACGCCAAAGAGGAAATACGAAGCCACTTTCTCCCCACCCGATGCCACCCTAAGGCCCTTGTCTCCTGCGCCTCCACCGCCAGACGGACCGCACACAAACACGGAGCCTGGACGGCCAGCGGGGTGGGGAGGCATCGGGCCTCGGATATATGGGGATGACGGAACCGTAAAGTCCATGTTGCCCAGTGGTATGGAGGGCAAGAAGCCCGCCAAGATGCGCCCCCCAATGCGTTCGAGTATCGCCTGCACCAGATGCAGAAAGTCCAAGATAAAATGTGAGAACGATGGTGGAAAGCACGCCTGCGACAGCTGCATCAAGACGGGCAAGGAGTGTTTCTACAAGATACCAGATCCGGTGCCTCCAAAGAGGTCGGAACCACCTGCCGCGGTCAAGCAAGAACGGGACGGCGGGTCAGACAGGAAGAAACTCAAGAAGATCGACGACATATCCAAGGTCGACAACCAGAGAGCAACGGCCTACGCCGAAGAAGTCCTTGCTGCTCCATTCTTGACCGAGGATATGTGGGAGCAGGTCTTCGATCTGTACAAACTGCATTTTGGTCCCGAGCTTTCCTTCTTGCATCTACCGACCATGAAGGAGAAGCTAGGTCGGAAGTTCCGCACCTCTGAATCAGAGAATGGTACCGAGAGCAACCTGGTGCTATTAGGTGTTCTGACCCTCACTGCACGCTTTCATCCCGAGTTGGTCAAATACCTCGCTCACATCTGCAACAACCAGCCGGGAAACGCCAGGACTCGGCCCATTCAAACGCAACTCGATCCTGCCGCGGCGTCGGAATACTACGCTGACATCCTGGCCATGGCCCTCGGTCCAGTCCGGACGGCCATGGGAATCGCTTCTGTGGAGAGAGTGGCAGCGTTGTTGATGCTAGGGCTCTACGAGTGGAGCCAGACCCGTCCCAAGACTGGAGGCTTGACAGCTTGGATGTACATTGGTGCTGCTATTCGAATGGCTCAGTTCTTAGGCCTTGGGTTTGGGGATGCGCCCGGAGTAGACGAGTCGAGATATCAGATTGCCAACCAACATCAGCGAAGCTCTGGGCACCAGTCACAGATGGCGCTGCAGAAGGAAATCAAGAGGAGAATAATGTTCAGCTGCTTCATCCTCGATCGGATGCTTGCTTGTGGCAGACACCGTGTGACGATCATCCATGCCGATGATCTCCAGATCCAGCTGCCTTGCTCGGAAGACAAATTTGACCTGGCCATGGAGGTGCAAACTGGCTTCCTAACAAAACCAGGACGATTTGGGACTGACGACAGCGTACTTGGCCGGTTTATCCGGCTGGTGGACATTTGGGGCGATATTTCCAAGTTTAGTTCAAGGGGCGGTCGCCTGACCGAGGACACCGACAATGAGTACCGGATACCCCCTTGGGACCAAGGCTCAAGGTTCTACCAGCTAGACAAGCGGCTGCAAGCTTTTGACTCGGACCTACCAGGAACGTTCACCTTCTCGAGGTCCAACTACTTCAAGCATGAAAATCACCAGGCGTCGAGTGCGTACGTTTTGCTACACATGCTCAGATGCGTATGCTTGATAATGTTGCATCGGGAATACGTACCCTTCATACCGATCCGCTGCAAAGGTCCCGAAGGACCGCTGGACGAACCTACTTTTGAGAGGGACGAGTTTTCTAACAGTTTCTGGAGAGCCAGCGCGGAACAACTCTTCAAAGCAGCGAGAGGAATCGTGGACTTGATTAAGATCTGTCAGCGGAAGGACAAACTACCGCAGTCCACCATCGTCCTCTTTGCTATATGGAACGCAGCATTTGTAGGACTGTACGGCTTCCACTTTCCTCAGATGGATACCGAGCGGCACATGTTGAGTTTTGACGACGAGACACATCCTGATGGACACACAGGCGTCTTTGAACATGGACCAACCGGTTTGACCTTCGAAACTCTGCAGAAAATGTCGAACTGGCTGAAAATGGCATCCGCCTACGTCGACCTGCTCGAACACATGGACAAGTACTTCGTGGGCATCAAACAGGACTACTACAAATACAAGGAACTGAACATGCTGAGCGAGAAGAGAAGTTTACGGGTGCGGGAGGGTGGCACGGGCGGTGGGCTTGAAGAGTACCATCGCTTTGCGCCAGCTCTCAAAGGCTTTGGGCCGCCGATCGGGCATTCTCAACCGGACGAAACAGACCACGCCGACAGCTCGGAGCGGTCGCGGACAGGCGAGGTGGAGCGCCCGTCGTCGCGCGACGCGGAGACGATGAACGCGGCGGCATTGAGCTCGGCGTCTAGGTCTGCACCGCCAGGATCATTCACAGCCATCAACCATTCCCAAGGTATGCCGACGGCGGATTCGCCTCGTCCCTTTAGTCGGGCTGCGTCCATAGCGGGACCGCCTGCTGAAACATATGCAGACTCCTGGCGATATCACAGTAGCACGCCACAGCAACAACAGCAGCAACAGCAGCACTCTCCTTCCCAGGCTTACCCGACGCCGAGCTCCATGCTCGACCCGGCTACGATAGCAGCTCAAGCTCATGATCGGACCACGATGCAAGACGAGAGCGACAAGTTTTATTTAGACCTCAAGAAGGCCGAGCCGTCACGTTTTGGGATCATGACAGGGGACCTTGGCCTCTTTTCAACTGGCGAGTCTCAGCTTTCGGTGTCTGAGATGCCGTTCGGAGACGCGGCTTACATGCCGGCTATGGGCGACTCTGCATACCAGTATCTGCAGCAGGCCAGCGAGTACTGAAATCGATGTCGGGGTGGAGGGAGGAATTGGAAACATAAAATAAGGGTTTGTCATGTGATCTAGCGATTTGGCATCCGCTCGGGCGTCCTGGGAGGTTAGCGAGGGAAGATTATGGGTTTCACAGCTAGGCAGGAGAGGTCCAAAATGTTGTCGGCGTAATCTCGATATGGGTTCATAGTTGACTGGGATGGGATGCTTCACTTAATGGGTAGCTAGTAGTCTTCTTTTCGATATCCAACGCAGTCTTACATTCTGGTACTGGTCTCTAGGAATCAGCATTTTCCATGTTTGTTTCCATGTTTGTTTCCATGTTTGTTTCCATGTTTGTTTCCATGTATGTTCCCCTCCCATCATGCCAATTGGGAAGAAGCTAGATCCGTCTTCAGCTTGGTGGCTAGGTCGGATGATTCAAATGGGTGAGGTTCGCAACCGAGTGTACCAGGTCCTACCTGATGAACAAAAGAGCCTTCTTGGTGAATAAGCTGATCTAACACCACCTCATCTTTCTTTAATGATGAGACGTTGCCTGGAGTTTGCAGCACTGTATTAGGTATCGGCGGGATAAAAGTTGATACAGCATGAAACTATCTTGGATGAAGTCATGTCATTTTTCCGCGTCTGCAATGCTGTGAATACCTAGCGGGTTGCATCAACAAGGCAAAAAAGCCGACCGCGGTTCTCCGACGTTATGTGGCCCCTGACCGTTTCACATCTCCATGGAATCAGCACAAGCGGACGCCCACCGCCTCAGCCACAGCAACGCATTGCCAGTCGGCCGGTGTAAGTTGAGAGAGGTATTCAATGCCGACGATGCCAAGTCGTAATACATGTGCCATGTAATGCAGAGTGAGTTTGCCACGCGAATCTTCCCAGAATAGAACTGCCGTCCGAAGCAATAACTTATTTGTTTGCAGGAGGTTTCCGAAAAGCATTCCCCCCGTCTTTGCGGCAGTTCACCTGCAGCGACAACGCTTTCTGATTGGCTCCCGCCAACGATTTGTGGGGCTACAGTGGACACAAGGGGAATCTCCTGGGCAGTCACAGGGCTAGCTCTCCATCATTCTTACACCCTACCACAATGCCATTCGTTTAACTTCCGAGTCTTCCACGGTTCTTTCTCTCCATCCCCGAGTGTATTCCCCTGTTCCACCACATGTTTGCTTTCCCGGATGCCTGGGCTGAGCCGCCTGGCCGCTTAACGTGTGGGCCGTCGCAGAAGTTGTGAAGGCTTCGAAACGGGGGCTTTACCTAGCAAACAAGTTCAATGGCCAGGAAACGGTTTCGGACGGCCGTTCTTGATCACTACTACCTTTTTGACCAGTCGATAACCTCATACAGACCGACAGTCAATAATGGCAGAGCCGATATCAAGTCACGAGGATGAAGGGGGCGGCGTCAGATCTGCAGGCAGGGTCGTCCCCCGGTATTTGTCAGATGCCAATCTCTAGCCCTACCCTGACTGAACCCAACAAGCGAGTTCCGACTGGTCAAGCTTGGCAATGCCGAGCTGATGAGGCTGAGAGTCCTAGACGGTAGACGGAACCAGCATCGGGTCTGGCTGTGTATCGTCGAACCAGGTATCATGCCGGGGCTCGCGCAGGCAAACGGCAAACGCAGTCAGTTCTGGGCAGTGGGCAGCCGTTCGTCTCATCACGTCTTCCCGCATATATGAGGCGGTGAATCACGCTGGCATAACTGTAGGGCCGCGTTCCTGTGCTTTCCTGGTCCTTTCCCCCTCTCTGATCTCATACATCAACATCCATATTCCATAAGGCCCGGCCTTGTTTATTACCAGCGTAATATCAGCGGCACTTCTTCTGAATTTCTCGTTTTCGCCCAGGATCATCAGACAATCAAACCCAATACTCAACATGAAAGCCGCTGTGGCAGCTATTCTGCTGCCGTTCCTGGCGCAACTCACACATGGAGCAGCTCCGTTACAGGCGAGAGATTTCCATCAGAGGTTGGGGAAGCGCTTCGGAATGAAGCACATGGCCCTGGACGACGAGCATCTTGACATTGTGGGAAACAAGACCTTTGAACAGATCCTCGACCACAGCGACCCCAGCAAGGGGACGTTCAGTCAGCGATTCTGGTGGAATGCCGAGTTTTACGAGGAAGAGTGAGTCAAACCTAACGATAAACCCTAAGCCTCCGGGCCCTATTCTATATAGCAAGCAGTCTCGCTGACGCTAAAGCTCGAAAAAGTGGCCCAATTTTCCTCATCAACGGGGGCGAAATCGCGGCCGATTACGTGATGGGATACTTACAGAACACTACCTTGACAGGCCACTATGCCTATCGGCTTAAGGGGGCCGTCATCTTACTCGAGCACAGGTATTGGGGCGAGTCTGTGCCCTTCGACACCTTAACGGCGGAAACACTGCAGTATCATACCCTGCCGAACGCCGTTGCGGATATGATAAACTTCGCGCAGAATGTGGACTGTGAGTTCTGCGAGGGCGGTACGTGCAATAGTGAGGAAAACCCTTGGGTTCTGGTTGGAGGCTCATATAGTGGTGCACTCGCTGCTTGGACTAGTCAGTTGTCTCCTGGTGAGTTGACCACCCCGTCTTCGAAAAGCTTGTCTGTGACTTCATCGTATAAAGTCACATCTCTGCGGTTTCTCAGAAAGCTTGCTTGTAACTTCCGGACTAACACTATTCAAGGCAATTTCGCCGCCTACCACGCCTCGTCCGCCGTCGTCGAAGCAATCGAAGACTTCTGGGAGTACTTCACGCCCATCGAAGCCGGCCTGCCGCGGAACTGCAGCGCGGACGTGAAACGCGTGATCCGGCACATCGACACGGTCCTAGCCTCAAATGACACGGACGACATCACAACGCTCAAGACCCGCTTCGGGCTGGCAGCCCTGGAGCACGACGACTTCGCCCATCAGCTGACATATCCGCTCTTGGAGTGGCAGGAGGACCAGCAGCCGACGCTCGACTTCTGCAACGCGATCGAGTCCGCCGGTGCCAACTATACCAAGCATACGGCCAACTCAGGCTACGGAGTCAGCTTGGTGGCCGCGCTCGACGCCTATGCTGCCTATGTCAAGAAGACTTCAAAATGTGGTGAGGACAGCGCTCGCTGCAACACGCACAACCCCGCGCTGGTGTGGAATACGCCCGATGAGAAGGTGAATAGGCCGTGGGAATGGATGATCTGCAATGAATCCTTTGGTTAGTCTCGCCCCTTTCCGCCACCAATATGTTTCCCCATGAGACAATAAACAAGCTATTGGAAAAACAAACAAACAAACCAGCGAAACAATCATACTGACCACAACTCCCCGCAGGCTGGAACCAAGTCGGCCCGCCCGAATCCGACGGCACCAACATCGTCAGCTCCTTCCTGCGCCCAGATTATTTCGAGCGCCGCTGCCCGCTCGAGTTCCCGGAGACGGCGGGCGTCAAGACGGGCGAGGCCCTGGGCTTCACACCGGAGCACCTCAACCTGTTCACAGGGGGTTGGGACGCGCCCTACGAGAAGGTCATATTCGTCAACGGCCGCGTCGACCCCTGGCGCAGCGCCACCGTGGCCAGCGACACGCGGCCTGGCGGCCCCATCATTGCCGGGACCGGTGCTGCGGCGCCGACTTTCGTGGTGGAGGACGGCGATCACTGCCCGGAGCTGGAGATCGACGAGGGCGATCCGTCTACTTGGCCCATTGTCCAGGAGAGTGTCAAGATTATGGGTGGGTGGTTGGCGGAGTGGACGCCGGCTGGGAAGGCGGGGAGGAGGCGACGGGGGTAGGACGGGAAAAGGGTGTATGGGGGATGTAATAGACTGGATATGGGGGCGTCTTTGCATCCCTGTCTTGGCGTCTTCTTTTGCGTATATGGCGTTGAACGTGTCTCGTTTCTGTAGATACCTTTAGATTTTAGCGACCTGGTTAATGACAATTAATGAATATGTCAATTCGAGTGCTCGGATATTGCTCTGGGCATGTTGCGGTTCCGGTACCGGCTGATTTGGTGATACAGTATGATTGATAAAGTAGATTATTTAAGGGCCTTGGTAGTGAGACTCGATTTCATTCCGACATCTTGGACACGCGAAGTCATCCTCGTAACATGTTGTCCTCCTCCCATTGCAATTTGTTGGTTAGCAGGCACATTAGACGTGTCCCCATTGCACGGCCGTGTCCTCTGCAGCAATGGATGCTCCCAGGCCATCACAGTCCCAGAGAAAATATATGAAGTTGAAACGATCTCAAGTGATATCGCATGAAGCGAGCGCCGCCACCCACCTTGTGCCACCATCTCCGGCGATTGAGAGAAGCGGACGATAGTCTCAATCCCCAGAAGCCCAGGATATTAATTGCGATCACTGCAATGAAGAAGTATATCGTGGCTAGGCCGACAAAATGGCCGGCGCGGTACTGTACCTATCGAGGGATTTTAGTCGTGGCAATTCGTGGAACGGAGGTGGTGCCTGGACGAACGAATCAATATCTCCCGTGGCCACTACGATAGACACATTGCTCAGAACAGCTGTGTTCGCAGGATCAGTGGAGCATCCATCACCCGGGCATCCAGCCAAGACGTGCTCGACATTTCCTTGTCCATCTGCATCATCGTATGCTGTGGTGATAAACTCTCTGAGCGTGGGCAGAGGCGGATATCTACGATATGATCATGTGCATTAGCACAGGATAAGAACAGGTCGAGCGTCATAGTATGCTCTTCGCGCGCAAGTAGTTCGTGGGAAGAGACAGATCCCTCAATCGTCCAGCAGCTTCCCCGAGACACGACAGAAGGGAGTTCCCAACGAGTCCAGATACTGACGACATCCTAAGTACTATCAGTCACCTGAACAACAAGTACCTTGAGGAGCACCCAACCCTACCGCTCCTCCTGGTTTGCTCACCACCCGCCCGCGACCTAAAATAGGGGCTCGCTCCCCAATCATCGGCAGGCGAGCCTTCGCCCGTGAATTCGCAGCCGTGGCATTTCGGATCTCAATCATATCTACCAGCCAGGACTATCAGCCAGTGATAGCCAACCCCAAGCCGTTCGTTGGAAGCAGCAACCCCTTATCAAACCTGGGTTCAGGCGACACTCTCACCATGGCCCTGCAGAACTGCTTCCTGCTCAGGCGAGGCGAGTCAAGCTTGTGAAGTCTCGAGAGCATAGACAGTACAGTACAACCACATGGGCATGAAATCCAACCGGAAACGAGATCAAAGGATCTAGTGTGCTTCAAGTAAGCTATTGACATGATACCTCGTATTATGATCATCTGAGCTATTACATGAGCTCCAAGTCATAAAGGCCAGACCTCGATATCGAACAAGCTGATGCCTCGGCGTCCCCCCAAACATAAAGTATTGACCCTCGAGTGAGGCGTGCAAGCTGACAGGCAGCAGGAACCTGATCCATCCAATTCACTACCCTATCGCGAAGCGCGCCCCAAGACGGAGCCTAGCAAGTCATTTCCAACTACCTACATACACCCGACCTCACTTTGATCACCTTTGGCGCGCTCTACATGACCTCAGCGCTGCCCTTCGTCGGTATCCCCTTGCCGACGCGATCTCTTGCCAGGATGGTCATCCATGGTGGTCCAATCTACCTCGAGAATCCCTTCATTGTTAAGGCCTTTGGTGCGGTTGGGAAATCGCGCGCTTCTGGAACGGCATGGACACACCACACGTGGTCACCAACTCTCCGTAGAGAAAGCTTAACGCGAGGAAGAGGCCGTAGACGGCCCCATACTCTTTCCAGTCAGTTGACATCATTATTGTCGCTTCTGGTCCACGATGAAGCAGAGCTGGAGACAAGCGGCAAGAACCGACTGAGAAGATGACGAGCCACAATGAAGTAGTGACCACGGCGCGCAATGGGCCGAGATAGCGACAGCGCGAAGAGCGAAGTAGCCTCGCAATCAGTTATCTGTCGGCTGTTTGCCGACAGAAGCTCGGCAATCCGACCGAAAACCCCCGGTTCCCAGCCACGTGCCTCCCAAGACCCTCCACAACCCTCCACAGGTCCCCCACAAACCCTCCACAAACCCTCCACTTCGATGGTCTCCACGCAGACCAGGACATCGGTGCGATCGTGTCTTTGTGAGAAGTCTTCGTGTCACGCGATGGAGAGAATAAACCGACCACTGCACTCCGCTTATCGCGGCCAAGGTGCACTTGGCAGAGACGATGTCGTTGCCGAACGGCGTGCATAAAAGGATGAGCAGCTCCGGCATGTAGATGTCCAGGTGCGAGTGTACTGCCCACCTGCCCTTGACAAGATGCTGTCCTCCCTGATCTACACCCTGGCATTGGCCCGGCTCTCACTCGGAGCTGCCGCCAATGCGTCCTTCACGCCTGACGCCAGTCGCTGGCCCGGCGGCATGCACCTGGGGACCGACTACTACCCCTCGCAATGGCCCGAGTCGCTTTGGGAGAGCGACTTTGCCGCCATGCAAGCCGCCAATATCTCGTACGTCCGGGTCAGCGAATTCGACTGGTCTGTCCTGGAACCGGCCGAGGGCGAGTACAACTTTACCCTGCTGGACACGACGCTGGAGCTGATGGGCAAGTACGGCTTGAAGGCCATCGTCGGCACGCCGACTGCCTCGCCACCGAATTGGGTCAGCGAGAAGTACGACATCAACTTTGTGGATCGTACCAACCGGACGCTGCTGTTCGGATCACGTCGAGGCTATAGTTTCTCGTCTTTCGACTACCGCGACTTGTCTCAGAAGATCACGACGGAGCTGGCAAAGCGATATGGCAACAACTCCAACGTGGTGGCGTGGCAGCTGGACAACGAGTTCGGATGTCACGACACGGTGCGCACGTATGACCACAACGCGATGGTTCGGTTCCGGACCTGGCTGCGGCAGAAGTACGGGACCATTGAGGCGATGAACGATGCCCAGGGCCGTGTTTTCTGGTCAACCCAGTACAAGAGCTTCGATGCTGTCCAGCCGCCGTTCCTTGAAATCTACACGCTGAACGAGGCACACACGCTAGATTGGTACAAATTCAGCTCCGATATGGTGATTGACTTCGCCAAGGAGCAGACCGCTATTCTGAGGCAGTATGCACCAAGGCATGCTATCACGACGAACTTCCAGATGATGTTCACTGATTTCGACCACTACAAGTTCAACCGCGAGGTGGGACTCGACCTGGCCACCTACGACCAATATGCTCTGGCCGGACTCACCGCCGTTGCTGGTGTTACGGACCAACAGATGCAGGAGTACCTTCGCACTGGCCTGCCGGACCTGCAGATGCTTCATCAAGACTTGTACCGCGGCATCTCTGGCGCTGCCTATGGCAAGAACAGTGGTCCATATGGCATTATGGAGATGGAACCCGGCGTTCTGAACTGGGGCCAGTACCGCGTCTCGCCCGCAGTGGGCATGGTGCGACTGTGGAGTCTCGAGACGTTCGCTGCCGAGGGGAGCATGGTCAATTACTTCCGATGGCGTCAAGTTCCATACGCACAAGAGCAAACGTTGTCCGGCCTCCACGTCTCCGACGGAACGCCAGACGAAGGCTTTGAGGAGACTCAGATTGTTGCTCAGGAAGACTTGCCCAAGGTGCGGAGTGCCATGAGCATGAGCACCCAGAAAGCCCAAGCCGACGTCGCCCTCGTCTTCGACTACATCTCTCACTGGGTGTTCGCCATCGAGCCGTATAGCGGTTCGTGGTCGGTCGACGATGCGGGCTACACCGACACCACCGTCGCCTATACCGACCTCGTCTACAATTTCTACTCAGCACTCCGCCGCCTCGGTCTCAGTATCGACGTGGTCTCGCCCGAGCAAGCGCTGGACGGCTACAAGATGGTTGTGGTGCCCAGCTTGCCGATCATTCCCGACGCCTTCAACGCCGCGCTGGCCAACTTGGACGTTCCCGTCGTCTTTGGCCCGCATACCGGCTCCAAGACGGAGAACTACGCTTACCCTGCGGGGCTCACGCCTTCGGCGGGCGCTCTGAGAGACCGCCTCCCCATGCGCGTCACGCGCGTGGAAACGCCCCCGGACTACGCAGGCAGCGGTGTCGCGTATGCAGGTGCGAACTACTCCATCTCGGCCTGGGAAGAGACCGTCGTCTGCTCCCGCCAGAACTCGACGAGCAAGGCCACGGTCACGTCGACTTCCAGACACCGCCTGGGCAAGCCCGCAGCCTGCGCGAGCGACGATGGGGTGCACTACCTAGCCTTCAAGCCGCCGGTCGAGTTCCTGGTCTCCTATCTCGGCGATGTCGCGAGTAGCGCAGGTGTACGGGACGGGATGGGGAGGGTAGCCAGTCAGGTGCACGATTTGGGAGAAGCGCTTCGTCTGACGAGGCGCGGGGATTTGCTCTGGGCGTTCAATTACGGCATGGACGCGCAGTCGTTACCACCGATGACGAATGGCACGCTGGTCGTTGGCGCGAGTGGTAACTCGAATGAGATGCCGGCTTATGGGGTCAAGGTGTGGAACATGGCTCGTTGAGATGGGTTTTGTTTGCCATGGGAGGAATTTAGCAGCTGTAATGAATGCTTGCACAATCAATGTCCCGCGCCGAGCTTTGATTATTGACGTTTTTATGAACATGCAAGTGTATCAATGCTACCTACCTTTTCGTCAAGCCGGCCCTTACACACACTCTGCGGCGGATCATACGAGATGTATTATGATCCGGAAGGTGGAAGTGCCAACAGACAAACATATGCTGTGACGACTAGTCACCCCAGGCCACCTGTGAATGTTGTCCAGAACGGATCGCCACTGCTTACCGTTGTCAACCGGTTTCATATTCTTTCTTGCTATATTAGCGACAGACTGTGCTGATGTGGCATCACTGATGATTCTGACGCAGCGATGTATCTCGGCCCGCAACTCTACTACTGGCCCAACATTCGTTCATTGAGACTTTGGCAACTCGCCGGTTGGATATCTCTGTTTACCCAGTCTCCGATATCATCCATCGCCCGTAACAAACATGATCAGTATGCCGCCAACACCACGCGCGTAAACTCCAGACTCCATTGCACCCCCACCAGTAACCGTGTCAAGAGTCGTAAACCAAGTCCAACGCCTTCTGGTGCCCATCACCTATTCCCAGTCGTGCCATTGTCGCGCGAAGCCTCCCAGGCTTCTAGAACTAATGGTGATTGGCGTCGACGCCACCGAACCGGCCAGCGACCAACGCCCCGAGAAATATGCCACCAAGGACGGACAAGAAATAGCCCACGTTCATCGTCATGACCGCCAACATTCTGCCCGAGGTATTAGACACAGTAAGAGAAGAAAGCCGGGAAAGGGAGGATAAGGTCAACTCACAGTAAATACCCAATACCCCCAATCACGACCTCGAACACGGCCCGCGTAGCCTCGGTCGCAACGCGAAACGGATGGCTGTTCCATTCCGATCTGAGCTGCCGGCCCACCGCCTCGGGCGCCGCTTCCATGGGATACCCATCCATGTCCGACGACGACTCAATTTTAGTGGGATTTTGGTGATGGTGCTGTGTCCGCGCGTTAAAAAACATGTTGCGCAGGGCGATGAGGACCCGGTGTGTCAGCGCCAGCGCGATCAGGAATATGCATGTGCCGGCATAGGAACCTGTTCCGCCTGGCGTCCAGGCCATCGAGTAGAGTGGTGTGAGGGTCGATTGGAAGAACACCATTGCCATGTCTGATGAGCTCATCGTCGTCATCGTGGAAGACGACATGTCCATTCCACCCATGTCGCCTGTGGAGGATGACATGGCGCTCGAGGTCGTCATTGTCATGCCTGACATGTCCGTCATGGCGGTTGTCGTTGCCATTGACATGGTGTCCATTTTGAAAGAAACGATGTCCGCTGACTCGGTGTTGATGTCGGTGTCGATGTCGGTGTCGATGTCGTATCTTGATTCGAATATGCTGCCGTACGTGTATGAATCGCAATTGAGTGGTATGTTGAACAGAGGACAGTGAGGCTAGATAGAGATCACCAGCCAGGTAAATGTAACTATCGTTGCTGACCAACAGCTCGGCCCACCCTGTCCCTTATCCACCGGTGAGTGGTGCATCGTGTGCGTCAACAACCAATCCGCGGCCTCGTCACATCTGCAATGAGCACGTTTAGAAGCTTTCGCACGATCCCAACTCGGCCCATCCTCATGCTGTGAAACGGGCAATATTGGAGCGCAGGCCCGCGAACGAGAGGTGCGGGAGGTCGGGTTATGGAGATAGTGTTCACTGGTACGACCCTTCGGACCCGCCGTCCAGGATGCGCAACCTTGGAACTTGCTCAAACTGCCTCACGCCGTTTACGCAACGGTTTGACCAGCTTGCTGGAACGCGGCATGAGGCTTATAAACGGTGCCGCTGCGCCTTAGTGGATCCGTGTCTGTTCCTGCCGATGCAGTTAAACGGGCTCTTAAAACGGGCTGCACGGGGCCGACCGTCACGTATAACTGTGGATCCAGTGCATGGACCCATATGGAGTATTCTGGTAACCCCACCAGATATGTTGGAGGTTACCTGATGAAGGCTGCCTGGCAACCCTTTGGTGCCCCAGGTACCTCACCACTGCAATTTAGGTATTTAGATACATCTCGGATGGAATCCTTTCCATCCGACCTTTTAATCAAGCACCACCCAGACCACTGATAGATTACAACAAGACTTGTGATTTGTCAGCATCTGGGAAAGCTACCAAAAGGCACATAACTAATGGTGAAGCATCTACACCTTGCCTAGAACATCGAAATCCGACGGGAAGTCAGACTGAATCCACATACCGGTAAATGAAAGCTGATCTATCAGTTACCCTACGATCATCCAGTAGTACCTCGCCATAATCGCCCCAGACTGAATTTACCAAGTTGCATCATATAGCATACGTTCATGGTTGGGGGATGAGGAGCGGCTATCTCACGGAGCGAAATTTGACTTGCTTCGGGCATGGTGGTCATATATGACCTGGCCACTTACACAATCAAGGTTTAGACAAAAAATTGTTATAGTCCGCTGCTGTCTACCTATGGTAGGGGCAAACTTGTCCTGATAATACCCAAATGACTGCTTCCTCCCGCTGCAACCCATGTTCTTCAGCGAGTGGTTCCTGTAGAATTCTCTTTATCGCTACATCGTCGTCTGGCGATATCAAAGTTGAAGTTCCTCCTCCTGGTCGAATAGGTTCATCTCGCGGAACTTGCGTGAAGCTTCCTTGACCTCGGCAAATCCCTCTCCTTCAATGATCGGTCTCAGGTATTCCGCGGCGGTCGGTAAAGAGAACCCAATTTCATTGGCTAGCCACAACCACGTAGAACGCGTATCAGCGTCGAAGTCGTCGTAGACAGTCCGACCAAGGAGGTTATACGCGAGACGGTTCCCCTTCTCCGAACTCAGCGGGCACGCATTTGCGTGTACCAGTGTGAGCAGTTGTCTGGTGACGCCTGGTGGCCGAATGCTGGCCTTGTATTGGTCTGTTGAACCAAGGATTGTCAGCCGCCAATGAACAGAAAGGCAGAGAAGAGAGATCCAGATGGAAAGGGTTGACAGAGGTCATGATGGCCTACCAGTCTTGTTAAGCAGCATGTGAAACTGCTGGTCGTAAAAGGTATGGAGGGGTTCTAGCCACTTCTGGCATCGTGCCTGGAGTCTGTTCCAGTCGATGTGTGCTGCTATCTCTTCTTGTTCAAGGGCATCCCCAACGAGAAGCAACACCTCTCTTGGGTTGAGACCCTTTTGAAGTAGCTTTTCATGGTAGTGATCGGACTTCAGTCCAGCACTAGCCGCCGTCCTGATCAGAGCGAGAGTAGACAGGGCGTATGGCCATCCCGATTTCAACTCGCAGTTGCCATCCTCGAACATTAAATAGATGCCTTGGATAGATGATGGTCCCATAACGCGCACCATGTTCGCTGTGGTGAAATGAGTCAGTTACGTCTCGATATATCTACTTGCTTGGGGGTAAAGAAGCGTGCTGGACCAAGCACCGGATTATAGCGGAGGCTACCAAATGCTTATTGCGTCTGTGCTTGTGTACCACTTACACGAAAGAGCATCGCAAACCTGGTCAAGTGTTGTCAGTCTCAAGCCGGCATCAGGTGTTGCGGCGCTCAAGTTGCGGATGAACATCGCACCCTGTACATTAACTGCATCGCCGTCCAGTATCAGTAGTCGACCTATGAACCTGGTGGTAGATGCACTCACTGACGTGTTCCATGTCGTCCCATACATCGACGAGTCCCTCAAGTCGGAGTCCCATGTACAAGTACATTGCCGGAATCAGCCAGCTCCGATCGATGATCTGGGCCACAGCAGACCGCCACTTTTGCTGCATCCAAAACGCCTGCATGCCACAGAGCAACGGATGGTTCTTCAGCAAATAGTGTTCGGGCTCCCGGTTTCCGCCGGCCACGCCTTGATTCGAGGTCTCGCGAAGCAGTTTTGAAAAGGCATCCTTGTCGACACATTTCCCGACAAAACGGATAATGTCGAAGGAATCATCATTTAGTGGACGTTTCCGGATGTCACGAATCATTATCTTGCTGAACTCTTTGAGCTGATTGAACCCCTTTTGGAGGTCTTCCTGGAGCTCATGCCGGATGTCAAGCAGTATTTGGAAGGATATTATGAGCCACAAGGGAATGTTGGGAATGTCGTCTTCCAACTCAGGAAATGTCTCGTCGGCTGTTCGCTTCTGCCGCTTTCGACTTTTGGACTTTTTGGAATCCACAAGCACCCAATCTCTCCAGCCGAATGTGATGTCGTCGAGATACGGACCAAGTATATCCTCTGAGCCCCGACTGCTGACGGACGTGAAATTGTGGAGATGGCCTAACATGCAGGCAGCCCAAACGCCGTCATTCTTGAGCCTTTCGGGTCCGGGTTTCTTCAGATCTGTTTTCACCGAAGTGGAGCTGGTTTTGGGTAGGCTATGACTCGCATGCCAGAGATCGTTCGAGGCATACCCTTCGGAGGCCCCTCTCAGATGGAAATACGCTTCATGGCAACACCATTCTGCAGTTGTGCACTCCTCTTCCGACACTATGAGAGGGAGTTTTCCGGAACGGATGTTGACAATGTCAAAAACCCAAGTGCCGTGATATTTTGTATCTGGCGCACCCGGGAGATCTTTGGTGTCCTCGAGATGGACTTGACACATTCCTTTGACGATCTGGATTGCCGTGTTTGTGACGAGGGATGCGTTGATCAAGCTCGTTTTCTGGTTCTTGTACTGGGACCAGATACAGCTAATGCTATGGCGCACCGAGTAGATGTCGATAAAGAAGCAGAGCCAGGAGAATAATGCTTCATCCGAAGCCTCGGGTTCAGAAGCCTCGGGCTCAGAAGCCTCGGGTTCAGAAGCCTCGGGTTCGTCCATCAGGATGGATCGAACACTTCGCAGTGTCAGTAATGCCGTACGAGACAGAAATGGGAAATTGTCCAAGACGATTCGCTCTCGGTATTCGATGAGTGAGTTCAGGTTATGTATTGCTTCGCTGGGTATGTTATCCTTGTTTTGAACGATGGACCTCGCAAGTCTGGGCCAGTGGTCGAGGGGAATGGGTTCACTTCCGTCGGGCGACGGGGTTCCTTGTCCATGCTTTGCTGTTGTTCTGGCGAGCCATGAGGCGAACTCTCTTTCGCACAGCTTATACACCTGGTAGAGGCAATGATTGGTATAGGTAGCCATGTTGACTGTGTGGTGATGTTGTGGTGATGTCTTGGTAGGGAAGAACCGACGTCGAAAGGTCATCAGAGGTATGGGATTCCCCCACAGGAATGAGCAGCATGGTGCCTGCCCAGTAAATTCTTGAGAAGGGCACTGACGACCTACATGCAGGTAGGTACACTGAGCCCTCATAAGCCTCCGTACGCCACCCGTCTAGCAAATAACGGGAAATTTGTAAAATCAAAATAAGCACCATGGAATAAGCATTAAGAGTGACGTATCAAACCAGAGCTGCTTATTCCTGTATAATTATTTTAGTATTTCTAACTATCCCACTGGTAATCTGGAGTCTTGCTAACATGCGCGTACGGAGACTTATGAGGGCTGAGTCTAGCAGCGATGTCATACTCGGGATTGGAGGCATTGAAATGCGTGGCGATCTTGTAGAAGACTTTGCAACTGTCTGTTGAGACGAGTCTTGGAGATCTGCCTAAAAGTGACCGAATAAGGTATCCACGCAAGCTATCAGAGTGCATGCGTCTGGCTCTGTGACGGTGTTACAGCTGCACGCCATATGTTCCTGCCATGCAAGACATAGCGCACCTCTGTAGGCATCGTCATGGCAGCAGGCGTCGCAGTTGGAAGATGCAACTGCGCCAAGATATCTCCCATTGATGAATCACATGCCATTGCTCTGACGTGGTAGTCGGCAAAGCTTACCCCTTCGCCAGTCAACAACTGGGGAGGCCTTAGAATTCGATCGCTCCCTTCTGGCCCAATCACCGTGGGTGTGGTATTCTCCAGTTCCAGACATAAGCCCCCTCCGCTGATTGGCACTCTCAAATCGTATCTCTCAAGACGCCTATATGCACCACAAAGCCCGGGTTCGAGCGCAGGTCCTTAGATAGGGCCTCTTCCGGTACCCGCCATGCGCGGAAGTGCTTGTTGAATTCCTTGATCCATCCCTCGAAGATCTCCGGGTCGCGAAGCTGCTGCGCAACTATGCAGATAGCGGGTCCTTTACCAGCGCCTTCATCGCGCGACCTCAACTTGCAGGCGTCGACGCAGGTCTGAACCAGGGGCTCGATCAAGGTGTCGTTGTAGATGCAGTCACAGGCGATGACAGCGTCGAAGCTCCTGACGTCCACGGCTCCGGTGAGATTTGGAGTGACCTCATCAAGTTGCCAGTCTAATGGGGTGAAACGGAGGTTGGCCTTTTGCTGAACTGCTGTGGGCCTCCCCTTGCGTCTCTGACCTGATAAATTTGGATTCGCCACTGCGACGTTCTCCTCCAGGTTCTTCTCCACTAACCTGGCTACATAGGATTGATCTGTCAAGGTGTATCGTGCCACTGAAGGCGCGACAACCAAGCCAACGAGGCCGGAAATCCCACAGCCCAACTCGAGTACACTAGAGGAGGAGGAAAGGGCGTCTGACGTCCATAGGAGGTTGTCGGACGAAGCCAGCCACTCGGCTACGAGAGGGGTAATCTTCCAGAGCACGGCGCCAGTGGTACTACCGGGACGATTCAGGATGGTGGGAGACTGGTGGATGGTGTAGTCCTTGCCCGCAATAGTCAAGTCCAACGTAGTTGCGCGAGAGTCAACAAACCCCAGGTTCTGCGAAGGGATATCTGTGGAGAACAGCAGGAATGTTTCTGATCGTTCCAGTCAGCGTTGATTCCGGCAAATCTGCAGAGAGGATGCGCCCTTGCCTTCTTCTGGATCATCAATCTCTGGCCCGAGCAGATCAAGTAAGATGTTCCGAGTCATGACAGCCAATCAGCAATGGGGCGATGCGTAACCAAACTTTCTGACCAAAGTCGGAACCGTATGCCAGGTATCCAGCCGCATGGGCTTTAGGCAAGGCGGGACAGGGAACCTTGCAGCGTTCGAGCAAGCTGTCAGACGAAGGGTTGTACCAAGGGCGGCTTACGTGCCGAAGTGCTGACAGAAAAAAAGATTCAGCACGTGGTTGGTTGACAGACAGCATTCATACTTGTTCTTGTTCAGTTGTTGGTTTGACGAAGTCTTCTGAGGGTTGCCAGAAAATGCGCGTGGCTAAGTGCACGCTTAGCTGGATGATGTGGCTGAATGTGGCTTGATCACAGATAGGGGCGCGCCAGCTTCTAGCCTTCTCTCCTTCCTAAGATCCGTAAAACCCTCGTGACAACTTTCAATGCCACCTAGTTCGTTGTGGTATGCAGATGCCGGGCAGCCTCTCGTGGTCGACTGCAAGCTTAGACGAACAGATGAGGCTCTTTCGATGGCACGCTGGCAAAGACATCGCAGATCAGAGAGAGAGGATAAGGGTAGCCCGTAGCTGTCTAGCCCTACTCTCAACTGAGGCGAGTACGGCCATTTATGAACATGTACGGGCCACTTTAGCCTTCTGTTCAAGATATACAAAGTGGGTGCTGGCACCACGACAATGGGATGGAGATATTTAGATTCCAAATGATATTGATGTCCCCAGCTGCGTCCAAATAAACACGTAATATCCAATTCATACACCTATTTCGTATACAAGTACATCTTCATTCCCAAGCTTATCGTTTCCACCCACTGGCTCGTGCCATGATAGCTAAGTACGTGCAACAGGTATTTGGTACGTATTGCATTTGGCGAACGCGTTCCTGTCCTGGACGCCCTGGTGGGTCATCAGGAAACAGTGATCATACGCCGTCTGGCTGGTTGGACTTTGCGCGACGACGACGCGGTGGGCTCCCGGGTTGCCGCCCGTGTACTGCGCACCGTTTGCGAGGATTGGGAATTCAAACAGGGCCCGCCCTGCGCACGGGGTAGGGTCAAGCTCAACACCGCCGGCGCGGTTCCCGTTGGAATATGCCTCTGGGTAGGTTCCTGTAGAGAAGCGAGCACGCGTTAGCTCATCTATTCATAGTCGCTAGTTGCTTCACAGCCACAGTAAAGTGGCTAAGAACGATCCTTACGCGTGATGCCTCTGGCATTTGTGAAACTGAACTGTATGTTGTTCCTGAGCGCGTGGATAGTGTCGCCGAAAATCTCCTGCGTCTAGGCTACGGTGAATCTGGTGCCATCACAATCGTAGCCACCGAACTGAGTCGGAATGGCAAGCACTGCGGAAGATAGCGCTGCCATGAGAGCAAAAGCTTGGGTTGCCAACATAGTGATGTTTGGGAATACTAGGTGCTGCGTTCCTTGCAGCAAATTGATAGCAGAAGATAGGGGGGTTTGGCGGACGTTTGAAGACTGATTTGGTCTCTTCGCTCTTCTTACCAGCTCCTCGAGGGAAGCTTTCAGCTCTTATATTGTGATAATATTGGGCGGATAACGACGAACGAGAGCTGGAGCAAAGCAAGCGCTGACAGAAATCGAACCTGTTCCCCTATATGTCCATGTCTGTCTGCCACTCTTCCTGTGATGGCCAGACCAGCCTTTCGAGAATTGCCGTTTGCTCAGAGTGCTACGCAGCTGAAAATCCCATATAGGTTCTTCAACAGCATCTGTTTACTGGCTGACATTGAATATCGTCATATGTAGGACTTCTTGTCATCTACTCGTCCTAGCTGGTCGCCCATCGTGTCCTATATGGGTGGTGGCCTTCGACTTCGCCAACCTGAGAATACATCAATTCTAGGGTGCCATGTAAGGGGGCTGGGGTTGTGCATGGGGTCTGATGATAGTCTTGTGCTTTACCAGATATCAACAACAGTCCGCCACATTGTTAGCAATCGACCTACGTGGTTCGTGGTGAATTGTCATGCCACGATGAAAACACAAAGGGGCTATGCCATATCGGCATATGCCAGTGTTTCCTAAAGCAGACCCAAAGAGGATTCTTTTCGCATGAGCTGCTTGCACCTTGGGTTCAGGGGGACTAATCACGAGTATATTCTGCAGCAGAGACTTGGCATCTATCGGGTGTACATACGCCATCTACGCCATCTGTTGCAACCACGGACCACAATAAGACCCAAAGCCCATAAGTGTTACACGAAAACGAGGACCCCGGTGATTGATTACGAGGTTATTTTGAGCTTCATGGTCGATGCAGCACAATCCGAGGCACAGCAAGATAGGATGTCCAAAACAAGCGAACACTTATGTGTGCGACCTGTCAGCCGCTGACGGGTCACATTGGGCTGCATGAACAAGGACGACGATTCGCTGCAATTCCGTCTAACGTTACACGACAACCCCTTTCTGTAAAGAGCCGACATAAGTGTGCACCAATATGCAAAAACTGACTGTACTTTCGCTCAGTCCCGAGCGTCCCGAATAAAGTCCTACGGGCATCTCGGTTGCAATAAGGCTGAGATCTAGAGCCACCGGCTCAGCATGCCTGAGTGAAGTGATCCTCCTGGTACTGCCTCATCGAGAAGTGCAATTTCACCAGCTGCTGTACGAGGCTTTGGCCTCGGTCAAGCACTCTTTTCTAACAATAGCGACGGCGCGTAGTTGGTAGTGGAAGACTGGCTTACGGAGCCTGAGATCGCCTTGACGTAATCTGCCTCGTCACAGAGAAAGTCACGATGGTGCCCAAGGGTCGGAGGACAAGATTCACACCTGGGCTGGGAAGACCACATCTGATCAATCGATGCTCATCGACACCAGAACACGGTTGGTGGGCATAAAAGAGCTCTTTTCCCTCCGATAATCAAAGATCTTTTTGTTCTCGAGACATCTTCATCCCTTACACCAGTTCTCAGTTCACATCCGACTTCACAAGAAACCCGTACATCCGGATACCAAACTTATCTTCATCACCACCAATTTCAAGCATTCAAGATGGGCCAGCTTTCTGCCTACACATTCGCCGTCATCATGTCCAGCATTGGCCTGGTAGCTGCGAAGAGCTGCCACACTGGCGGCGTATACTGCGGCACCTCCCTGCAGCACAGAGGCAAGTCCACCCGAACTCTCTTTCCATCGCAGAGGCACACTTCGATCCAACTCTTTGGGATATCAAGCCAAGCAACGGTTGTCGACTAACAATTCTCATTACTCAGGTGACTACAGCACCAAGATCATCACCAACCTCCGTGCGGCCAACGAGCCCACCGATGCCCAGCACATCTCGAACTCGCTCTGGGACTGCGTCGAACACGGCGACATCAGCTACCGGGAATTCTGTTCCCTGGGCTGCCACGGCGGCGACGACAAGGACGACTACTGCAACGGGTCGCCCGAGCAGGCGGCTGATGAGGCAGGTGATGCTGCTGAAGATGCTGGCGAGGCTGCTGCTCGAGCGGTCCCATTCATGGCATGAACGCGGAATTGTTGGCGGGGTTTAGATTGAAGCTGGAGAGTAGCTGTACCCTATTTTTGTATCATCGTTCTGTGGTTGGTGGTCATCAGGGGTAGTCGCTCGCTAATGTACCTGTACTATATATCTACCTACTTACCTGACCTGCGATCCGAGTTTCATTCCACCGTTCATAAGTGATAAGTGCATGCATTCTTTCCAAGTTTAAATACCTGGAGTATAAGTAGCGGGCGGAAGAGCATCCTCTCAACTTGACGCACCAAGCCCAACCACTCCATAAGCAAAACCTGTGAACCCATGAACCGAAAGAATCACACTGAGTATTTTACATGTATCTCGGTGGTTGTAACCAGGTTACATGGAAACAAGCCTTTAAGGGGGGTACCAACAGCGGTGCACGTCGACATGGATCTGCATCCGCCGTTGGGGGCTGGGAAGCTGTCTCTAGATTGCTGATTTTAACTTGCACGCAGGAGAGGCTGACAAGCTGAGCAGCTATGTGACGCTAACCACCACCACACATCCACCTAATCCATTTCCATATAAGTTCTAGGGGCTCGCCATCGATTGGCATTTGCACGACCTCACTTCCCCTCCGTCACCTAAGTTGTTGTCGCATAATTATGTCCGAATTCATCTCTGCCACTATCTTCCACCTTTGAAACACGGTGGATGAACAACGAATATCTGATATGCAATCGCTTACGACATCTTCATCACCTCCGTCTCCGTCGCCTTCGCATGTGCCGCCAGGTGAATCAACGCCTCATGAACGGAGAGAGACGGACGAGATGGACGCAGTGGCTCGGATTGTGCAGAACGACGAGCTCGACGAGCCAGCCAAGATAGATGCAATAGCCGTGGAACGTGGCTGGTTTTCCGGCAAGATGGACGCCATCGACAATTACCTCGCTGGCGATGGCAGCGATGCAGCTGCGACCGCTGCAAAGCTCGCGGCGCCTATCGACGAGGCCTATTCGACAGCAGACCACGGAAGAGCATTGTATGAAGCAGAGATTACGGCCCGCAACCAACGCCGTCACTGGAGCCTAGCCGAGGCGCTTGACAGGGTAGGTCTTATCCAACTCTGCCAAAAACGAAGAGAGACCAGGACATTACTAACGTCAACGTTCACAGTGGGGACCCGAGGAGGATATTCCACAGCCGGGTCCGGAGACAGCCGACCTCCCGACGGCGGAGGGTCAGCTCTGGGACCTCTGGTACAGCGTCCTGCACGCCGCAAAGCGCAACCCGTGGACCGATGAAACCCAGCAGAGCAAGCTGGTAGACCTCGTCAAAGCCCTCAAGGCCAGGCCGGACCCGGCTCAGCCGTCGCGCATGACAGCTCCGCTGAAGAACAACTGGATCTGGACCTCCGGGTCCTTGTGGAGTACTCTCCCCATGCTGGGCCCGAGTGCCCGGGAGATGTGGAACGACAGTTGCGGCTTCGGCGCCGGCTGGACCGTGCCCGAGCAGCATGCCGAGACGAATGTCCACGCCTTCGTTGCCCGCCTTACTGCGAGCGGGACGTCCGACTTCACCACTTATGCCAGGTGGGCATTGTGCGACGCCCTGGAGACCAACACCGGAGGAGCCGGTCTGCATCACCACGCGCCCCGTCAGACCCAGCTGGCGCATTCCTTGACTTTGGCTGCCGTCTGGATCCACATTGCCGGGAAGTATATGCGTGAGTGTGAACAGCACGAGGCCCTTCCCGGGTACACCGAGGTCAGCTTGGACGCAAGAGGGAAAATCTTGCCTTGGTCGGGAAAGTCGGACGGGCCGCATTTCTCTGACGCTCGGTGGGACTTTTGGCGCCGTAGGTTTGATCAGGAGGCACACAACGAAGAACTACCGGAAGAGGTCAGACTTTTGGCTGCCGAGGCGGCCAAAACTATTCAGGGTTATTCTATGTAAATTATAGCATCGTCCTCTCACACGAGACTTAGTCGCGGCACTGTTGGGGGCCTAGATACTTGGAAAGTATTAGCCTCTCTTAAGATGATCGGGGAAGCTGGTGGAGTCAGATGTCTTCTTCCCCTCTCTCTGAATTACGAGCCAAGGAAACAAGAACCTTTGTCGTTGAATGCGTGGTGACGCATTAAGTCCTGTACGCATGCACTATTAGGGATACTCGATGGATAACTAAACCACCAGGCTTGGTTGACCTGTGTGAGGTTGATCTTGTCATGATAGGAAGCATGGACACGACCTGACAGTTGAGTTATCGTCTAAGATCACGGGGCCCGATATCGGAGTGTACATCAGGCCAATGTAGCAGTCGTGTTACATAACTTAACCACTCGTTCATTTGAAATTGATTTCCTGATGAGTCACGCGCCACATTATCTCATAAGTACGACTGGAGCCCTAGCACTCCCTATGACCGATGAGCATTTCCCCGTGTGCCGCGCGTCTGGGGAGGTTGAGATCCTTGTTGGGGGTGTGTTACTGATGGGAACGACGGGGCATAAAATAAAAGCAGGAGATCGGGGAAATTACCCGAGGGGAGAATTGTTCATGCGAGCCGACAAAGGACGACCATTCCGTGTACCAACATGAAGCATGGCTAGCCCGACTACCACGTTGGGTGGCAGAAGGGTGGTGCTATGAGCGGTGGTTCGAGCTTCATGCGAAGCGGGAGTAGAGAGCGCAAGAGTGCTGATATAGTGCTCGCGCTTCCGCCTGCGCCCGGCATTCGTAAGAGGGTTCAAAAACCCTGACTGCTCAATCGTCCCATCTATCGATACACAAGGCCTCTATTATCCTTTGTATCAAGATCCCGTCGTAGACCCCAGTGGCGCTATACGTCTCGTAAAGAAGCCATCTCCAGACCCAGTCCAACCGCAGTTGTTCCTTTCCTTCCACGTCAGTTCTAACCAAAGCCCGCTTCATGCCCTGCAGCAGTATGTCTTGGGGCACGGACATGGTGGCCAAATGGATGTTGAATATTTGGAAACCAAGGGTTGCTGGAATGATGGCAATGATCGCCGTTTTATCAATGCCGCCACGATAAGCGACTCTGCTCGGTAGTATTCTGGGTTTCGCAGTCCATAGTGGAGTGCGAACTCGGTGGCATCGAGCAAGGGAGAATGCACCTCCATGTCGACGACCATGATATAGATGCTCCTGGCGTTCGTACTTTTCCGGTAATATTCTGCTTTGCGAATGGCAGCACTCCAGTCGACGTAGATAGACACCCAGGGTGTGTATGGGTACCCCCTCTGCTATGTGAGATGACCCCTGAGTGAAGCATCATCTACCGGAGCATGAGGTAGCGAGCGAGAGATCCGGCATAGTTCGGCTTGGATCCATCCTCTGCTACGACTCTGAAGCCGATGCCGGTGCGTGTTGGGATGTACTCACACGGTCGCTTTCGAAACTCCGGGAATGGTGGGACAAACATGTTCATATTGAAGACTTAGTCTGACTGCGTGAGCCAAGCATGCGTGCTGTCATGAAGTGGCAAGGCTCATGGAGGAGATCTGGATGAAGCTGAAGCTCGGCGGTGATAATACTAGAGGATTCGCGTGGCACGTAAATCCTCTAGTAATAACGTCTTGATAACGTTCGAAGCTGGTGCACGTCCATTGCGCCACTAGACCTATCGTGGCTAGCTCAATCTATATGCAACTCCACCTGCATGCAACTAGTGAGAAGTGACAGGGGTAGCCGGCCTCTGCTATTGGGTCAAATCGGGGCCTGGGGCGAGGAGCCTGAAGGTTTCGTCATGGGCGCGGTCATGAGAGCCGGCAGCTGGGTAGCTTGCTCAGTGCTGGGCAGCTAGCCGGGCAGTAGGAAAAGCGCAGGCAAAACACCAAGTCCCTCCATGACTCCAGTCTGTGTACCCCATGACCTAAGAACCGCAACGTCTCAGTCAACACCAGCCCTACCCAGCCCCCCTGGGCTTGTTACACTTAATCAACCCTATTCTCCCCTCTCCTCTCCTCCTCTCGAGCGTCTTGTCTCTAGCTCCCTGCTTCCAACCTCTTGATCTACGCAACCTCCGACAGGCTACTTGATCTACGCAACCATGACAAACGAGTGGCGCGAGTCCAAGCTGCGGACTGAGGTCCTGCAGCCCAAGGCGTCGGCAAAGACCCCGTACTCGATCGAATCACCTGGCGCCAAGCCCGTCGAAGGCGAGACCATCCCGCGACGACACCCTCTTACCGCGAATGGTCTCATTACCACCCCCGCCAACAACATCACCACAACATATGAGCTGCTGCGTGTGAGCGTCGCCAAGTTCGGCAACGCAAAGGCCCTCGGGTCGCGACGCCTGGTTCGCACCCACCAGGAGACCAAGAAGGTCAAGAAGATGGTAGACGGCAAAGAGCAGCAGGTCGACAAGGCCTGGACCTTCTTCGAGCTCAGCCCCTACGAGTACCTCACCTACAATGACTACGAGCGCCTGGTTCTGAACGTCGGTTTCGGTCTGAGGAAGCTTGGCATGGCCAAGGGCGACAGAATCCACATATTTGCCGCCACGAGCGCCAACTGGCTGGCCACCTCCCACGCCGCTGCCTCCCAGTCGATGCCCATCGTCACCGCCTACGACACCCTCGGCGAGGAGGGACTGCGACATTCTATGGTCGCCACCGGTGCCAAGGCCATCTTCCTCGATCCCCATCTACTCCCGACCCTGGGAAACGTTCTCAAGGACGCCTCAGAAGTGCGCTACGTAATCTGGAACAACCAGAACCAGGTTAAACAGGAGCACATCGACAAACTCAAGAGCGCCTACAGCCACGTCACCGTCATGAGCTTCAAGGAGCTCGAGAAGCTTGGGAAGGATAATCCTACCGACCCGGTCCCTCCTACCCCTGAGGATCTCTGCTGTATCATGTACACCTCTGGCTCCACTGGTACCCCCAAGGGTGTGCCGTTAAAACACAAGAACCTCGTTGCCGCTGGTGAGCAGACCTCCCCCGAATCAAAGCTCCGAACTAACCATGTTCCTCAGTTGCTGGTGTCAGCGTTGTGGTACAGCCGTTCATCGGGCCAGGCGATAGTGTCCTCACCTACCTACCTTTAGCCCACATTCTCGAGCTTGTATTCGAGAACGCCTCGCTGTACTGGGGCGCAAACATGGGATACGGAAACCCCAAGACTCTGTCCGACACCTCGGTCCGCAACTGCGCTGGTGATATCCGCGAGTTCAAGCCTTCCGTCTTGGTCGGTGTGCCAGCAGTCTGGGAGTCGGTCAAGAAGGGCATAACCGGCAAGGTGGCTGCCGGTGGTCCTGTACTGCAGAACATGTTCTGGGGCGCTCTGGGGCTGAAGAGCAGGCTGTTGTCCATGGGACTTCCTGGCTCTGGTCTGCTTGACCACGTGGTCTTCAAGAAGATCAAGGAAGCTACAGGAGGCCGCCTTAAGCTCTGCCTGAATGGCGGCGGCCCTGTTGCCAGAGACACACAGGAGTTCATATCCATGGCCATTGCACCCATGATCATCGGATATGGTCTCACCGAGACCAGCGCCATGGGGGCCCTCATGAGCCCCCATGAATGGTCATCGGAAACCCTTGGAGCGATGCCCGCTTCTATTGAAGTCAAGCTCGTCGATTTTCCTGACGCCGGCTACTACGCGACCAACAAGCCGAACCCACAAGGAGAAATTTGGATCCGGGGTGCCGGCGTCATGGACGAATACTACCAGAACGAGAAGGAGACTCGCGAAAACATGTCCGATGGCTGGTTCAAGTCGGGAGATATTGGCGAGTTCGACGCCAATGGACATATTAAGATCATCGACCGCAAGAAGAACCTTGTCAAAACCTTGAACGGCGAGTACATTGCGCTCGAGAAGCTCGAATCGATCTACCGATCCGCCCGTGTTGTGAACAACATCTGCGTGTACGCAGACCAGTCCAAGGCCAAGCCTATTGCGATCATTGTGCCGGCCGAACCGGCACTGAAGAAATTAGCTGAAGAGAACGGCATCCAGGGCTCTAGCCTGGAGGAGCTGGTGCACAACAAGAAGCTGAACGGTATCGTGCTTAAGGAACTTCAGAATGCAGGACGCGCCGGCGGTCTCTCCGGAATTGAGATCATCGAGGGTGTTGCGCTCTCTGATGAAGAATGGACCCCGCAAAACGTAAGCCTTATCCGTACATCACAAGAATTCTAGGACTCGAGCACTGACATGACGATAGGGCCTTGTAACCGCGGCGCAAAAGCTAAACCGGAAGGTCATTCTCGATAAATACAAGTCCGAGGTTGACGAGGCTTACAGCTCTTCAAGCTAGACGCAGCGGAGTCAGGCCGACGCATGTTTTCTTTCGTGGATTAACATGTTCCTAGCCAATGATTGGCTTTGGCTACTCCGAAGCAACCGTACAGGATGACCGGGAAAGCAAAGACGGGATCAGCTTGTTCCTTTCGTGAGTGAGTCCATCAACGGAATTTGACTATTAGCGTGGTATCGGTGTACTGTACATAATAAGATGTAGCAACAGCACCACTGTCCAACGCATTAATGCATTTTTTACTTTTGCCCATGATACATGGTATGTGTAGATGATTGGTAGCGTGAGGACGCAAGCTTGACTGACCAGACCACTCGCTCAATATGATTGTCTCGCATCGATGATCCTGCCCGCTGAGTTAATGACGGTTTCAAAGATTTTTCGTCACAGAAACCATGGCCATAGAAGCGGGCCTCCCGGTAGGAAGGACGCACCGCTTATACGCTACATACAGGGTGCTAGTTATCTAACTCACGAGCAAAAGAAATAATTGGACGAGCCCACAGAGACTTGAATCGACACCGGAAGACACGTAAGCTTTGCGTTCACTTGGGGAACCATCCCAGCATTTGATATTGAACACATCCAATTGCTATGATACCGATGCGGTACGGTAGGTCTGATATGTACAGCAACCGCCAAACACCCCTCGCTTAACTATATACTCGAAGATATAAATCCCGTACAGAAGAAGTGAAGACGCAAAACCACCAAGGATTTTTTTTCTCCCTGTTCGCCCCCATTCAACAATCCCACCTCAAGTCTCAAATCTCGCTGGGGAGAAAGAGTGAGAGTGAGAGTGGATGATTGAACGACACATGGAGAGCCCGAAAACCGTTCGAACACCTTTACTGAGCAGCGCCAGTCGCAGTGGGCTTCGGCGGCACCGAGCCCGAGTGCGAGTGGCCGCCGTGGCCGTGGTGGTGGCCACCGGGTCCGCCCATCGGGAAACCAGAGGGCACACCACTAGCGGCGGCAGCAGCAGCGAAACCACCAGACGGCAGGAAAGGAGGGGGGCCGCCCGACGGCTTGCCAGACGGGTGTCCGCCGTGACCGTGACCACCGTGAGGACCGCCGGAAGGCATACCGCCGGCGGGAGCCGAGCCCGTGGGCAGCGCGAACGAGCCTGAGAAGCCGGGCTCTTGGCGCTTGCCGCGGCCGGCGAAGCCGCCCGGGAAGTCGGTCGGCGCGGGGCCGGCGGGGAAGCTGCCGGTAGGGACACCGCTGGGGAAGCCGGGGAAGCCGCTGGGAGCACCGCTGGGGAAGCCACCCGGGCCGCCAGAGTGGTGGGCGCCGCCGTGGGGCATGCCGCTGGGCAGGGCCGCGGGCGTGGTGGTGTCGGCCTGGCCCTTGTTGGGGAGGAAGTTCTTGGCCGATGCCGTGGCGAGGAGGGCGACGAGAACTGCGGAGATCTGCATTGTGCTTGTTTGTTGTCTGTATTTCTTCGTACGGAAAGTTTGTTGTCGTTTTTTGGTGTGGGATGGAAAGATGAACCAAAGTGTCTTCTTCTAAGTGAGAGATAGACAGAGAAGGTGAACACTGTTGGTTGGTTGGTTGGTTGGTTTGGAAAACTGTTGCTGGGATCCGGTCCGAGGCGAAATAGAAATGAAGAGAATGTAGTTGAAGGCAAGCCTTGGAACGAAGGAAGTCAAGAGAAGAGGTGCTGGAGTGTGGATGGTGGATGGTGGTGAGGAAGGGGAAGAAAGTTGCAGTGAGAGGAGGAGAACTTGCCTTATATCTCCTGGTCCTTCACCCTGGGTCGACCCCAGCCGTCTGATGTCTCGCTTGTACTATCAAGAGCGGCCAGGGTCATCCAAGCTACCTAGTCATCCCCGAGAGCCTACTGCTACGTCCGGATCCCCGACGAGGAAAGACTCAAGAGACCCATGTGGCGGAGAAATGCAGTGACTGAAACATAGCTCCATCTCCCCACTGTCGACTCCTTCTCGGAGTCGCAACGACTGGCGAAGACTCGCTCAGAAGAGTGCAGCCTAGTCGTGACTCGTCATCTGTTAACGCACTCCAAAGTCTGGACTCCCATACTCACGAGTCACGTCACGGAGTGAGCCGCATGGGACGACGCAGCATCGAGTCGTCGACGACCCCAGCTCCACCCCAGCGTGTCGCTCGATACGGTACGGGAGGAAGAAATGAAAGGCCAGCTCCATCCGCTCCCCCTCGCGGCTCCTCCTCAGACCTCTCCATGCAGTCCGGAATTTGGATTGAAGCACCCATGACGAACCAGAGTGGCTGCACATGTGATAAATTAATAATCGTCCGATCTAATCATCTGTCAAGTGGAGCGATGTTTCAGCAGGCCACTACTGCCGATCAGCCAAGCTATCATTGGGATGGGGGAATGCGCCATCGAGGGAATCAAGGCTATGTTTCGAAACAATTGACGAGTACGCCAGCTGCTAGGGTTTGAACTTTGGCAGTCGGGCTAGGAGAGAGGAGAGGGCCACGCGTCCACGGCCCCACGTATATTGCACGGCGGGAACCCGAACGCCTGCTTTGGGCCTTTGGCAGTCTGAAACACAAAGGGGAGGCTGATGAGCTAAGGATGCAATTCCTTCGAGAAATTGCAATCTATTTGTTACACCAGCCCCTTGCTGGTTTGTGTGCCTCCTGGCTAGACTGGAGAATGATAACGACGGGCGCGGGTAGGGAATAGCTGGAGCTTGATGGACGATGGGCCAAGGACGGGCCGTTGAGACCGGGCATACACTTCAATAGCCACCGTCCAGCCCGTCCTGGACACGGAGCCGGGAAAGAGCTTTCGATATCCGTAAATGTTAGAAGAGGCATTCATTACTTACCTGATACCGTGCTTGCTACGGGTAAACCATCTGCCCATTTCGGCGCCAAGATGATCACTTCGAGAAAGCAGATCCTCCCGCAATCGTTGGAGGTAAAATGTGACATGGGCTGTGCCCCATTTGCCTAACTAAATTGGGCGTGGTGGGAGCAGGACCCGTTTTGGATGTTAAAGGCTTAAAGCCGGGCGTGTGGCTGATGTGCCTGGGTTTGTGGCTGGCGGTGGCTTGAGGAAGCTTGAGACTGGAGAGCACTACCGTATATATCGTGCAAATCCGGATTTGCGGCTCTGCGCGCACGGAGCACAATAATGGTTGCTACGTCGCTACCATCGGTGATGGTCCTGGGACCACGTGACAGCACGTGACATCCTAAACGACTGGCTGTCCCAGACCCACTAGGGCTCTGAATTATAGGGCGGACACACTTATCTAGTTGCCCACCAGATTTGGCTGTGCCGCTCGATCTTCTTTTTCCTTTTTAGCCAGAGATAGTTATACGTACATAGTAAACAAGGGCTTCTATATCCTATTCACATACTCGGAACGTCACAATAGCAGTTTTATAAACACGCAAAGCTTTATATGTTAACCATGATATCACACTCTTATAAATAATTTTTAATATCCTTTATAATATCCTTTATTGTTAGCTTAAAAGCTTAAATAAATTAATTAAACCTTATCCAAATACTTTTTTTAATATAAAATCGCTTTTAAAAAACGATTTTACTCTTAATATATTAAAAGTTATTAGACATTAAATATTAAGTATAATACTTTTGAGTATAATATCCGTTAAAAGGTTATTAAAAGACTGGTAAATATACTATATTATAATATAATATAAGATTTAACTATAATCTAGCCTTATTAAGTCTATTTAAAAATAATAATAACATTTATAATAACTGCTTATACCTTTAAAGATTATAACCTTTATTTTTTTTATTTTTTTTATTTTTTTCTATTCTTTATTAAGTTCTAATTATAATTATTAAATTTGGTAATTCTTTAATTAACAAAAATATTATATAATAAGTCTTATAAATTTATTTATTGTAAAATAAAATTAATACAACTGGTAAAAAAGCTAACCCATTATTACGCTTTATATATAGTTATAAACATATAAAATAACTTAGACAAAAAATTATAATAATTAGCATTAATATATTGCTCTTAGTAAATAAAATAAAGTTTATGTTGGAACAGGCTTGAACGATCAATCATAATACTCGAGTATTGGGTCAAGGTCATGATGTTACTGATGGTTGGATTAGGAAGTCTAGCTGGACCTGCAGGTCTGGCTAAGTGACCTCACAATCCGGTATCTAATCTCTTATCTAATCATACATGTGGGGTCTGTATGGATGGTTTGACTGTGGAATCACATGGATCCAACACAGAATACTCTCTCTTTTGATAGTTGTGATTCCATCAAACCATCCATCCAGGTAATCTCAACGTTGAACCCAACCTTTAACTTGAACTGTTGTCTCGTTATCAGAAAAAAGACCACTAAGGGCTTTGTTTAGAGATGACTTGGTCATTGAGTCAGCAGGGTTGTCTTCACCATGGATCCATCGGATTTCTGTGATCTCATGATTCTCATATGATTGCCGGAGCGCCATGACGTCGATCATCAGACGCTTCTCATTGGTAATGCCCAGCTTGACAAGGCATTGGTACAACGAGTATGAGTCTGTACAGAGGATCAGAGGGATTATAGGTACTTTAAGACATTGATAGATAGTTGCCAGGGTACAATGGATCATGTATCTGTAATCATAGCTAGCAACCATGCCATAGACTTCAGAAGCTAGAACACTCTATGTGACTCTCTTGCATTTGGTAGAGGACTAATGAACAATGTTTCTAGTCAGGTCAAATATGAATGTCTTGCCATTACCAGATGATTCATTCCCGAGGATAATGACAAATCCAATCTATGATGATAGGTCCTTATTGTTGGTGAATGATCCATTAATAAACACAAAGAGTTTAGCAATAGATAAATCAATCGTCACGAATCGGAGTTCATATGACTGGTTGTCCAATTGCTATTAAATGCGTTTTTTAGCATTTTAATGTCTTTGTCAGAGGGTTCTTGGGCTTGGGCTACAACAGAATAGTCGAATGCGGCTTTTAGTTGACAGATAGAGGCAATGTAGGCGCCTCTTGCTCGTTGTTCAATAAATCTCTGCTTGTAATCCTTGTCCTTGATATCAATAAATACAAGCTTGTCAGCTTGTCCTTTTTGAGTTGCTGTCATGATCTCAGTCTGAAATTCCAGGTGGCATCCGTTGAAGTCGCCAAAAGAACCAGTATCAAACTGGGTTCGTGGTTTTGTCTTGTAGCCCGCTTTCTTCATCTCGCCTTCTTCCTTCTCCAGGAAGCCGGTAGTGCCAATGACAAAGGTGTTATCAGTTTGAAGAGCAGTGATAGCAAAGTTATTGCCTTTCTTTGTGATGAACAAGCAAGAATCATATACAGATGTTTCCATTTCCAGTTTCTCCTTGTGATGAGTGGAGTATGTCTCATACCAATGATTTCCAGCTTCTATGACTCCATATAATGACTTATCAACATAAAGGATTGTATCCTTTAGATACTTCTTCTTTAATTCAATGAGCAGCTTGCATAGAACAAGACGATTCATTGGGTGTCGTGACTGAGTATAAGCCATTGTGATGTCTCGAGAGACAGCGAGGCATCCTTGCTGTTGTAGAAACGGTGTTAATGCTATGGCCAGCCGCTGGCTGCATCGCATGATTGTCGGAGCTTGGGTCATGATATCATGCTTTTCATGATCGTTGTATTCTTGGACAACAAGTCTGTTCTTCTCATAAGGGCGGTCGTTGATGCTTTTGACAGTGCGGGCAAGACGGGAGTTGAAAATTCGGGTATTGCCGTGAATCTTGCTGTTAAACAGAATGGGGACAAGCACTTCATCAGCAAATAGAGACTCAATCTCAAGGACATCAGATTGCTCAAAAGGTGCTCCGGGAATTGTGATCTTGCTTTCAGTACGTAATTTCAGGGAGAGGGCATGGTCAACACGTTCCTTGTCCGAAAGGAAAATGCCATATTCATCTTGTTGAACAAAAGAGCCAGCAAAGTTCTCTTCCTTACTTGTAGCCGCAATAGCCATATGTACCATGTACACTTTTCTGGGTCGGCCTCGCAGTCGCTTCGTGCTTTGAATGGATGTGTGGAGCTTCGGAGGACGTCCGCGACAACAAGAGAGTGTTGGTTCTGGATACTCAAACGAAACGGGGGTATCAGGGTTATTAGGCTTGTCAGTATCAAAGATTGTGTCTGGGTGACGGTTGTGCTTGAACTTGCGATTGGTGTAGTTCTGACTGTGGATATCTATAAGGTACTTCATGTGGGCGTAGGTGATTGCTTGACCAATCACAATGATATTAGGTCTTGTTGACTTCTGTGTCAAAATGTGTCTTGAGACAGTTGTATATGTCTGAGAACATTGAGTGACGGCTGATATGGTGCATGAAGTATTCTTGAGCTATGCCAGTGAGGACTTGGAAGAATACTGCGTGGAACTGGCCAGGTTTAATGCCAATGGTAGAACATGTGTT